GCCACAGAGCACCGCCCCGCGCTCGGCATGCAGAGCCAGCGCTACCTTCCACGCCCGGGTTGCGCCGGTTCACGATTCGGGTATCACCCACAGAACCCCAACAGTAATTTTTGAGTGTATTGACAGTCAATTCCTTCAGACAAGGCTCTGGCTTCGATGCTCTCGAGTTTTCCATCCAATCTCCTCACAAAACAATGACGCAAAGCAACGGATCCGGCCAGGCTGAGGTGCTTTGGCGCCATCCTGATCCGACTTCCACGCCCATGTGGCGCTTTCTTCAAAATGTCAAAGCAAAGCACGAACTAGATGGCGATGACTATCAGAGTCTGTACAAGTGGAGCGTCGACGACGTTGCGACATTCTGGGAGGAGTGTTGGGGTTTCGTAGGCATAGTATCTGAAAAGGGGCATGGCAAGGTGAGTTCGTCCAAATACGTGTGAAGCCTTCCCTGGATCTTATACCCATGGAGAATGGCTCACATTCATCTGGATGCTCATTGACTTTATGTAGGCACTCTCTCCTGGGGCGCCCATGTTTCCACGACCAGATTTCTTCTCCGGTTCTCGTCTCAACTTTGCCCAGAATCTGCTCTACCCGCCAACGTCTCCAGAACTGGACCCTGAGTCGGCTGCAGTCCTAACTGTGACGGAATTGCCAGGTTCCGGCGTTCGCGAGACGACCTGGGCCGCCCTTCGTGACGCAGTGCGGCGCTGTTCGTCGGCCCTTAGAGCTAGAGGTCTGCAACCCGGAGACGTCGTCGCTGGTTATGTCTCGAACCACGTTGAGGCGCTGGTGGCCATGCTGGGTGCCGCCACTGTTGGTGCTATCTGGACAGGTATCAGTCCTGACAATGGAGTGTCCGCTGTGCTTGACCGTCTAGGCCAAATCTCACCCAAGTTCCTGTTTGCCGATAACGGGACTGTATACAACGGGAAGGAATGGAGCAGCACGGCAAAGACAACAGAGATTATGCGCGAGTTGCGGAAGTCTCAGAGCCTGACAACTGTGGTCATTATCCCAAACATCACTGCCGACTTATGCCTGCAGGATCTGGTTGACTTGGGCGTTCAGGCTGTGGAGTATCACGACTTCTTGGCCACAGCCCCTGAAGAGGCTCTCAGATTTGTGCTATTACCTCCTTCACATCCTTTGTATATCTTATACTCAAGCGGCACAACTGGACTTCCCAAGGCCATTGTTCACACAGCCCTCGGCACCCTCCTGCAACATAAAAAGGAGCACATGCTTCACTGTGGCCTGACGCCAGCATCGCGGATGCTGTACTACACTACTACCTCCTGGATGATGTGGCACTGGTCTATTGGTGCACTTGCTGTGGGTACGACCTTGGTCCTCTACTCCGGCTCCCCATTCCGACCGAACGGCTACCTCTCCCTACCCAAAGTCCTTTCCGATCTCAAGGTCACGCACTTTGGCACATCGGCCGCCTACCTTACAGCCTTGGAAGCGAACAACGTCTATCCGGCCCGCGATGAGAACCTTGATTTATCATGCCTTGAAGCAATCTACTCCACCGCTTCGCCCTTGCCACCTTCGACTTTCAAGTTTGTTTACGAAGCATTTCCCAAACACGTCAACCTCGCTTCTATCACCGGCGGCACCGATATCATCTCTCTTTTTGGCGCACCATGCCCTCTACTCCCCGTCCGAGTCGGAGAGATTCAGTGCGCAGGCCTGGGTATGGCTATTCGTGTGATTGACCCACTCACCGCACAAGAGGTTCCTCAGGGTGAACCTGGCGACCTCATCTGCGTGAGGCCCTTTCCATGTCAGCCGCTGACCTTCTTCGGGGAAAATGGCCAGGAGAAGTACAAATCAGCGTACTTTGAGCGGTTTGCCAACGTCTGCGGTGTAAAGGGCGATGTCTGGCACCATGGCGATTTTGTCAAAATGCTCGATGTGTCAACTGGGAGTCTCACCATGCTTGGTCGGTCGGACGGTGTGCTGAAGCCCTCGGGTGTCCGATTCGGATCTGCTGAGATATACAACATTCTCACGCGGTACTTCGCGGCAGAAATCGAAGATGCTGTGTGTGTTGGTCGACGAAGGGAGAATGACAACGACGAGACAGTCTGCTTGTTTGTAGTCATGGCACCAGGGAAGAAATTTGACGACATGCTCCAGACGGCCGTCAAAGCGAAGATCAAGGCGGAGCTCAGCCCAAGGCACGTGCCAGGAATTATCGAGGAATGTGGCGGGGGTGTACCCAAGACAGGCAACGGGAAAAAGTACGTGTACTTGAGCATGGTTATTTGTCGATATGCTAACTGCTCCCTAGGATTGAAGTCGCCGTTAAACAGATCCTCTCGGGCATGGCGGTCAAGACGAACGCCAGTGTTGCCAACCCAGAGGCTTTGGAATGGTTTAAGGCGTGGACACGGACTCACTGATGCACAATAGACAGATGCTCCTCATACTCATGGTTTAGACGATATAGAAGCTTTACAGCGTGCAACTTGCCGGCTCGGTTCGAGCACGTCTCGCACCTGATGGCCTATTTCACGCTCTACATTGGCCCCGTGCTAGCCGTGAGAAGTCTGGGAGGAAGTGGCGGGCGTCGCAGTACGACGATCCAGACGTGAAATAGACGGTACTGGCCTGCCTGAGTGTGAGCTCGGTCTTGACTCCGTCGAGGGGTCACCCGACGATCGTAAAAGCCTGTCGAGAGCCACTCTAGATGCTGCCGGATACTGCCTGTTCCCCAGACAAGGCCTGCAGCAGATAGATATGAGACCCCGTTACGCCTGTAAATACTCGTAGAGAGCGTACGTGTGGTGACTGTGGCAGAGCCTAATCAAGCTTGACAAACCTTTCAGACATCACTATTGATTACTTCTATTTACAAAATCAACCCATAGGGATTAGATCCCCTGTGCCGGACCAACTCAATCTTCCATTGAGTTAATAGTCGACTCGGCCGAAGGCTTTTTCGAGATTGACCTCAAATTGTTGAGTAGTACTTCGGCAATCAGATTGAGCTATTGGAAAGCTGATGAGGCCAGAAATCAGCGGTACAAAGGGCTCACATCCGCGGTCGCCCAGATAGTACGTACTTATGATTACAGACATTGATAAATGACGGAGGGTATTTTACGGGTCAGCTCGTAGCATTTGCCTACTGCGGTATGGCCCGACTGGCGAGTCATGATGCTGGCAAGTCTGCCCTAATAATGTTCAATTTCCACCCGATCACCCGTCGAATCCTGATCATCCCTTTCAAGTGTGCATCAGTCAAAAGGCAAATGGCAATTTCGATGCGGCAAGTTCCATCAAATTGACCGTATTACGGCGTGGCAGATGGTGCGGCGATGCTCGCTTGAGAAACTGCTATCTTGAACACAAACGTTAAAAGTCCGCTCAATCTGAACACAGCTGCGTCGCGCTAGCATGGAAGATAGAAGCCCACCAGACCCTCAACAAGTGCTATTACACGTATCCATGCGCGGACCCTACATGGTACCTATGCTGGTGGCTGGTGTAAAGATCAGATAGTGATGTTTCTAAGAGAAATGAACATTTGAGGGTTGCGTCGCGAAGCAACGTTGGCGGGTTCTGCTGATCATGTAGGTAAGAATATCCTGGTAAGAATACTCGCATTGAAGATGTTTGGTCGGCAGGGGTGTTTCTGGGGTTAATTAGCAGGTCCATGCTGCCGCGCCTTTTATGACGGGGCCTTGGCGTGGATCCGCACACGTCGAGTTCACGCATGATCAGAGTACATATCTGTGAATCGCCCACATTCAAACATGCTCCTTTACTGAACTCAAAAATCCAGTGCAGTCGTTGCTCAGAGTCTCAAAGGCTGCGTCGCGACTACTCGGAGACCTCTCTGGCAAGATTGTCCGTGTCCACTTCAAGAAACTTGGATTTGCCTGAATCGCGAAGCGCCATCTGGACAGACTTGAAGATGATTATAAGCGGAGCTTCTTGCAGGAGGTCACTGCAAGCCAGTGCACGGTCAGTGGTGATGAAAGCGGGTCTTTGTCCAAGCGCCTGGCAGCCCTGGCTATTTGCCAATTGCCAGTGCGCGGCTGACTGGGCCTCAGGTGGTCTGCGCTTCGTTGGTGGAGGCAGCAGCCAGATCATTTCCTTGGGCCCGTCTGGGCCACCACTCTCTTCCGGGACCGCCTCCACATCTGATAGGAGTTGTACGTAGTTCGCGTCGACGCGGGCAGCCCACGGTGAAGGCAGCAGATGGCTCTTGAAAACATGCTAATGGATTGGATAAAGAAGAAAGCTGTGCTTTCCATGCTCTTCGACTGGAGTACTGGGTTTGTACCATTCAAGCAGTAGGGACACTGGTAAGGTACTAGCCTAGACGCTCGACACGGAATTGCAGCTGCAAGAAGGAATCCCCCTGGAGCTTGCATTCCCTTTGGGGCTCCTGCCGTTCTACGAATCTGCGCCGATAATGTCGTCCCGCTAGTCTCTAACGGTAGATAGAGTGGTGAGGAAGTGGATACAGCCCTGAAGAAAGCCGTGGCGCCCGCCTCGAAAGGTGCCAATTTGACACCACATCGTCAAATTACAGTGGTTTCCCACCAGACTTGGCAGTGCGCATCTCCAATTGCACAGGCAAGGAGAACCGGCGGGAGCTACCAGTCCAATCCAGTGCCAGACTCCAGTCTCTCCTTCCTCCCGTCCCCCCGTGCCCGTCCTCCACACCATCACCCTCGCTTGTTGGTCTCCCAGCTTGTTGTAATCTTCCTTTGCCAATTTCCATTTCCCATCGCCTCCCACCAACAGTCTGCGACGACGCAGACGAGCGACAGCGAGCCGCGATCGACAATCAATCCCTCGACGACGCCCACCCTCGAGCAGCTTCCTCTTCTTGCCTTCAACGACAGGCATTGGCCGCTTCTCTCGACCGGCTTCCCGCCTCCCGTCAGCTGCTCGTCAGTGTGTCGCCGGCCGCATTGTGCTCAAGGACGCGTACTGAAGTTGCTTCTGTCGTCGATTCGCCTGATCAACTCGTCGCAATGAATTCTCAAGGCGCCAACGACGTGTCGCCCGAGGCGATGCAGGCGCGCATCCAGCAGGCGCGCCGCGAGGCTGAGACCCTCAAGGATCGCATCAAGAGGAAGAAGGACGAGCTCGCCGATACTACTCGTACGTACCTGGACACTTAAAGCCTTTCTACTCAGACTCACCGTTGCCATAGTTCGCGCCGTTGCTCAACAAGCACACGAGCCTATTCCCAAGAATCAGCTCATGAAGGCAAAGCGCACACTGAAGGGTCACCTGGCCAAGATCTACGCTATGCATTGGTCAACCGACCGCAGGCATCTCGTCTCAGCTTCGCAAGATGGAAAGCTCATCATTTGGGACGCTTACACCACCAACAAGGTCCACGCTATTCCCCTGCGCTCGTCGTGGGTGATGACCTGCGCCTACGCACCGTCTGGTAACTTTGTCGCCTGTGGTGGCCTCGACAACATCTGCTCCATCTACAACCTGAACCAGCAACGTGACGGCCCTACGCGTGTGGCTCGCGAACTATCAGGGCACGCGGGATACCTGTCTTGCTGTCGCTTCATCAACGACCGGTCCATTTTGACATCATCAGGCGACATGACTTGCATGAAATGGGACATTGAAACTGGACAAAAGGTTACAGAATTCGCTGATCATCTCGGCGACGTCATGAGCATCAGCCTCAATCCAACTAACCAAAACACTTTCATTTCGGGTGCTTGCGACGCCTTTGCCAAGATGTGGGACATTCGCGCCGGCAAGGCTGTACAAACGTTCGCCGGCCATGAATCCGACATCAACGCCATCCAATTCTTCCCCGACGGTCACTCGTTCGTCACAGGATCCGACGATGCCACCTGTCGGCTCTTCGATATCCGCGCCGATCGCGAATTGAACCTCTATGGGGTATGCTGCCTCCGCCACCCGCAAGTCTTGACACACATGCTGACATGACCAGTCTGAATCCATTCTCTGCGGTATTACTTCTGTCGCTACTTCTGTTTCTGGTCGTTTGCTCTTCGCCGGTTACGACGATTTCGAATGCAAGGTATGTCTACTCTTATTCTCGCGAAACGAGCCCTTGATTAACGTTTCCAGGTGTGGGACGTCACTCGCGGCGAGAAGGTTGGCTCGCTTGTTGGCCACGATAACCGCGTCAGCTGCCTTGGCGTCAGCAACGACGGCATCAGCTTGTGCACAGGCTCTTGGGACTCAATGGTAAGTTTTTCCATGGCAGACCCTGTGCCAGTGGTTCTTTGGTTCAAGAGATTAACCCCAAGGAACAGCTTAAGATCTGGGCATACTAATATCTCCCGGCTACCACGATGGACTTCTCCAAGTTGCTTTAGCGCTATTTGGCACGCTTTACTCAACTTCTCCATCGCCCTCGAGCAAAGATACCAGCCAACGGTCACATGCTGTACACCGAAAGAAACGCTTGATTTTTGCCATGCGATCACTGGCGCACACAGGACGAATTGACGAAACCTACACACCATCCTCCCAGCCCGTCGAGACGAAACCCCCGCCCACGCACATTTACATAGTGCCAGCAACTTTCTTCTCTGTTTCCACACGTCTTCTTTCTTCAACATTGTGCGTCCAATATAGTCGGTAAACGATTTCACCATACCCCGGGCGGAGCGGTTCAGCAACGACCTGCTGGAGCGGAGGCAATGTGGGATTTAGCTGACGCGCGATACCTCTTGTTGTTTTTCTCTGGACTTTTCTTTTTCCTTGCCTCTCCTGCTCTGCCTCTGAAAGCCAGCTGGACCTCTTCCAGCTCGGCTGAAAAGCTCGTCGTGTCCCTTGTATTTCGGGCGGTTGTACTATGACGACCTTGCGTTGTCACGTTCCTCTTCCATAATGGCAGGCTTCGGAAATAAGAAGTAGCATCTCCAACATCGAAAACAGAAAAAATTGGCAAGCGATCCAAACCATACAGTGAGCTGGGGCCGAGTGAAGTCTGGTGGAGGAAGTTGGATATAACGGATGAAAGAGGTGTATTATGAGACTTTGGATACCCTCTAATGCATGTGTATGGTAATACCAGGGGCAATGTGCGCGATATGAGCGAGGAGTAATATAACATGAGGATTCACTATGATCCTCTGGCAACTTTATTGCATCATGGCGAGGAGGCAAGCGGCGGATGAAACGCCAGCTACGTGCAAGTACGTGCGACAGTGTCATGACTGCTAGGATGCCTGCGCATTTAAGGCACTGCATTTGCGGTATCTGGAAATGTCTGGTGCTCAGAAAACATCGAATAGCTAGCCCCCCACTGCTAGTAGGCAGTATTGGACGTCAAGACCACGGCCTTGCCTCGAGCTCCTATTGTTCAAACAGGGTTAACATTGCCAAATCACATCCACGCTTAGCGAAGCCTAGCTTCGTTCATGTGCAGGCTGCCACTGGAAAACAAAATAACCCAAATAGTAGACAGTCCTAAGATTATAAGAACATACGTTGTGTACAAGTATAAGGCCTCGCCTCGAACCACCTCTTCTAGACTTCATACCTAATCGCGATACCTTCCCTCTACCTTTGAACTCACATTACTACAACGCTCAATACAACACAAGCGACCACAATCGACTACACCCTACGACTTGGTACCTAATATCTAATGCCTCACTATAGCACCCCAACAGGTTCCCAAGAGAGTAGGTGACCCGGCACCTGACCAACTGGAAGAGTTTTTAATCGGGATTTCACCAACCGTCGCCGCCGAGATGAACAATTGGAGGCCAACAGTATAATTCAACTTGCGCAAATTACCTGGGTTTTCGCACCAAGCACGGCTTAAGACTGCATCGCTTGGACACCTTTTCATGCTAATCCTCGCATAGTTAAGGTAATGATATTCAACAGAGTAAGAAATGTTTAGGGTAGGTAATCCAAGTCCGTACGCCCTGGAGAAGCGAGATCTCGAGGCTCGTCAGGCTGAGACACTAGCCAAGGTAGCCAATGACTCGTCTTTGTTCAACCCAACCGATGTCCTATCTGCCCATTGCTTGCATTGAATCTTCATCATCGACGGCATCTTGTTATGCACCGTGCTTCTCAGCCCTGCGATTGAGCGGCTGCGCCCAAGTGAATGCAGCCTCAGGCTTGCGCGCGCTATGATCCCATAGCCCATGGGCGAAATCGCATCTCAGCTGGCTGCTTCAAGCTCTCTCCTCAATGCCAACTCGGAGATCTTTGAAACACATGGCTTGACTATTTGGCGGGAGAGTTCATACATGTATAATTAGATGCTCGGCGACGGATCGTGCGCATGCATATAGATTCGTCGTTGATGACAAAACACAGCCGGTGTGTAAGAACAGCATGCTGGCAGGTACTCAATATCATGCCCGATGCTGATCACAAGATCCCTATCACACATGTGTGCTGCTGTCACCCCTGCAGCACTACCTTATTAATACTTGGCAACGTTGAGTGCCTGAGCACCTGTACTTATTGCAAGTTGCCGAAGAAACGTCGAATAACTTAGCCTACGTCACGATACTGTAGGCGTAAAATGTAGCACCTGGTATGCATGGACTTGGAAATAACTTTGTTCGTAATTTGGCGCTCTCCTCACCCTTGCGCCAGAGCCGTTTGCTTCTGTAACTGTTAATAATAGGCATGAGGACCCCGCCACCATGCGCACTCTTGTGCCCGTCAAAATGTGCCATGCCACAGCCCCTGAATCCCTGCACCACTAGCTTCTACTTCTGTCGCTGTCGCATTGTGTCTCAGAGACTTGAAACGGGCTACGGCGACGCCACTGACGACCCTCCGCTGACGGCCGCGCCTTTTTCCTGGCCGGTACTCCTTCCAACTTGAACAAGAACTTCAGTTTCGATACAAAGGCGCCTTTGAAAGACTCTCGCTTCGGAATTGCGCTCGTCGCTGTCCAACCCCTGTCCTTGAAAAGACCTCCGGCATTGCCGTCAGGGTTGACGACTCCACTATAGTATTTCTCGAAGGCGCTTCTTTCGTCGACATTGATCATCCCTCGAAACCAGCGGTCTGCGTACACGCCTTTGCGAAACAGTCTTCCGACCTAGTCCCCTGAAAGAACCCAGATACGCTCGTCACATTAATACTGAGCGAGGCCGCCTTTATCATGTCAACAACCGCCGCCCAAGACGAGTTCAATGAACTGATCGCGAAGAACACTGTCCGCGAAATACTTCACCCGGACGATCGCAACGATCCAGATTTACGACAGCACCAAGACACCACTGAGGAGGACGACTTCCGTCAAGGACAGATTGCCGAAGCCATGCGCGCACCGACCGCCGACCTTCCGATGATCCGCCTGCCACCTGCATCATTCGACGATGGTCACACGACAGGCGTCAAAGGCGTCATCGCCGACGCGCGTAGCTACGAAAATGCGCGTACCAAGTCTAAGTGGAGGAACAGAGTGCATGCTGCCCGGCGCAGCATCTTCGGCTTGGACGGGATGGCGCAGCAGAACACAATCCACAAAGACAGAAGCGACAGCGAGTCCGATGAGGACGCCAGAAGCGACAGTGATAGAGGAGATGAAGATTCTTTCCTAAGTCAATGGCGTGAGCACCGCAGGCGGGAGCTCGAAGCCGAGACCGACAAGGTCATCAGGAATCGAAGAACGAGTCCCAGCGTGAGGGAGTACGGGCGGTTCGACGAGGTGGACGCGCTTGGATATCTCGACGCTATTGAGAAGGTTCGTCGGGAAACGTTGGTAGTCGTGTTCGTATACGACAACGAGGTAAGTCGGTTTGTGTCCAATGCGACGGCAATTGCTAATGATGACTGCAGTGTGAAGTATCCAAGGAGATAGAGTCGGCGCTGGTACCTCTTGTCAAGGAGCATCGGGCCATTCACTTCGTCAAGGTGCACTACGACGAGATTGAATTCGACCCTGCAGCTGTACCGTCCATCTTGGCCTACCGCAACCAAGGCGACTTGTTTGCCAATCTTACAGGTGTCATCGAGATGATTCCCGAGGACGAGGACTTTACCAGCGACTCACTGAAGCGATTGTTCCAGCGGTTTGACGTCTTATAGAGACGTGCGTACGACCCCGAGGACGTAATGTCTTCTCCAGGTAGACGAACTCATTGATACCCTTGGCTGCGTCTGACCAGCCAATCTTGTCTGCTGCTCATTTCTTTTTATTTTTATTTTTTTTACAGCCGCCTCTGAGAGGCCTGGTGATGACTGGTGCATAGGAGGACACGGGGCATGGTCAGGAAAAATGCTTAGAAACACTGCTGGCGTTGCGCTCTTGGACATTCCACGTATTGGTCACATAATGAATGAATATCCCGCTTTCTAAACCACACCAAGTCCTCCGTTGTCACTCGAGATCACATCGCCGAGTATGGTTATGAACCCAATATGGACACACTGTATGCGACGTCAGTACGCATGTGCGCACCTGGTGTCTCGTTCCACAATGCGTCAATGAGGAGACCCGCGCAATTGCCCCAGTCTGAATGCAAGCCGTGACCACTTCATGCGATGATGTATGTTCATCCCACTTAAACAGTGTTAAAGCGTGTGCTGAGTGAACTGAACTCATGCATGCATACCGGGGAAATCCATTCTGTAAAATGAGCCACCAGCAGTTCAAAGATGTTGTATTAACATTGTTCGTTAGCTCCAGTCGTTCCTCTGCCAAATCGAACTTCATAGACCCGGGTCGCTAAAACGCCCTACGAGGTATGGTGACTCAAGAGTCAAGACACGGTGTGGTGGGGCAACTATCATGTGGTCACATGCGTGAGACTGCCCATGCATGGCAGAGTCGCGACTGGTGATAGCCTCAGCGAGTCTCAGCCAAGGAGGGGAAAATGCCTCTTGTGTAGTCCAAGCTTGGAGAGCACGCTACCTGACTTTCACCAACTAATATTGGCATCAGTTTTCTAAATCCTGATCGACTTTCAAAGGTGCACGTGGGTTCAGATGCTCAATATTCGACCATGGCGGAGCAGGTACGTCCTAACATCACACATGCTTACCGGGGCCGATAAGAGCAGTAGTGGGGTCATTGATAGTTGGGTAGCCGCCGATAAAGCTATCATTTCAGGAACTAAGCACCCCAACCTGCACCCCACCCCGCTGTAATGGCAGGAAATGGTCCCTTTCTTCCGTGAGTCGCGTTCGCTTTCACTCGGCGCAAGCTAGAGCTATTTCTGTTGGGCACTGTCCAGCCGGGTTCCAATAAACCTAGAATGCCTCCAGGTCACAGTGACAGGCCGGCATCAGGCCTTAACGAACACCGGACCAGAGGGGCTGCTTGCAGGGAGTGCACTAGGCAGCACCAGCCTCGAGTGACCAATACGTCGTCTACCTGTAGATGGTCCAGTGACTTGGTTAGGTACCTCCGTTTGTCACTTTCCCCCTCGATCAGCTTTATGTATCATCACTACTACCTCTAGCGTTAATTCTTCTTCGTCCTCTGCCACGTACTCAATTACCAGCGCCTCAACAACGACCTCTCCCGAAACGAAGCACAACCCGACGCAGCCCGCGCTTTTGGTTACCGGTACCTGCTGCTTCCGTCCATCACATGCTGGTCACACTGCCTGTCAAGCTCGATGATGGAGTGAGGCCTCATAGCGAACAAGCTCGTCCCCTTCTTCCTAGGCATGGAAACGCAACCTAAAGTTGACTCAACTACACCATCGAGCACATCAAATTTCAACACGGCAAGCGAGAGCCATCCGCACGAAGCAGCCGAGGATCCCGGTGACGATATACCACCATTCATCGAAGACGATCTCAGCCTCCGCTTTCCTCGACCATACGGTTCAAGGCATCTTGCCAGCTGGGTCATTAACAGCGATCCTGACATTATGCGTGTAACAAGCGTACCCGGGCCCGACGACGGCAGTCTGGCGGACTCCACATACGAACTCATTCATACCGCGGACGACAGCAACAGCGAGTGGTCGCATGATGAAAACATGGACGACAACGACATTATGGGCGAGTCGACTGGCTCTCTGGACCAACATTGCACGGACGAGGCGCACAGCGCCACTGGAGAAATGGAGCCAGGTGTCCAAGTACTTGATGAGAGTTCAGGCATGACTGAAAGGCCAGCTGCTCAGATGTCCAGGTCAGCGCCAGACAGCGCTGACGCAGACTCCGATCACGATCAGGCTCCCTCCACTCCGTCTCTTGACTATGCACATGAGACACTTGACATGCCGTCATTTTTCGTGGAAAAGCCCGAGCAATCCGAGCCAGGTCCTGCGAAGAAGCATGCTGTTCCTAATGAGTCAAGGCACACAAAGAAGCGTGCTGTCCTCGAGCTGCTCAAGGATTACCAGGTCTTTGTGCCAAACGCGACTGACTTTCATGAACACCGATCGTTGATGATTGCACTTGTACTTAGCGCGCTGGCTATGTTAGGTACGATCCTTACATCGTACTCTCTCCCCACGCTCCAGGAGGGCCGCAACGTTCCCAACCTTCTGGCCTTGCCTTCGACATCTACCTCTTCGCACCTTGTCTGGAGCACACCTTCTGACAAGCAAAGTCCTTCATCGACAGTCAGTGAGAGGACTCCTGATCCTCAGGCACAAGACGAGAGTAGCAGCTATGACTGGATCTTTGGACCTCCTCGACCGAAAATGAGTTACATCATCCACGGCAACAAGTTTACAGCTCACGTTGCCGAAGACGTCAAAGCTGGATGGAAGTACCAAGACTGCGTCACTATTCAAGCCTACAGGGACGGACATCAGATCTTCACCACCAAGGGCGATCATGAAGATGGCTTCTTCGCCACGATCCCTGCAGCCGAGAAATACGGCGACGTCGAGTTTGTCCTAGAGTCAACATGCAAACCAGTCACTCGTCGTGCAGTCCACATTCGATTTGCCACCTTTACGGAAAGCTTTGAAGCCTTGACAGAAAGCGTCAAAAATCGTCGCTCTCTACCAGAGATCACCAAGGCTTTGGTTCCCGTGCTCGAGCATTTCACCAACCCTTATATCGTGGGACGTCACATTAGCGACAGAGCTCGCGACGCTGCCCAATCTGCTCGACATGGCATGATGGAAGTTCCCAGCCTGACTTCCAACATCGTGAACAGGGCTACGCAAACCTTCAACCATGCGTCCGATATCCGAACTGCTGGTATTGAGGCAACGAAACGTGTGGCTGGACAGCTCAGTCATGTACAGATGGGGCTGCACTTGGGGCTTTTGGACGCCCAGATTGCCGCGAAACTATCTTGGCTTGGCATCACGGGCAAGCGGCATGCGCAAGATGAGTATCGCCGCAAAGCTGAGGTCTTCATGGCAGACAAGCGTGCCAAAGCCGGGCAGCTTGTCTAAAGGTCCGCGGAAAGCCTTGACCGAGACACAACCTGTTGAATGGCATCAAGCTTTTGTGTGGGGATGGGCGGTTGTGAGTCTCAGATGGAACGTCGATTGTATGCTGGACCAGGCCACAACGTATATCTTCTGCCTGCGTTGCTGCGAATAGGAGATCAGGGAGTGGCGTTAGATTATCCAGTACTGGATACGGTTGGAGTTTCGGAGGCAATCTATTTCTTTCTGATTATGTGCAGTGCCTTTTTAAACTCATACTTTTCACCGTGGTAGGCGCAATGACTATGAGTACGTGTGAGGCCTTGGTTGGCGTTTATGCCTACGTACTAGGAAATAGTAATGAACATCGCCGTTGATAACGTACCACTCGTTACGGCAGATATCCTGATAGTGAGGGACGTAGGTATGTGCCATCAGGGCCTCATGTTGAGTCTCTTCATGGAGATCATCAATTATAACCCCTGGGCCCACTGCATTGGTCGAGGTGGGGCAGTTCAGGGACTGCCTGGATCCTCGCCTGGCGGCCTGACGGCCCTGACCAGCACGGCAGCACCAGCGTGCAATTTCTCCCCCGCTAACAGAGATGAGGTGAGGGGCAAAACACAGCACAACTCCAGTCGAGCATCACTAAGTTTTTCTTCTGCACCTTCTCAAACGTCAACACACGTTTCCGCTCCATTAACAGATCCCATACAACGTAAGTTCAGCCGGTAAGAGGGCCCGACTGGCGGTCATTCTCCGTTGGGAAGCGCCCTCGCTATGACATGTGTACTGACAGAGAATTTGTAGGCAAACATGTCTGGCGTCGAAGCTACCGAACCCAAGGTCGAGGAGACCAAGCCTGCCGAGGAGACTCCCGCAACCACAACGGGCGAGACCGCAACCGCGACCGAAGAGAAGACCGAGGACAGCAAGCCTGTCACTTCGTCTGCAGTGTTTTCCATGTTTGGCGGTGGCGCCAAGAAGGAGAAGAAGGAAGAAGAGGAGCGTGGCGATACATCTGGCAGTGCCAAGGCCCAGCGCGATGCCGCCAAAGAGAACGACGAAGACGAGGCCCCCGAGTCGGAAGATGTGCACTTCGAGCCGGTGGTCAAGTTGACAGAGAAGGTGGAGACCAAGACAAATGAGGAGAGCGAGGAGCAGCTCTTCAAGATGCGCGCCAAGCTCTTCAAGTTCGTCAAGGACAGCAATGAGTGGAAGGAGAGGGGCACTGGCGATGTCAGGCTCTTGAAGCACAAGGAGAACGGCAAGACGAGGCTGGTCATGCGCCGCGACAAGACTCTCAAGGTCTGCGCCAACCACTATAGTACGTTGCTCCTTGCCGCTGGCCCGATCCGGTCTTGCAGCAACCACGAGCTAACGTTTGAGCAGTCGTCCCCGAGATGAAGCTGTCTCCCAACGTCGGCAGTGACAGGTCCTGGGTGTGGAACGCTGCGGCCGACGTCAGTGAGGGCGAGCCAGAAGCCTGCACTCTCGCTATCCGTTTCGCCAACTCTGAGAGTAAGTCATGCTTGACGTTAGGTGGGTAGCCAACACTGACCTCGAATAGATGCCAACGCATTCAAGGATGCCTTCCTGCAGGCTCAAAAGGAGAACGAGGAGATCTTTAAGAAGGCCGAGGCGGCGACCACGGAGGAGGCTCCCGCTGCTTAGATGGCGCAGATCTTGTCAATGATGTTTTCCCGTTTGTAGGCGCGCACATAAGACCGCGTGCAGGCGACCTAGTTACCGTGGCAAGTTATCTGATTTCACTAGTCGCATAGAATACATCGTCGATTAGCGACGGTGATACCCCCAAACTTCCCCTTTGTTTTTTAACTCACTACACGACGACAAGATAGGACACGGCATGAGCGGTGAAGAGGATGTCGCTCGCAACGAATTTCATGCAGCGGATGAGGATGATTGGGTCATAGCACCAGCAATGATTAACATATTTTGACACAACTGGCTCGTCACGAGATTCGTTCTTGGGCATGTTCTGCGAACCATGCGGTCGAAATGCTTTGGCGTGTCACTCTGGTGTAAATGTCTTGATGATTCCTTCGCGGGCGGACAGCATCGCGGTCAATGGCCTAGCCACGAGTGCGTGAACCTGTGTAGATGATGTACCTTGCCCAATGGCCAGGCTCCTTCTGATAAATGCCTTTCTGCCGCAAATTAAGCAACAGCTCAGGTACCCTTCTTTGTGGCTTGTCTACAGAGTATATAGACCCTCTTCATGATAGATGGGCTTGAGCCTCTGACGCAGTGGATGGAGAGCGGGCCAAGACTAAGCGTTAGCTCCAATTTTGCCGACCTCGAAGGTGCAACGACAGGCGTCGCACGCGCATGGTTTGTCCGTACATACCACCAGAACTATACCACATCGCATCGACCAAAATCTGCCCCAACGCGCCGCCCTCGTGTACAATCACCAGATACTAATTGTGTATCATTAATTGGGAAGTGGGCGCCGCCTGTACAGACGCATCATGTTGGTCGACGTAAGTCAGTTCGTGTACCCGCGTTTACCGGCTGCCCACTCGCATTTCCCTACTTGCCTGTGCTTCGCGAACGTATGCGCGCGCAGCCAGCCGTAATGGTCGATTACAAGTGGAAGACCAGACGATTTGAAGAGTAGCTGAGCTCGAGTTGTCGCGCTTGCGCTGGGCCAAGTGGTAGCGGACCTCTACCTCACATTGCACTTTTCCACCATCGCCAGCATGCACAAGCGCAAAGCAGGAACACAAGCTAATATCTTGAAGCGACGAATCAAAATTGTCGTGGAACAGAATGTCATGTACGTACCGACCTGCGAGCTATGCGATTACGAGGAAACGAAAGACGAGCGGGCTACGATTCCCTAGACGAAGCAAGCTGACGCGCGTTTGTGTACCTCAGAGACAAACCCTCGCCCGTTGAGGAGTTCCCCATGCGGAAATGGAGTATGAAGATATACCTCCTCGACGAAGAGGGGCAAGAGCACACAGCGGACGTGTTCACCAAGGTGACCTACAACCTCCACCCGAGTTTCGAGGATCCGACGCAGAGTAGGCCTTCCGCGCTCCTGGCCAGAGAAAGACTATGAAAGACACTGACACACTACACTAGCCTTCCATACGCCACCATTTACTTGCAGCAACGAGGGCTGGGGCGAATTCGAGCTAGGGATCGACTTGTACACGACCGAGAAGACCAAGATCACTCCGACTATCGTTCAGGATCTCAACTTTGCGCAGAACAAGTACGAGGCAATCCATCCCATTGTTATCAAGAACCCGAGCCAGGCATTGCAGGAGAAGCTGCGTGAGACTGGGCCATTGCCGACCGACGAAGGGCGCAAGAAGGGTGTCGCTGGTGCCATCAACGGGGCCTCCGGCAAGAAGGCCTCGCAAAAGTATGACTACGAGAAGATTGCGGATGCGTTGCAAAAGCTGGAAGAGGAGGACCTCCTACGAGTGATACAGATGATCAACGAGAACAAGGGCCCGGACACCTACATTCGGAGCGACGTCGATGGTAAGCATGCAATCTCTACTTTTCTTTGTTCAAGTCATCGTATGTTGATGGAGTGGGCTAATAGTAGATGACTTGCTTAAAGCTGGCGAATTCTCGATCGATCTTTACACGATGCCCGAGTCACTGACATCCAAGCTCTGGGAGTTCTTCGTAAGTCGCCGTATGTGCCAGAAAAACCGGACAATACTGACAGGCATAGTCTAAGAAGGGGCTGATTGGGTCCTGATATAGTCGAGTGCCGAATGGACATGCGACAGACAAAAGCTGCGACTACCGAATAGTGAGCTCTAAAACCGGCGCCTGGGTGCTGAATAAGTTCTTTCCGAAAGTTTCGCGGTGCTTCCGGGCTTCCTTTCTTGATTTCTTTGCTTGACATACCATTTCCGGAAGTCCTGAATGGGAATGGGTACGAGGCGATACGGGGTGTGCACTGGGATTCTTGATTACACAAGGAGTAGCTGCTTAATGACTGGGTTAAGGCTAAATGGACATTGCGAGAAAATTATGATCAGTACCAGGTTCCCCTTGCTTGCAATGGTCACGAGATTATGTGCTGGACAACAATTTCGTTCTGTGTACGAGCCTGGGCGACCCATTCAGCTGCCCTCACCTCACGCGGGGACTGATGACCCTTCATAATCCCATGCCCTGACAGGCAGGTGGTATCTTCGTCAAGTGACTGTTTTTGGGCTGTCTGACCATGGCCGTATCCGTACAGGCATGTAAGTATTAGTACTGAGGTGTAGCAGTCCATGTAGATACATCAAAACGGTCAAGTCAGTACCTCAGGTACAGTTCTATTGAGGTGGCTGGAGCTTCCCAACTGGAAATACATGATTGGCTGTTGATGGGTGGGACGTGCATCTTGGGGTGGCTGAGAGGCACCAAACGTTCTTGCCCGATCAGGGTTGGAGGTCAGCGAGAGGAAGGAGAGAGAGGGGAAAAAGATGCAAGACGGAACGAAATTCTGCATGGCCAACAGAAGCCTGTTGGATTCCCAGCCATTCCGACGACGCTCTTTTACAGATAGGCAGACAGAGCCGCTCCTCTGCCTCGTCATTGCGACTGTCCGAGCCAGCAGCATCTTTTCGGATACGTATCCCTATGAGAAACCGATGAACCCCGCCTTTCCGCATTCCCAAGCCCGCCGCGCCCCCCAAGCCAAAACCGCTTGAGCTCGGCACACGCAAGTAGTCCTCCCTCGCCCAACCGCCGCAAACCGATCGAAACCTTTCCACGCAACGACCGACAGAACAGCCCATTCACCAGTGGACGGGCGCTTCCAACCACAATGTCGTCCCAATACGGTGCCGAAGGAACACCTGCTCCGGCTGGAGGGACCCAGACAGGTGGCACATCCCAGCATAAGCGCGTCTACCAGGCTTGCATCCCATGTCGCCGTCGTAAGGTGCGCTGCGACCTCGGCAGCGTCGACAATCCCCACGACCCGCCCTGTGTGCGCTGCAGGAGGGAAAGCAAAGAATGCTATTTTAGTGCTACGAGGAGGAAGAGGAAAGGCGACGATGGCGAGGGTAGCGATGCAGACGACTACACAATCCGCAATGGGAGAAAGAGGGTGTACACAAACGAGAACACACCGCCGGTCGTCGATCGCCGCCTGTACAGCGAGGCACCTCTGACACCAGGAGGTTCGCACGGTAGAAGTCAACCATTGCGCCGACCTGATGGAAGCGTCTCTGATCAAGGCAACCCGGTGGGGCGCACCGACAGCAATGATTTCGCGGTGGATGCCGATGAGACCCAGCAGGTGCAGAATCCGGACGCACAAACTGTGATGCGACCTGGTGTGTACGGTCTTCATGATGCCCTTGATCTACTCTACAAGGCTGCGACAGACACGGACAGGTTGGTTGAGAGCGAGGAGAGCGCCGTGCGTCAGCTTGCTGACATGAAGCATAGCCCGCTGAATGCGCCACGGCCCCAGCGTGAGGAGAGTCGACTGCCCACCGCATCAATCTACCAGTCCCACCGTGGTACTGAGCAGCCGGAGCGCAAGCGTCAGAGAAACAGTGCTCCTCAGGTTAGGGTCGAGAAGCAAGCTATTGATCCCGGGCTCGGGAAAGGCGATTTGAGTGCCCAGCCCGGCTATGCAGAAGCGATCAAGGCATGGTCAAGGTTTCGATTTGTACGGGCTGGTTGGTTCACGCCGCACGAGGCGATTGAGTACATTGACTAGTAAGTTAGACAGATCCCCGGGCGAAGAACCCCGTGGCAACTAACATGTCGTCTAGCTACTACAAGTTTTTATCGCCAATGACACCTATATCACCTCCAACATTCAGCAATCCCGCATCGCATCTTACCTTATTGACGGAGGAACCAATTCTCGCTGTCACTCTCCTGACGATTGCATCACGTTATCGAAAAATGCCGGGCACTGGCGGCCACTGCCGATCACATGCAATCCACGAGCAATTGTGGACGTACCTGCGTGGGATGGTAGAGAGATGCCTTTGGGGTCAGGAGGCGTTCGGTGGTGGGTTCTGCGGTTCCACCTCCGCACCTGTTGTCTCCGACGAGACTCACAGCAGCAGCACCGCGCCCTGGAGGGGCATGCGGAAAGGAAGCCTACGTACGCTGGGGACAATCGAGTCTCTGCTGATTCTGACCGAGTGGCACCCGCGCGCCCTGCATTTCCCACCACCAGATGCCACGGACGAACTCATGTTACCTGACTTCAACGGGCAAGTCGGGCCTGGAGGGGACGACATTAAGAACTCTGGCGTCGGCATTGGTGGAAAACGTCTTGAAAGCTGGCTAGAACCAGCGTGGAGAAGTGATCGTATGTGCTGGATGCTCTTGAGCACGGCGATGGGCCTCGGCTACGAAATGGGTGTATTCGACGACATTGACGAGCTGCTCAAGGACGAGGCCATCACAAGGCCTGAATACCGCGACGAAATCTACAGGCAAAGAGCAAACCGTATCAAGCGGCTCCTGCTCATATACACCAGTCAACTTGCTGGTCGCTTAGGGTGGACAAGCATGGCCCCAGAACACTTTCGAAGGGCAGATCCGGCGGTGACCAGAAAGCGCCCCATGCCCAACGATGAGAACACACCGGGTACAGCTCTCTCATCAAGCTTCTCCAACGCCTTCATTTATGTACCCGACCTCGAACTTGATGACCAGATCATCCACTGTTGGGCAGCCATCACCAATGCCATGCACCTTGGCAACGAGAAAATGTTTCGGTCACGAGCGCACACTGCGGAGATCATCCGGACTGGACAGTACCTGGATCTTTTGAGAGAATTCACACCCCTCCTGCAGGACTGGTTCAGAGAGTTTGAGAGATTCCGCCTGCCGCCATACTTGAAATACATCCTCACCATCGAGTACGAGTACGTCCGCATCTACATCAATTCACTTTCACTCCAAGCCGTTGTCGAACGCTGCACTAGCAATGCAGGCAACCAGAACGGAACGGGAGGCCTGGCCAATTCGGGGGTTCAGCTTTCGCCCCAGACTATTTTGAACTATTCGAAATTGCCCCTTGGTCAACTCGGCGGTTTCAGCTCTCACGACCAGGAGTATGTGCGCGAGGTAGTCGAAGGTTGCCGCAATCTCTTGGGCATTGTGGTCGATGGCCTTTTACCAGGTGGCTATTTGAAGCATGCGCCTGTGAGGACCTACTTCCGCATTATCAGTGGTGCAATGTTTCTTCTAAAGACGTTCGCACTGGGCGCGCCACGCTCGGATGTGAAGATGAGCATCGACCTCATGGACAGAGCGACAGAAGCTTTGCGCAATTGTGTGGTAGACGACGTTCATCTTGGTATTCGATTCGCAGACTTGCTCGAAACCTTGACTAGTAGACTGCGCAACCGCTTCATACAAGCTCCAACGATGCAGCAGGCTTCAGGCAAGGGACAAAGCCCTGTGCCAGATAACAATGGCACTGCGTCGGCTTCGGCACCGAATGGGGCCGAGTCCGACTGGGTTGGCAACCATGCCCAGACATTGCGGGATGAGCTCAATGGCAACCGTAAGTTTTTGGCTTTCCGTCGCCACGAGTGTTCACACTAACCAAGCAGGCCGACTTCTCAGTCCGACGATGGAGGGTGGTAACATTTCGGCTACTCCTTTCGATCTTTCCGCCAGCGCATTCCCTTATCCCGGTGGCGCTTCGCTTGGCCCTGCAACGCCCACTGCTGTCCTGGATCCGAGCACGAATCCTCAATTGTCAGCGCCTGGTACCGGTATGGACGCAAATATGTTTGACGACTGGAACAATCCTGGAAATGAGATGTGGTACCTGCCCACGGGGCCGGCCTTTTTCCAAAACATGGAGAACAGCAGTGTTGCCATGACGGCGGAAGGCGTGAACGTAGGCGGACTCGACTTGCTGGACTATCTTGCTACAGACACTAATATTTATCATGGAGCGGATGGGCCAAGCTCCAACGGACCTTTCCCTTAGGGAATGACCTTTGTATGCAATAGCAAGTACCTAGAGAGCCCAATTCCGGCGGACCGACAGTTGTTGTGGGAAGGGGGAAAAGATTTCACGCGAGCGTGGCGTACGTGTGTATTGCATCCTTGGGACATCATGTGAGCATTTAAACTGGAGCATCGAGAGGACTTGCACAAAAGAACACGGCAAATGAGTAAAGAGGGGGGAGAAAAAGGGTGTACACCACCTCGTGGTGTTCCATAGACAGAGAGCACTTGGTCACATGAACGACTGATGGTTCTACAAAAGCAATCGAGTCTTTTGTACTGCCTGCTATGTATCTTGATCCTGACTCGTTTGTCCTCCGTTTGTCCTCCAAGTGTGATGTGAGAAGAACTTATTGTATCAATGTGCAGAGGGCGTCTCTTTTGCGACGCCAGAGAAATGCTTGAAGAGAAGAACAACAGAATAGAGAAATGACGCAGGAAGGGAACAGACGGACGAACACGTCCTTCGACAGCCATGGACTTGTGGCGGCCAGTGGGCGCGGGTTGTACACAAAATGGTTTGATCCGAACTAGAGAAAGCTAAAGATGAATGTGTGATGTGCAGCAAGCAAATGCGTGCGTTATGCCTCGAGTTAGATAGTATAATATGAGAGAGAGGAGGGATCGACTTTTGCTGGTGAGTGGTATCATTTAAAGAAGAGGACAGAAAATGGGGAAAGGGGGTAAGAGACAAGTGAGAACGTCAGCTCTCAGTGGAGGACAGTCGACGATTATTGACCAGCGTATGCGGCATGGGCATCTTGCAAGACTGGATTTCTGTTAGCACGCACTCTTCAGCGGCTGAGACCAAGGGTTTGTCAACTTACTCTGCAGCACGTTCATCTGACCAGCGCGGTCCTCGCAGGCGACCTGTACGCTGCTGCCCTCGACAAGATCCAGCACAACGCTATTGGGCAGCTCTTGCACCTCGACATCTGGGGCGTACGGTGTGCGGAATTCACCTAGGTGGTAGCGTTTGACGCCTGCCCCGGCAGTCGTGGGACGTTGGCTTTGCTGCGGCGCTGTGGAGAGGACGACGTAGCCCTGCGTGTCGAGGTACATGTTGCGGCGCTTCCACAAAAGTGTGTCGGGGAACTGGACGTTGACATCGCCCATGTAGGAAGCGATGCCGGGGCCCTCGTCACTGGCGGTTGCAGAGGGGAACTTCTCCTCCGTGACAGTCATGGGTGTCCCCATTGGCGAGCTGGCCTTGTTCTTGCTCGTCCCAGACAGGGAGGACAGACGGCGCATGATGCGGCTAGCCCGAGAAGCCTTCTTCTCACTGGTTACAGACTCATCGTCACTAAGGATAGACGACATGCCGTCGCGGTCTTTACTTAGGGATCGTCGTGAAGAGATGGAAAGTCGGTTTGCAATCGAAGAAGAGCTGCTGTGCTGAGTAGACAGAGCCGGACGCCCGGGAGACCGGGGACCCGCGCCATTGGCGGAGGAAACGTTGTCGGTGGATGGCGACGTGAGGTTCTTGCGACCATCCTTGATAAAGTCCCGCATGATGCTGAACGACGAGCGGCGCGGATCCGGCATATCAGCTGCCTGGCGCTCTGGGCTTGGCTCAGGCGCAGGGGGCTCGACGGTCACATCTGGCGTGTCCGGCGCTCGCTGGTGATCGACAAGCAAAGGCGATTGCTTCAGGTCGAGGTGTCCCTCGGGGGTCTGTGACTGTGAAGGAGAGTCCCTGACGATTTTAGCTGTCACGGAGACTGTCTCTGGCCGCCCGCGAGGTTGGTTGCCCGGGGAGCCTGTGGGTTCAAACTTGGACAGTCGGCTGGAAATTGACCCCGATCGTTCGCGATGGAACCGCAAGTCTGGGGAATTGTCGCGTGATTGTGCCGTTGAAGGCCTTACGTCCCTGAGCGAATTTGTCCTGTCCACTACAGAGGGTGATCTCGACGGTACACGATCTTTGTTCACTTGAAAGAAGGTGGATGACGGTCTCGATCCCGGCGCTGCTGCTGTGCCCTCGTGGACAGACAAGAGCTCGAGAGCCTTGATTCTCTGCGAAATACTCGAGCCCAAGTTGCCTCCCTTCTTTGACAAGTTGTCGCCGTTGCGCTGCTGGGTAATTTGATGTAAGTAGGCTGCGCCGTGACTAAGTGAGCGCATGGAGGACTGGCTCACATCTGAAGGAGGCGCGACAAGGTTGCCTCGAACCGGGTTGGATACTGTTCGCACCATTGTTGGTTTGCCGGTGAAACTCGGCGCTGTGGCCGACGCAGGCGCGGCGGCTCCGCCATTGAAAGTGAGCTTGCCGGGGAAGACGGGAGTGACAGGAGTCTTGGCGACGAACATGGGCTTGGCCTCTTCGACGGTGGCGCTGTGGATCTCATCTAGCAGACTTTCATCATCCTCGACGGAGAAGGCCTGCGATGTAGGTCGACTGTGCTGGGCAAGGTCTGTGCGAATAGGTTCGACTGGACGGCGGCGAGATGGTTGCAGAGGGGGTGAGATCGTTTCGGTGTCGCTGACCTGGTCGTTCAGCTTGGCATCATCGTCCGTTCCAGGGGTCTCAATAGCTGCCGGCACCTTGCCAGCTATATCTTGCTGAATCCTGTGATCCCTATCTTCTACTGTAGCCTTCTCATGCCCGTGAGCGAGCATGTCGTCGGTGTGTGCTGCCTGGGTGAGTGTAGATGTTGAGGCCCCCGTGGTCTCGTGCGATGGAATGCTGCCGTCCACATCGTTGGCCGATGCGGCGACCACGCTCTCGCTGCAGCATTCTTGATCGTCAACAGATGTAGCTACAGTCTGCGCTGTCGAATCATTGAGCTGAGTCGCAGTATCTTCCGAGGTTGCCGATCTGGCTTCTGCAGGTGAGCTCGCGGCTCCGTTCCCGTTTACATGCGCTTCCTCCCCGTGCGATCCCTCGTCCTCTTGGACAGTCCTGTCCGTGATTGGTGTGGAAGTGGCTGAGAGGGATTCAGCTTCGAGCGCTTTCGCGCCCTCGGATTCGCCGGACTCGTCTATCGACGAAGCTTTCGTGGATTGCTGAGTCTCTGCGGGGCTGGCAGGCCTCGAAGAATCTTGCGTCAACATCGAATCCTTGGTGGACGCAGGAGACACGTCGATTGCGACCCCAGAATCCGCCTTGGCCATTGGTATCGGGCCTTGTTCCAGCTCGCTCGTCTGTTCACTCGGTTGTCCATGTGTGACCTCTGTAGTAGTTATCACTGGCACCTCAGGCACATCAGGCACTTCGGACGCTTTTCCAGCGGCCTTCCTCTTCCTTTCGCGCATTTGCATTGCTTTCTTCAGCCTCGCCTTCTCAGGCGTCATCGCCGGCTTGCTGGAACTTGTCATGCTGCTCTTGAAACTAGCACCAGAGCTTGTGGCAGGTCTCGCGTTATCGGTCGGTGTCTTCATTGCCGATGGCTCCTCAGGGATGGGGAGTGTGGTGACAGATGTGTCCGTAGCCTCACTCAGTGGTGACTCGATCAGACTGTCGTTGGCACTCTCAACCGAATCTTTTCTCCCAGACTTCTTTGAACTGGTTGAGCCCTTGCCGAATAACTTGAAGCCGGCTGGTATTGACGATACTGGCCTGAAGTTGCCTGCGGTCTGGGGTCGCGTACTGGTTTCGAGGGAAGGACGGGGGCCAAGCTTCACTTTGGGCTTGGTGCTGTACGAGGAGTAGGCCGAGTAAGAAGTGTAGACGTCGGTTCGACCTGATTGTGATGACATGCGACGACTAGGCTCAGGGTCAGCTGAGGGTTCATCGGTTGTGCCCACGAAGTTGGGCACTTCTGAGGTTGCTTCGGCTGAAAATTGTGTATCGGCGAGGTCTGAGTTCAAGGTGACTGGCGGTTCTTCGGGCTTGTGCTTCTCATTGTCGCCCTTGTCCTTGACGAGTGACTGGCGCTTGGCTGATGGCGGCTGTAGTTCCTCCTCGTCTTCCTCGACAATTTCCATCAGATGCTTTTTCCTTAGAGAGCCGGAACTGGAGTTGGAGCCCGATGCGGCGTGCAGGGAGCAGGCTGCTGAAAGCTTCGTATCGCGTAGCTCGTCTGCTGCTGTAATGTCGAACTGTGAATCGTAGGGTGCAAATCTCTCGCAAACCGCGTTGAAGTGAACGGCAACACGCGCTACAATGGAGTGAGCCACACAGCGCAGGGCAATCGTCGGACTTGTGGTAACCGACCTTGTATGAGTCTTGAACAATCCTCTGGAAGATATTTGATCAAGACGTTCCTCCTGCGATACTTCAAGTACCCATACAAGGGACTCGAGTCCTCATACTCGGCGATGGCGTTGCGCATCTCGCCAATGCCACCGGTGCCGTGGCTGAGGATCTCGACTTCGTCGCGACTGGCGTACTTGAGAAGAAACCTATGCCGTCGTCAGCTCCGTTGCTTCGCGATCGTGGCTTTGAGCGACATACCATCCTCCCGCTTCGGCAGCAGCAGCTGCGAAGGCTGTCGCTACTTGCGGGTCATCCAACCCGTTCAACGACATTTTCTTCTTTTGTTCCTGCGTATATACGCGTCTGACGGTGTTGTGATATTACCAGCTCTATATCTCCGTCGGCCGTTTCGTCGTTATATTAGTGGCGGGCGCGCGAGTCAAGAAGCTCAGTCAGGGGACATGAGCAGCGCTGCACACTCACGGCGGCCTTGCCGTCGATGTTCGAGGTCGAAGCGGTGTCGATGGATAGTCGAAGATTGAATTTGTCAAGTGAGGAAGAGGAAAGTCTGAGCAAGACTGAGACAAGACAACGAACGCGATGCTAGTAGTCGAGTTCCCAGAGTGTTCTCCTCTTGCGGATCTACACTGACTGGCCTGGCGGCAGGGATACCCAACCCAACCACGAGAAAAATAAATAAAAAGGAACAAGCAATGCAGGGAGTCTGCAGCGGAGAGAGCGTCGAGAAAAGAACGGGCTCGCCAGCGGGCACAACTGAATGTGATTTATCCGCCAGCGTCAAGAAGAGCGCCTTGTCAGAGTATTAAGAGGGTTGAGCCACCAACTGTCGCGTTTCGGCGTGAGGGTAGGAAACACAGACAGGCAGACAGCTTGGGAAAAGAGAGCATTGCTGCTGGTCCCCAGGGTCGTTGGAGCTTGTTCCAGTCCGGCTCAGGAGGTTCGTCCCACATGCACCCGCATCCAATTCCAATCGCCCACAAAGAGGAGGCCAAGCCATTCCGAGTCGGTGCTGGCGTAATAAACAAATCCAGGGGTCTGTGCAAGACTTGTGCGTCTGTCCCACCTGCATAACACCAAGACAATTAATTGTGCATGTCCTCACGGCCACCTTCAGGCGCTGAAGAGAGAAACGGTAGGTAAAAGAATAATTAAGCAGCAATATAACCGTGCACACAACGCGCAGCTTCCTAAGATAACTAACTTGAGGCAGTGCTTGATGCTATCGTCATGTTCGCAGGAGCAGCTATGGTCGATCCATTCGTTCCATAATTCAGACAACGTGACACCCAGAGCGGTCAGCCGTCACCTAGGCGGTCGACTACTTTGGATCGCCCTGTATATCTGGGCCTTTCTCCTCCGCCATGCCCGTGATAGCCGTCCCCTTCTCCAATCCCGGCGTTGCTTCGGGACTGTCCGACTCGCCAACAGCCAGAGGCTCTTCCTCTGCCACAGAATCATCCAATGTTGTCGGCACGAAGCCATCTGAGCAGTCCTCGGGACGCACTGAATCGTGGCCACGGCCACTGTTGCTAGCCGATACCCCAATAGCTGGATTGGTCCCATCCTCGATCTTTTGCTTCGTTTCGCCGACCAGCTTGTCAGCTTCGCTAATCTTGGCAGCCCCTTTCTCGTTCTCGACGCCGGTACCCTTCTCGCGAAGGCTTTGCATCGTGGCGTCCTTCTCGAGCCGTACTACCATGCAGGATAAGTTATCAGTGCTGAAACGACCCAGCGCGTGGTCTACGAGCATCTTCGAGGCTGTGATCGGGTCCTGGACGTTACGGATGAAGTCGACCGCTTCCTGATCGCTGCATACGTCCCATACCTGCAGGAGTGGTCAGCCATGTGAGGGACGTTCTACAATCATGTACTTACTCCATCGCACGCAATGATTATGAATTCATCATGCTCAGGCTGAATCACAGTCTCAGTCGTGTATGGGTGGCCCGTGACAAGGTCCTTCATATAGGCGTCGCCGAGGGCGCGCGTTACGGCCAAGACACCGTTGACTCGGTTGTTCAAAATCATGCCACCGGCGTTGGCGATTCTCCGACCCTCATTCTCGTCACTGCCCTTGTGGTCATAAGACAGGCGTAACGCCTTGCCACCACGACAGAGGACGATGCGAGCGTCGCCCACATTGGCTGTGTATAGCACGCGCTGGCGCGTAGCTGACGGTTTTAGCCGTGCATGGGCCGCCTCGGTCGGAGGCGCCAAGCTGACCTCTGAAGTTTCCTTTTCCATCTCTGACTGCCTTTCCTCGTCGCTCTTCTTGGAGACGGCGGCGACAGCAGGCGCAATATGCTGAGACCCAGTAGCGGAGCGTTCGTTGGGGACGCGGTCCTCCCAGCGCAAGACAGCAATCGCAGCGGTACATCCACTGTTCTTCACGGGCAGCTTTTCCAGCTGCGCATCGACAGCAGTGAAGGTTTGGTCCAGCAGCTCGGGCATTGGCATGTAGGGATACTTTCTGACAATGTCTTCGAGGAGAAGATGCAGCTTTTTCCCACACCAATCGGCGGCAAACGTGCCTGCGTGGCCGTCAAATATTGCAAAGTAGCCATTGTCGGACTCGGCCATGTCGTCCGTAGAAGCCTCTTCGGGCTGTTCGGTTGTCGGCACATCTGCGACGGTGGCCGGAGTGGACAGGAAATTGTAGAGAAAGGCATGGGTATCCTCCATCGTCCGGCGGCACTTCTTATTCTTGTCTTCCCACACGCCTACGCGGAAAGTCGATCTCGGCCCGGGTACAGACTCACCCGCCGAGTTGTTGTGCGAGCCTTGTGGAACAGCAAGAGCAGGGTCTTGCTTCCCAAGCTTTTGGATGGGCGATTGCGCGCTCAGATCGACATTGTTCCGGCTTTGAGAAAAGCTCAGGGAGTTTTTGGCGGATGCAAGCAGGCTACTGGCCTTGCTGCTGACGCCGCTACTCCTGCGTTTCTTATCACCGGAGCTGCCATTGTCGCTGCGCCCGGGAGGGCTGCCATTCCCGGAGCGCTTCTCGCCAGATATCTGATCCGTGGTCTTCTCGGGAGCGTCGAGCGGGCTGGCGTCTGGCGATGAGGATTTCTTGGAGTCTGATGACGTAGAATCCGAGTCGGCACCGCTGGTTTGCGCAGGGTTGTTGGTCTTGTCGCTAGAGTGACTGTTGCCGCCGAACATCCTATTCAGCAGGCTTCCTCCCTGTGAGGAGAGGCTGCGACGTTTACTGCCTGCCAGCTTGTTGATTGTCGAGGGGAGCGTAGAGGTGTTGTAGTAGCGCCGACGAGATGGTGTTCTGTCGGTAGGGACGGCCCGCTGGTCGAGGACGTGGAATCGCTTCTGGTAGGTATGCGAGAAAACGGACCGATGTCGTTCTTGAAGTTCCCTAAATGACCGAGGAGATGGTGTTCATTCCTGTATACCTGATTTGAGGGGAGTGTCAGTCAGGTTGCGGTCGAACGAAGCGGCACTGTGGGGTAAATCGAGGAAGAGCGACAGGGCACCTCAGTCCAGGACTACGAGGAGGGGACTGGAGCGCGAGGGCTGCCGTGGACAAAGGTTCGCTCAAAAGCTTGCGCAGAATCAGGGCCTCTCGAGCTAGATGAAGTCCAAAGGAGACCCGGCCAAGCGTTCAGGGGACGACGTGGAGGGTAAGCCTCCCGCTCAAACAGGCAGTGATGGTGAAGCGCCTCCGTGACGTAGGATGCCGGCGTTGATGGGAAATCTAGCGGGTGATGCATGTGGGACAACAGTTGAATGACCATATTTGGCTTGGGAAAAGGAAGTATCCGCCGGATTTGGCTTACATACCTGGTAGGGACAATGTGTGTATTGTGTATATCGATGCAACTATCTCGGAGTCGAGCTGTGGGAGACTGGAGGACATGGAGGGACATGCAGGTGAGGACTCGAGTCCCTGAGGCCTGGCCGCCTGGACAAGGTCAAGTGGGTGGCGGACGGTGGCGCTCAACCCTGATAGGTCGTACCTGGCTAGAGCTTACAGGCTACAGCTGTTCTGCCCCACCTCCACTGTGGCCCGTCGACGTTGGCAACATGAATGTTTGGTGATTGCAGCAAGATCAAGTGTATTAGGTATATCGCTCTTGATCTCGCGTGACACATGTCCATTCACAGATTCGCCTTTGCGACTCTTCTACTCAATTCCTCCTCCACAAAATTCATTCGCTCGGCTGGATGACCGACCAATGTCGTCGTTCAAGACTCGCATATTTCTCAGGAGAATCGAAAAGACGAGAATCCGCACACGAGTCTATGCAAAAGTCCATGTTAGGGGGTCGCTGTGCTTGTACGTATCGTGGTTCGACTGCTATCCAATGACGAGACCGGCATGGATCAGTAGACAAGCACTCCCTAACAATGTCATGGACTACGTTGTTTCCTCTCAATGGGGTTTGACTACTCGAGGGCCAGTCGTGGGGAGACTCCACAGAAAGCCATGCTTCGTTTTTTAGAGCTATCTTTCGAAGAGGCTGGGACAGGCTAGACAGATGTACGGCGACGGCGAGTGAGGAGAGGGACTAGGGCAGAGTCACCACGATTGAAAAGGGAGAGAAAGACGAATCTGAATTGACGTGGCGCACGTAAAAGTGACACAGCGCGCAAGGCCAACGGCACATAAGAAACACGTCTCAAAATGATAGTCCAACGCGATTGTTGCGCGACCCCTATACTCCGGAATGCGATGTGGCCAGCACCAAACGCCAAAAGATATCTCTTGGTTCAGCCAGCTGCGCGCGTGCTCAAAAACAAGGCTGCTCTACAGACGCCCAACCGATCTACCCCTTTCTGAGGCTGTCGAGACGCGCTTGAAGGTCATCATCCACGGGATCGCCCCCATGGGAACCGCCACCTCCCCCGCCGCCAACTGCTTGCGCAATCCGGCCCTCGGTCTGGGCTTCATTTCCCAAGGCAGTAGGCGTTTCGCCGAGCTGTCATGTGTGTCAGTCTCCTTCGTCTGGTCGTGAATGTGTTCGCTCACCTGTTGGTTGAAGTCCACGCCAATCTCTTCGAGAACCTGCTCGACCACCTCATCTCCTTCTTCTTCAACACCGACATCCATAGCATCGTCCATGACATCGTCCATCATCTCCTGCCTTTGGTCCATCATATCGTTCTCGCGCTCGAACTCCATGGCTATCCGTTGCAGTTGCGGAAGGTTCATTTGCTTGTTCATGCTGCCTAGAGCCATGGTGGCTCCCTTCATTGCCTGCATCATCTGCTCGTTCGTGCGGTACGTCTAGTCTGGTTAGCTTCCGTCTGCGCTTGCTACCCTGCCTGCGACGTGTCATGATTACCTGTAGACGCAAGGAGATCTTCTGCAGCTGGCTTCTCATGCCATAGAACTTCTCGATGTACCTCCTCGTGCGCACCAGGTCCTTGGCTTGGATCTTGCAAGCGCCCATTTGCCCATTCTTGGCGCTCGTCTTGATCTGCTGAATAAGTGTCTTCTCTTGCTTTTCGAGCTTGACACGCGTTTGGTCGAGTTCACGAATCGCCTTGTCGAGCATACGTTGGTTCTTGCGCAGACGCTCCGCAGGAGTCATGCGTTTCCCAAAGGCCCATTCGAGGATCTGTACATGATCAGCAACAGGCGCGAGGGAGAATGAAGCCGGGATCCTGACATTCATGTTGGCGGCTGATGGAAACCTCTGGGTGCGTTGATAATATGGCAACAATTGCAAATGCGGAATCAGAAGAGAGGAGAGACCGTGGGCATTAAAAGCGCAAAGTTCAGCTGATGCCTGGCTGTCCCAAGATCACGACGTACCGTTCACCACCTACGTAATTGTCGCTGGGCCTCACCCTTGGCGACCGTGGTTCATGGAACCGATAAGATAACGGAGAATAGCACGTTTTCCGAGCTTCTGCCGCTCCATCGTGGTTGTCATGATTCCAGCTTGTTGGAACTTGGACCAATCGCGCTGCCTGCCTAGGGCCAATTTATGGGGCCGATGCGCTTGCAGTGTCGACGTCAATTTGCCTCCATTCTCTCGTTAATCGTGCCATCGTGATCGTGCTCCCATCCTCACTGCGACCAACTTTTGTCCCTCCGACCGATCCTCGACCATGACCAAAACGCGCGCTTCACAATGAGCGAGGACTACTTCTCAGGGAAGGGAAAGGCTCCGATGTCATCGGAGCCCAGAGAATCAGATGACAAATCCGACAGCAACAACTTGCCAGCGGACGGGCCTAGAAACGTCAAATCCATGACGGTCGGCAACGGTTTGACATCGCGACACATCGCGCATGTCCAAAACATGTTGAACAATGAGAATGATTCGGGATACGGGGGCAGCATTGCGGATGCTGATCATCCTAGCATGTCGTCCGCAGTTGGCAGCCATCCGCACGGTCAACCGCAATCAGGGGCTATTCACCAAATGTGGTACAACCAGCAAATGGCGTCTCTCAGCCGCTCGATCGGAAAGGCTCTCGAACTTCTCAAGGGGCTCAGAGAGATGAACGAGTCATGGCCAGCTCACTATCCTTCGGTGCAGCGTGCTGATGTATCTTCTGCAGAAAGACCACAGTCGCGACCAGGGCTGGGTCACGCGTATTCCACCATGGGCGATGTCGACAACAACGGCACCGAGACACCACCACCTCAGTTGCGACGAGCGATGACCTCTTTGGAAGCGCATGACGCCGAGTCGAGTCGAGCCGCCGAGAACCGGGTCCCCGAGCCACCTCGCCTCGTTACACCTCAGATCGCGCAAGAGTTCTCCATCCTGAAGCTTGACCTGAAGCTTGGCGCGCTGAGCCAGGTAGAGCTTGTTCACTCTCTGGAGAAGAACTCGATCGCAGCCTTGTTGGATGGCAAGATCAGTACCAGTATCAAGCATCTCATCTCGCTGCGAGATCGTATCTCCGATACTGCCAGCAAAGTCCTCATCACCGGAGACTTGAATGCTGGAAAATCGACCTTTTGCAATGCTCTGCTGCGCCGCAAGGTTCTCCCGGAAGACCAACAACCATGCACGTCAATATTTTGCGAGGTGTTGGACGCTCGTGAAAACTCGAACGTCGAGGAAGTACATGCCGTGCACAAGGGAAGCGTCTATGACCGGATTGACGAGTCGACATATGACGTCTATACGCTGCAAGAATTGGAGAAGATTGTGGTGGACAACGACAAATACACCCAGTGCAAAGTATACGTGAAGGACTCTCGAACGATTGATGAATCACTCCTCAACAACGGGGTGGTCGACATCGCGCTCATCGACGCTCCTGGCCTCAACTCGGACACGACGAAAACGACAGCTATCTTCGCGCGACAAGAGGAAATCGATGTGGTTGTTTTCGTCGTTTCTGCGGCAAATCACTTTACACAATCAGCCAAGGAATTCATCTGGGCGGCTGCTGCGGAAAAGGCATACATCTTCATTGTCGTCAACGGATATGACACGATTCGTGACAAGGAGCGCTGCAAGAAGCTGGTGCTCGACCAGGTCTCGGGGTTGAGCCCACGCACACACAAGGAGTCAGACGAGCTCGTGCACTTTGTGTCGAGCAATGCAGTGCCAGTTGGTGGACCGAGTGAAAGTGGAGGCGGCGGGGACGATGATCCTGATGACGGTGACAAGGGCAAAGGCAAGGCCGACGCTGCGGACAAGGTACGCGATTTCGAGGCGGCTGAACAGTCGTTGCGGAGATTCGTTCTGGAAAAGCGCGCTCGTTCCAAGCTCGCTCCTGCGCGGACATATCTGCTGAACATCTTGAACGACGTCCAAACGCTGGCGTCCGTCAATCACGGTGTTGCTCAATCTGAACTCGATCGTGTGCGGCGCGAACTGAGGGAAATTGAGCCCCAGCTGGATTCTAGCAGGAAAGCCCGAAATGAGGTTAGCGACCAGATTGATCACAACATCGAGGACACCTGCAAGGAGGTTTACGACAACACGCGATCTGAACTGACGTCCGCCATCGAGTACGCCGGCAACTACAGCTACGACTTGCCTTATCCTGGCCTCTTTGGCGCATTCCAGTATGCGGAGGATTTAAAGTCGGCCATGCTTTCTCATATTACTCAAACAGTCGCCAAGTGCGAGGACTTTGCCAGGGCCAAGTCAGTACAGGGTGTCAACGCCACGAAACAACTTGGAATACTGCACGTCGGCGATGAGTTCAAGAACCTCAAGTTCCTGCCCGACGTCATGTTTCAGCGAAAGAAAGACGCCTTAGCTCGTCAGGTGGATATCCCAACAGAGCTCTGGGACTTTGTGGATTGGACAACGCTCTTGCAGCAACAGGAGAAGTTTGCCGGTACTGGGATGGCGCTTACGGTCGCCGGTGCCGTGGTCCCTCGCATGATTGGCATGAGCTCTTGGGTGGACCAGGCGCTCATGGCCACACGCTTGGTGGGCAGCGGCAACTTGAGGACCCTTGTGATACCAGGTCTCCTCGTTGCAGGTGAGTTCATGCCAGATTGCTAAGCGAAGTGTTATACTAACAGGCCACAGTGTTTGCCGCCTCCGCCTATGTTGTACAACAGATTCCCAACTCCCTGCCGCCTCGTCTCGCCAACAAAATCTCAGCCCAGCTTGCTGAGCTTGACTACGTCCACAGCAACTCCACACGCATTGCTACGGCCGTGCGCCGCGTGCTCCGGGTTCCTGCCGACAATCTCCGCGTCGGCCTAGAACAGAGCGTGAAGGAGCTCGGCGACCGCCGTGAGGAGACAATCAAGGTCAAGGGCGAAAGCGAGCGGGCCTCCAAGTACTTCTCCAACCTGGTGCGCTCCAGCGAGAACCAGAGGAACGACGTGCTTGCCATTGACCTAGATGCGCTACCCCACGGACAAGTGCAGTGATGATTTACATGATAGATGGGCCGGCGTTTGAACCGGAGTCACCGATTCCGCGTATCTCCTTGAATTGTGTCGGGTCGCTACAGACATCGCGTCAACATTCTCCCCTCGATGTGGGTTCTAGTCTAGTTTTCCTTGATACCATTCCTAATGTCGAATAACGAAAAAATTATATCCACATGACTTGTCGCAGTCTCTCCTTTTCTTCCTCGCCGCCGAATATCGCCTCAATACCTTGCCTGGCTAATGTGCAGATTTGCTTCTGATCGAGCCCGAAATGCTCTGAGGCTAGTCGGTACTCGTTAGAGAGTCCACTCCCGAAAACTCCAACATCGTCAGTCTGCAGCTGTTAGCATCATCGTCCAACCTCGAGGACCCCCCAAGAGACCCTCGACTCACCCCGAGTGAAACCTTCACACGGTCACAAGCCAACCACTCTCCAAAATGATGGTTCGCAAATCCCCCCTGGGTCATACCGGCCTGCACATTGCAGCTCAAGAGGAGCTCGAGACATAAGCCCCTCTCCTTGATCACCTTCCTCTGCTCATCCAGGCAAATCGCATGGCCTAGCCTTCTCGGGTACCATGAGAGCAGAGTCTCGAGCTCCTCGGGTGAACCACTCGCGGCGTACTCACCAAAGTGCACCGTTATCGGTAAGCTTACTCTCTGGAAGATGGGGGTGAAGACGGAGATCTGTCCGTTCGGGCGTGCTGAGAGATCCCCGCAGAAGTCCAAGCCCACGACCCTGCCACGATACTTTTCTGCGACTACACCATCTTCGAGGAACCCCTGAAGAACAGAGGCGGTGGCCTGCCGGATGGAGGGAACGTCCGTGGGGAGTCCGTAGATGTACGAGCTGAAGAGGGGGAAGAAACTATGCTCGTCAGCGTTTTCTCTCCTGGGCGGCATGTGCCACAGGCACAGTATGTCTCGAGTTTGTAGTCATGCTTGCCTTCTGCCATGACGACCAGAGGATCCTCGAGCGTCATTTGTTGCGACTTGTGCTTGGCTTTCCATATGTCGTGAAGCGTACGACGGGTGATGGAGCCCGTCAGGTGAGCGTGCAGCTGGCACAATTAAAATCCATTCTGTACTTAAGCACTCCAGAATCACCTCAATCTTCGACAGAGCTCTAAAGTCCATGGTTGTACTACGGCGCCGTACTTGCTTCAATGGTTTAAACACAAGACGCTGATGTGATGAGCAAGATCCGATAATGCAACCGTGTCTGGTGAAGTCCGGTGATATCTCTCATAACCGTAGAAAAGCCATTCAGTCGGTTTGGTCTTTGTAAAGAAACCCTTTGAAGCAAGCACGCGGGGCTGCGTACATGTAGCATGATTTCTAATAAGGTCAGGTGGGATAGTTAATTACCTGGTATATATGTGCCGCTGTTTAGGTGAGTTCAACTTACCCTACAAGCTCCTCAAAAGGAGACAGACATGCAAACGCTTTGGTGCAGCCGGATACAATTTCCATATGAGATTGTCTATGGTGATTGGTTGTGCGTGCTTCATGCCAGTATAGAAAACGGCTTGCTCTGCGCCCTCGTGGAGCCATGTTGTAACATACCTAGCACCTGAGCACGCGAACATCTTGATGAGGTTGCGTCACTTGCAGTATCCGGGTCGAACTGTGCACGATGAGGCACGGAACGAACGCGCTTGAAAGATGTGGAAATGTTCTATTTTTGACAAGTACACACACAAATCGATGACACCGCCTAGAGATGAGACTGCACAACCTTGCCATGCAAGCACGCGCCGTTTCCCGTTCCGATGCTTTTCGTCCGTGGCGTGCCAACCGCTATTACCCGTATCCATATAGTACACATCCTGCTCAGGGATCCTGCTCAAATACCTTCGTACATAGACGTCTTTGTTTCATCTTTTCGTGTCTTTACAACGCAGCCTTGGCGTCCTTTTCGTCGCCGAGCGCCGCACCGATGCGATCAGCGGTCGTCTGGTCGCCGCCGGCGGTCAGGAGCTCACTGCCCTGCTGCCTCATGTTGTACTCCTGCTCCATGGCTGTGAGCTGCTGGTCCTCGGCGAAGCTCAGGGCGAATGGCACGCCGAAGAAGAGGGCAGAGGTGGTGATCACCCACGTGGCCTTGCCGCTGAAGGATAGGGCTGTCCAGGTGGCATTCGAGACGGTGTTGACCTTGGATGAGATCCAGCCGCGAGTTGTGGGGGGTATGATGTCGCGCAGAGCATAGAGGCGCTCGGCGAGTGTCTCGTCTTGGGGATCGTACTCGGACTCGTTGGAGATCTCAGAATCTGAAAAAGGGGGGTTAGCTTGGCTCAGGGACGAGGCGAGGAAGGCAAGGTCGTACCGGTGTCGCTGTAGTCGTCGTCGTCAGCCTCAGGACCAGCCTGGGTGTTCTGGAAGTGCTCGTCCTCAACTTCCGTTAGGGTGACCATGTTGGCGGTTGTGGTAGTGGATGGGAAGGTGGATCAGAGATTGCGCTGGGATCGCACGAGATCCTGGTTGATGATTCGAGATTTCTTTCGACCTGCGACTAAAATGATCGAGCGAGGGAGTCTTTGTCGACGGAAAAAAGGCGCAATTCGATGGAGTTGATAGGGGATGGATGATGGAACAGCCTGCGTCACCTGGGCTTGACCTCAAATTTTTTGGCAGGAGCTCGGCAGGAGCGCGCCGCGGCGAGTAATTGAGGTCACGTGCACCCGTGCAACCGTGGTGTCAGTCAGGTACATTTGGTGAGCCATGATACGGAGATGGATCCTTCAACAATCACCACCTTGCCGTACGTGCATGTGCATTTCAGGATTTTATTGGCATATTTTCTATCTCAATTCGCATGCAACATCTAGTGCTAGGATTCCCAGTATCTGCAGCGGCCCAATTACTTTGAGAAGCACGCGTTGAAGGTATTGGCCGTCTTGTACGCAATTGACTTCTCAGCCATGGTGCCGCGGAGAGTGTCGAAACCTTTGAGAGCCTTTGCTGTGTTCTGGTAGAGGTTGCTGTCGGCATAGGCCAAATCGGGGTTCGCCGCGATTGTGGCCTGCCAGTCGATCTTTTGCCAGCCAGCCTTGCGGTACTCACTCTCGCGATTGACAATCTTCCAGATGACGTCCTTCCGGTAGCTGCGCATCCGGTCGAGCGTGCCCATCTCGAGATGAGCAGAAGTGTGGGCGGTCACGCCAGTCAGCGCCTCCTTCAGGTTGGTGAAGTGTCGGCGCGTGTTGATGTTGCGCGCCTCGGCACGGGCGTGATCCTTGTCCACGATGGTGGCAAGGTCGTCCCAGATACCAACGGCTGAGCGACGGCCGCGGACAACCTTGTCGGTGACGTCCTCTATTTTAGCATCGAGAGCGTCCAAGGCCAATACCATGGCGTTGATGTCGCCCGGGAGGAAACTGAAGCTGTTCGTCAGGTCGTGGTACTTGGGGTTGGTGCTGGCCTCGCCCGTATCGACAAAGTTGACAAACTCGTCGAATGTACAGCGGCCGTCAGGAATGACAACTCCCTTGCACTCGGGTGCAATGTATCCGTTGCCCTGGCCCCAAACCTCGACATCGAGGTCGTAGACGGTATAGAAGTAGATGACGCGAGCGGCTTCCACCTCTTCTATCGCAGAACACGTCCTAACGAAGGCAGCCGCCGCCGCCAAAAGAGAACCGACTTTCATCTGGAGGTGTCAGGAATGCAGTATCGATGGCCACAGACGCGACAAACCTTGAATTTGGTAGAGAGCAGGATATCTCGACTGACCTGGCTGTCAGTAGTTCAAGCGCACTGACACTGAGAAAGAACAGACAAACACGCTGTCCACAGTCAGCCGCGGAGCTTGTGATATCCAAAGCGTAACCTGGTGCTGGTATGGTCCCGCAACTCTACTTTCTTCGATTCCGGCCTCAGTATACGTACCCAGTCGAAAGCCAAGATGGCCAAGATAAGGCAGCCCAGGATCAAGTAGTCTAGATTGGCGTCAGCCTGAACCCTGTCCAATGTAAGCACGTTCTCTTCTTGGGCTCATCCATCGATGCGACCCTGGCAGAGGTTCCTGGCCACATTCATCAACGGAAGCGCGCCACTGAGTCTGGACAAGAATTGGTAAGTATCCGTCGCCAAGTCTGACGGCCGAGCTTGATAGCTGATACTAGCCACGGCGACCCCTGCATGAGCTCTTTGAAGAAGCGCCAGAAGCAGCAATGCCGAGTAATTTGCCTCTGCTGATCCGGGCCTTGAAAATTTAGATTCTTGTTTTATACAGTACCTGGTGGAGGTGCGATCCATAGCCTGGTCTAGATCGTCGATCTAACCAACTGCCTATTCGAGTAACTATGCAGCTTGGATCGTGGAGAAGTCAAGGTTAAATCAACCTAATTCTCACAGCTGGGGGGTTACTACACGGTTGAAATGAAACAAACCCGATATACCAGGAGGCGTATTGCTTGCCATCAGTCGAAGATAGGATTTCGTTAATAGTAAATGCGCGCGGGAGGTCTCATCTGCCCCAGTGCTCTCCAGTTCAGTTCCTAGTCTAAAGACTATCAGTTCGTTCTTTGCATGGCCAAGCGTGGTTGAAGGATCTTGACTATGCAGGACCATGTGCAATGCAGGATGCTGACATCCATCCACAACTGCTGGTCAATAAGTATGCGCGCCAAGGGTTCAATGGTCAGTCGAGGCTTCCTAGTGCTGAGGCAATATCTTCGATCCCTGCAACCGTCGCAGGGCGTTGACAAGCCAGTACTTACACGAGTGTCCCCTTGGGGTTATCGTTCACGTGAAGGTAGGATCCTGAATTGCATGGCAAACTTGGCGAACATGGATATTTCACGCAACATATCCATGCCTAGACTAGTAATCTCACCCTACCTGAGCTCGCTCCCTCTGTTCTCGTACCCCTGAATCTTAGCCGAGAAAGTCAGCTCCCAGGCCCCGGACTCCCGGACTTGCCGTACATCAGTCAGGCTCGGTCCACCGAGAAGTAGGCACGCACAGGCATATGATCTTGGTATTTGACTTTCACGAAGCCAGAATATTACTGGCACGTCCGCGAGACTGACAGCTCCATCCTCCCTGCACATTCGCTCAAGGAAAGATGGTACTGACTATGCGGCAGCTCGCCGCTCTGGCTGTTGCGGCAGCGGTCTTCCCTACCACTTTCGCCTCAATGATCACGCACCAGGGCGATGTCAAGGGAGAAGTTGACGCAGATTTCACGATCGAGTCAGTCACCGAGGATGCTGCCCTCGACAAGTGGTTGGAGCTTGTGGCTCCGGTCAATGCTACCAAGGTCACGGCCCGCATGGCAGATGCCGAAATCTTGATGTCGCCGTGGAGCCCTATACCCAACGGTCTTGACAAGAGGCAGAGAGTAGAGGACGAGAACGGCGCCTTGCTGTGCCCCAACAACAAATGCGTTGATCACAGGTGCGTCGCGGGAAAAGGACCGCAAAGAGAAACAAGACCTAATGGTGCACTAGTTGCTGTGGCCCCGACAACATATGCGGTTATGGTATGTGCTCTTGGCTCACTGCCAATGTGCTGAGCTGACCACAAGTACAGGCCCTGACTTCTGTGGCGACGGATGCAAAGGCGACTGTGATGCCACAGCCATGTGCGGCAAGTTCTCGGACGGCGGCAACATCAAGTGCGGTCTTGATCTTTGCTGTAGCTGGGGCGGATGGTGAGCTTCCTAAGTATTTCTCCCCTGCACGAAAGAGGCTGATGTAGCAAGGTGTGGAACCGCGGATGTCCATTGCATCGGCCCCAATGAACATGCTCTCTGCCAGGAGGGCTATGGAAAGTGCGAGATCATCCGGCCAGAGACCTGCGGCGAGAATTCTGGCACTGCAGACGGCCGTATGATCGGCTACTACCAGTCTTGGAACACCCGTGATCGTACATGCAACCGCATCTCGCCGAGCCAGATCAAGACAGAGGGTTACACCCACTTGTTCTTCTCTTTCGCTTCCATCGACCCGGACACGTACAAGGTGAAGGCGTGGGTCGAAGAGGACAAAGCCCTCATGAGAGAGTTCACCCAGCTTAAGGGCAAGGGCCGCGACCTACAGCCATGGATTGCCGTCGGTGGCTGGGCATTTAGCGACCCAGATCAGCCAACGCACACCACGTGGAGCGATCTATGCTCCGACCAGGGCAGGCGGTCTGCCTTTATTGCCTCGTTGATTGACTTTATGGACGAGTACGGCTTCACCGGTGCCGATCTTGACTGGGAGTATCCGGGGACTGCCAAGCGCGGTGGCAAGTTGGCTGACGAGGATAACTTTGTCCAGTTGCTCAAGGAGATGCGCGAAGCCTTTGGCACCAAGTATGGCATTTCACTGACCTTGGCGCCCGACTACTGGTATCTTCGCTACTTTGACGTTGGCCGCCTTCAGAACTATGCTGACCACCTGGTGAGCCAAGCTTCATTCGTTCATGACCTCCACCCAACTGACTTACCATAGGGATTCATGGCCTATGATCTGCATGGCTTCTGGGACTCAGATGTAGAGGCGCTGGGCTCCATAGTCCGTGGCCAAGCCAACATCGAAGAGATTGCCAACAACACTCTCCCGCTGGCTTATGCGGGCGTCGACCCCAGCAAGATCACTATGGGTATCGCCTGGTATGGGCGAGGATACACTTTGGCAGACCCTTCTTGCAACACCCTAGGGTGTCCATTCCTAGGTCCAAGCAAGCCTGGGAAGTGCACCAACAGCGCTGGTGTACTGTCCCTGGTTGAGATCAAGGAAATGATTGCCAGTGGAGAGGCCAAATCCAACTCTTTGCCTGGCATTGGCATGAAGGAGCTGGTATGGGACAACCAGTGGGTTGGTAAGTCCTTTCAAATTTCCCCAGCCCCCCATTTCGCTGCTTACTCACTGGCTGCACAGGCTATGACGACGAGGAGACCGTCGAGATGAAGCGCAAGTTCGCCAACGACCAGTGCTTTGGCGGACTGATGGCATGGAGCGTCGACTTCAACTCCGGCGACGGTAGCGGTACTGACGCGCCCAAGTCGGAGGACGGTCATTGCGGACCAGACCATGATGGCACTACTTGCCCTGGAAGTGGTTTCGGCGACTGCTGCTCTACGAGTGGCTATTGTGGTTCTTCTGATGGGCACTGCGGTTCTGCCTGCGTCAGCGGCGACTGCAAAGAGTATGATCACCCCCCAGGTACTCCCAGGTTCGGCTCGGACACTGACCATTCATAACAGGGGCTCGGAGACTACTGACGGTCGATGTGGTGCAGGTTTCAACAATGCCATATGTGGAAGTTGGTCCCACGGCCCTTGCTGCTCTGCCGGCGGATGTAAGTGCGCATCTGGGGATACTGCAACACAGTGGAACTGACAGTGATCCAGACTGCGGCGACTCGGATGGCCACTGCGGCGATGGCTGCCAAAGCGGCTGCAACGGCGAAGACCCCGACGACGGTAATGATGGTGATGATGACGATGACGACGACGAGGGAAGCCCGCAGCCGTACGAGCCGGATCCCGATGATGATAAGCCTCTCGCGGCCTGCCCCTACACACCGACAACCATGGATGAGATCTTCAACCTCGACTTTTACAATGAGCTGCCCGCCCATTGCGTACCCAAGTATATGGTGCCTGTCCTGCACAACATGCTTGAGACTGTGACGAAGCGGTACAACGAGATCCTGGAGGACGACTATGACTATTACTTTGGCGTGTACGCGGGTTATATCGTGGAGAACGCTAATCAGGTGACGCGCAGTTTCTTGAAGGACAGCGGCGATGACTATTTCGACTGTGAAATCTGGCAAGAGTATCCCTGCTGCACCAACTGCGAGTACCTGGGCGAGAGCTGCGATGGCTGCATCGAGAAGTGTGTCATCGAGGGTCCGATGGATGACGGTGTCGAGTGGCACCTGCGGGACCAGCCATGCCCGCCCGATTACTCCAAGCGCGGCATGGGCGACGACTGGGAGCAAACCATCTTCTGGGACTTCAAGGACGACGAGGCCAAAGAGAACTTCTATGCCGCGGCCGCCGCCGAGGTAGGTGCGCCCGAAGACAAATTCAAGATTGCGGAGCGGTCCACGATTACCAATTTTTTCATGAGCCCAAGCTGCGCTCGCGACTTTGCCTACAATGGCTGGGACGACATGAGCGACTTGTGCAAGCGAAAGGGGTACTGGCATAACATCCCGTACGTCGACGGGTTCGAGAAAGATGACGTTGTGAATCCCAAGGACGTTGTGAAAAAGTCCATTGAGAATGCAGACGTCCTCCGCGAACCCATGGCGGAGGCTGGTTTCAAACTGATGGTCGACGACTACGAGGGCGATGGCCATGATCTGGTCGACGCGCTCATCCTGCCCGTCTTCATGCTGCAAGAGTCCGTCCAGTACATGGAGGTGGTCGTCAAGACGGGCAAGGAAATCAAGGAGGCCGAGAAGACCGCCTTGATTATCAACCTTCTGTCCGCTCTGATGATCGTGATCAGCTTTGGTGGCTCAAGTCTCGTATCAGCTGGATTCAGCACCCTTGGGCGCACTCTCGTGTACCTCGCCGAGGCTGGCAACACGGTAAGTTTGGCCCCCCCCCCCCCCTTCCTTCTTCTGGTTATTATGGCCACTGAACCGTCCTCTAGGCTATTGGCCTCCACGCCGTCATTTCGGTGCCCGAGTCGGCCCCTCTCTTGATCTTCGGACTTGTGATGAGCGCCGTTGGCATCAGGGACGCGAGCAAGGTCGCGCAAGCAGCCAAGCTGAGGCGTGGTATGAAGTTTGAGGAGATTAGCGCTTTCAGCAAGGAAGCTGCGCGCATGATGGACTCTGTGGCCGCCTTTAACAAGAAGCCCGCTGTTCCTCAGATGTGTCGCTATGCGTAGGACTTGAAAGCAGACTTCGGGGGTACCATGGGTGGCATCTAAGGGTTTTGCAGAGTATCCCGATGATGTCCTGTAGGAATTATGGTAGCGATGACAAGAAACACATGATGATGCAGCTATTTTCTTCTTGGTACATCACACATGTAGCTCAACATGAGAGTATGCTCCAGTTGGCGGGGCCAGAGTTGTCGTCCTGAGACATACGGAATTCCACCGAGTATCTTCTCGCATTCCCTTGGAGAAGGGGCCCATTGTTGGGGAAATTGGCCGGTCGGTGAGCCCCTCGGTCTGGTGACCTGTGTTCCCCACGTTTACGGAGTAGTGACGAGGCAGTAGTCCTTTAGCGCATTGTTGGTCTCGAGTCTCGACGACGGTCTAATTAGTGGCAGTGCCAGTAGGCTGCTCCTCGTGTTTGTCGTGTACTCGTGTCCAGCAATCCGACAAAAATCGATTATGAAATGGTGCAAGGTTTGGCGAACAACAGGGGCGTGCGTGTTCTTGTTGATGCATGGAACAATTGCCAAATTCCAGAAATCCAAAAGCTAATACACGCCTTGGGCCTTGGGAAGAAAACCTAGCGTAGCGCGTGATGCAGTGCCGAAGCGAGACTGGTCGATTCCGGGGCTCTCCATATGCGGGGAGTCAATGGTGAGCAAGGGTATCACGCTCGCGGGACACCATGGAGAATTCTCCAGACGTTGTAACCTAGCCCCGGAGGCTGTCCGAGTACCAGTATCCATCCAGGTGATTCGGAAGGGATGGGGATCGCAAGCGCGCGCGCGAGGGCCGGGCGCCACCGGACAGTGCGTGACCTCCAAAATTGCCCCGACTTGCAGAGTTTTCAACTGGCGTGCATGGGCTACCTGGAAGTATCACCAAGCCGTCGTCGTCGGGACGTCCTGCGATGCAGGATCATGTAAAAAGGGGGTAATGGAAACCTGCGAGGAGCAAAAGCTGGGGGTAACAGAAACCGGGCCGGGTGCAAACCTGGGGGTAATAGAAATGCCAATTGGGGCAGCCGAGCGGGACAGTAGCGCAAGCAGCGTCAGAATCTGCTCGATCGCAACCAGACTCAGGTCTCTCTCTCACTGCTCAGCATCCGTGGTAATTAATGAATATAGCACGCCTTGCCGGCCGAGTCGCCGGTTGGTGGAGTTGTTGGAGCTTCGTAAGTCCAGCAGCATTGTAACTTGCATGGTAGTCTAGGTACCAGGTACGTTGCGTACGGAGAGGCAAGCAATTGTCGGCACTCTAGGCTTTGCCGACTCACGACGCTGATACCGTTGGTCAATGCAAATGCGGTGAGATTTGATGCAATCTCGACGAGGGACTCGTGATGGAAAGCATTGGCCACTCATCAGGGGACGCCATGAAGTAGAAACGATTTCCCAGTACCAATAATGAAGTGCCCGTAATACCACAACCCTTGCTGGCTGGTCATGGGAGCTGTGAGGCGGGTCGATCCGACAACGCCAGCTAAGCAGCGGCTGTGCCTGTAAAATCTGGGGAAGACGAGCTGGGCTGCCCTACCCTGAGCAAGACGGCAATCTCCATAAGACGGTGAGTCGGGTCAGCAGACCAGACCAGACCAGACCAGACCAGCAGGGAAAAGGAACGAATTGATCTCGACTCAAGCGCCTCAACCAGTCGCATTCCTCTGTATGTACTTTGCACACGGCAAACGATAGACTCGACAGGTCAGTGTTGTTGACGAAGAGAGTCGGAGGTCGTGGGCCGCTTGAAGGTGGTACGCAGTCGATGCATGGGATCTGCATTGTCATCAATGTTCCACAATGTGCGTAGAACCGACCATTCTCTTAAGACTCTTGTTGACAACGCCAGGGCGAGACGATCGCCAAGATTGTCTACACGTAGACGCCATAGACAGCGCTACATGCGTTACCTACTGATCAGCGCAAGCTGCAGCAGATCGAATGCCAAAGTACGTACTACAAGTACATACGTAGGTCACACGTCAGGTCGCACGTTGATTGATGACTCTTGTGCACCACTGACGGGAGAGGTTGCTCGTGATCGATATTGGGGGCCAATGAGACACATGGTGAGGAAGCTTCGGTCAGAGGGTCGATGTGAAAACCCTCGAATAGCCGTAACGTGGAACCTCGACTGGAGCTGGTATGTCCTTTTGGTGCCGTATCTGGTACCTTGACGGCCCCAACAGGCAGGCAGATGTGGTGACGGGACATGATGGTGATCGCTCAGGAACCAGCGTCCAGCGACGTGAGGCGCTCGGGCCACCAGAGTGAGGGGCGCGGAGGGGCTGTTGCTCCTTGGGGTATAGCGGGGCCGTTACAATTTGGTAATAATGGCTTCGTTGATCGTGGATGCAGGCCAGAAGACGCTCAGAATTTGCACGTCTTGTGCAATCATGATGATCACGATCCTGGTCGTGTCAATGATGCAAAAGAAGCACATTAACCAGAATATCACCCGCCTCACAATGGAAGTCTCACAAACGGCCCGGAGACTGTCTACAAATTGTACAGTAATGCATCGTAAGAGACCGAGACCTCACCGAGTGGATAGGCGGTCAGATGGTGCTGATTTAGCATCGTGAAAACTTCATTTCCAGGGCCTCGACGTGACAGCAAGAAGCCCAACAAGGCGTGCGCGTCGTCCGGGCCTCGATGGTTGATGCTCCAGCACGCCAGCTACACTGGCGCAAGTACTGTGGAGACAGCTGGCGCAGCACGCCTGTCTGCCCGGCAGCGCAGTGATTTGAATTTTGGGGCAGGTACATCCGGCAGCCCTGCCGGTACGTACCTTCAAGTAGCTTTACGATCCATTCCCAGCATGAGTCGGATTTCATCTTTTTACTCCACGTTGACGTTTTGTTGGTCTCGAGACTAATTCTTGCCTCCTCCTGCTGACCCTCTCGCAAGAACTTAAATAGGCACGGCCCCAGCTTGTTCGTTATACGTTCTCGCACTTAGCTTCCCCTTCTCCAACGACCAACAAGCCAGACGAACACCAACCTGTCCCTGCTTGCCATGGCATCATCGTCTACCCTATCTCAAGACAATACCTCACAATAACCTCGACACGCCAGACCAAAGTCGAAGTCCTGCTTCTCTTTACGCCCTACCACAGATTTTCATCTCGCCTCCCCCATCTCCACGCCAGCCAGCCATACTGTTGATCCCGTCTATCTAAACTGTGGATGAGAACAAGTAAGTGACGATATCAGCAGTCTCCCACCGTCTTGTCCCCCTTCGCGTTCTTTGACACCAGTCAACTTCTTTGGTTCCGAGAGAGGCATTCAGCAAGCTGTCGCATACCACGTGAGTTCCAGGATAGCAAAGATCCGGCTGGACCCTCCCGCTCTCACAGGGGTGGCAGACGCTCCCGCAGCATTGCGATGTTAGCCGGGGCCCTCCCCTCGCTAGGAGGGGCGGAATTTCTGGAAGCTCAATGGAACCGTGGGAGCTTGGCGGATGGATGAGCGCTTCTCGACGACCCTCAGCAGGATTCTCACTTCCAGGCTCAAAGAGGTTGCATCTTTCTTTGGATACTTGGCTGACGTACTCTACAGAACTGAATTTGTTCATCCTTTTCTGGCTGCCTCGTGGGCCTGTTAACCGCCTTCCGACTTGCAGCAATCGCTCTCAGTCGTCATCAGCCAAATTTCAGGATCAGATCGTTTTCCAGTGATCTCTGTCTATCGTGTCAATTCGATTGACCGCTCTCGCATCGTTGCACTGTTCCCTGACAAGTTCCAGGAGAGCACTGCAGATCTAATACTGTAAGTATCCGCTGCGAGTACCCTTGAAACACGCACCACCCCGACCCTTATCAGTCGGTGATCATGGGTGCCCTCGGTACGGATACACCGACAGGATCGCTGCCAGCGGCGGTGAGTCGGTGAGGCCAAGGGCATGCTGCTTCTGCCGGCCTTGACTTTTGCTCTTGAGCTATGAGCACACTGTGTCTTAGTGTCCGAGCAACGCCCGCTATCAAAGATGACAAGATAAGAGCCGTCTTTTGTTCGGGTACTTGTCTCGGTCGCCTCGCCCGCAGGCTCCACAGTACCTTCTGTACACGAGCTCTGCGCGATCCCTGCCGCAACCGTCCCGCCGGATCGCCCTGCCAGACTTTCAAATCGTATGGCATTGAGATCTTTCAGACGGGCGCAGCAATTGAGTCACTTTCGCTGGGCTGATGCGGTACCGCTTGTCTAACAGTCTTATCTCAAGTGAGAAAGCTTCCTGGCAGTATAAAAATCGGCCATATGCAATCAGGTTCGGGCCATGTTCCTCAAGAGCACTTGCTTCACCCACTGCGCATGCCAACATGTTGGCCATTTCCTTGGACCCGGCTAACTTGGCCCCTCTTGACAGATTTCCAGACTACGTCGATCCGTTGGAAACGTTCAGACCATCCTCATCCAAGATGACGGATTCGGCCAAGCCCAAGGTTGTTGCCAGACTCCAGTCTGACACGGAGTCCAGCCGTGGGCCTTCGCCCCAGCCTACGCACGTCAGCGTGCCTTTGGCTCATAATTACATCAATGGCCATCGAATCCTGCGCTCCGCGACTGTGGGCTACATTGCGCCCGAGTTCCAGGGCAAGGTTGAGCAGATGAAAGACGGTAAGTTTCATCTCACGGACCCCCTCTGCCTGCAAAACTGACATGTCGCAGTCAAGGATATCATCCAACAATCGTCGTGGATCCCCGAATCCCTCATTGATGAGCAAATCCATTGGTTCTACCAGAAGCTCGGCATTGATGATGTCTACTTCCAGATCGAGACGCCTCAGGTCATTGCCAACCAGATCACGTCTCTGTACGCTGCCAAGGTGGCTGCCTCTGTCCGCGAGGATAAGCAGGAGGAGATCCGCCTGGACATGGAGGCCAACGACCACGCCATCTACATTGACACCAGTGAGCCCGGAAAGTCTCGCCTTGGCGGTCCCCGGTATGAACAGCGCCTCGAGGCCAAGTACCTCGACCACCAGGGCAGGAGCAAGTACCGTGTCGAAACCTTCCGTTCGCCTGCCGTCATCGGAAACAGCCCTTCCTCGAAAGCGACCCTCCGCTGCTACTTTGTGTACCAATGCATCTTCAAGCAGAAGCCCGAAGAGACGGACCCCAAGGAGACCCGTCTTGAGGTCATCGCTGATCATGGTTTCTGGCAAAAGGCCACCCAGAACACCAAGCAGGTCTACCAGGAGATTATCGAGCTGGCTGTAAACAGGGCCGGCCCCGTCATCGAGGTGTTCGACATCGAGGGAATGGCTGAGAAGCGTCTCGTCGTCGCTTTCCAGTCCCGTACCGCCCGTGGCATGTTCTCTGCTCTGAGTGACCTGTACCACCACTACGGCGTCACTAGCTCTCGAAAATACGTTGAGCAATTCGCCAACGGTATCACGGTGATGAGTGTTTACCTGCGCCCCGCCATGAGCCTGGAGGGCAACTTCCCGCCGCTGGACGAATCCATCCACCAGATCACCAAGGAAATCTCACTCTTGTACTGCATTCCGCAGAACAAGTTCAACAACCTCTTCCTCACCGGCGACCTGAGCATTCAGGAGACCGTCTACGCTCACGCGTCGTGGGTCTTTGTGCAACATTTCTTGAATCGCCTTGGACCCGAGTACGCTTCGCTAGAGGACATGCTTGACACCAAGGAGAACCCTTCAGCGGCTCTGCTTCTCTCAAAACTGAAGCGCCGTCTGCGTACCGAGACCTTCACCCCCGACTACATCCTCGAAATCATCCAGACCTACCCGGCGCTCGTGCGTGCATTGTACGCGTCCTTTGCATCCACTCATCTGAGTGTCGGCGCAGGATTTGACCAGCACTTCATTGCCCCAGCTCCTGTCACTGAGGTGCTCTCAGACAACAAGTTGCAGGAGAAGATCACCAAGACTGTGGCCAATGAGCACGACGAGATGGTCATGACCGCATTCCGCGTCTTCAACAAGGCAATCCTCAAGACCAACTGGTTCACACCCACAAAGGTCGCTCTGAGCTTTCGACTTGATCCTTCATTCCTCCCTGCTGCGGAGTATCCCAAGCCGCTGTACGGCATGTTCCTCGTCATGGGCGCTGAGTTCCGTGGCTTCCACTTGCGATTCCGGGACATCTCCCGTGGCGGTATTCGTATCGTCAAGTCGAGGAGCAAGGAGGCTTACGGCATCAACGCTCGCAACCTGTTCGACGAGAACTACGGCTTGGCCAACACACAGCAGCGCAAGAACAAGGACATTCCTGAGGGTGGCTCGAAGGGTGTCATTTTGCTTGATGCCAAGCAGCAAGATAAGCAACGTGAGGCATTCGAGAAGTACATTGATAGCATTCTCGACCTGCTGCTCCCTGCTCAGACGCCTGGTATCAAGAATCCAATCGTCGATCTGTACGGCAAGGAGGAGATCCTCTTCATGGGTCCGGATGAGAACACTGCTGATCTCGTCAACTGGGCTACCGAGCACGCCCGTGCCCGCGGCGCCCCCTGGTGGAAGTCTTTCTTCACCGGCAAGTCTCCCAAGCTCGGTGGTATCCCTCACGACAAGTACGGCATGACAACCCTGTCTGTGCGCGAGTACGTCAAGGGAATCTACCGCAAGCTGAAGCTCGATCAATCCCAGGTGCGCAAGATGCAGACGGGTGGGCCCGACGGTGATTTGGGCAGCAACGAGATCCTGCTGGGCGAGGAGAAATGGACCTCCATCGTCGATGGCTCGGGCGTGCTGGCTGACCCCAATGGCCTCGACAAGGCCGAGTTGGTTCGTCTTGCCAAGGCTCGCTCGATGATCTCCAACTACGACCTGAGCAAGCTGTCCAAGGACGGATACCGCGTGCTTTGTGAGGACAACAACATCACCCTGCCATCAGGCGAGAACGTTCCCAATGGTACCACCTTCCGCAACACCTACCACCTGCGGGACAATGGCATGACTGATGCCTTTGTTCCCTGTGGTGGTCGCCCCGAGTCGATCGACCTCATCTCCGTCAGCAAGCTCATCAAGGACGGCAAGTCAGTTATTCCTTACATTGTGGAAGGCGCGAACCTGTTCATCACCCAGGACGCTAAGCTGCGTCTCGAGGCTGCAGGGTGCATCCTGTACAAAGATGCCTCGGCCAACAAGGGTGGTGTGACCTCATCATCCCTCGAAGTCCTGGCTTCCCTGTCCTTCAACGACGAGGACTTCATCACCAACATGTGTTGCGACCCCAAGACTGGCGAGCCACCGCAGTTCTACAATGAGTATGTCAAGCAAGTGCAGGCCAAGATCCAGGAGAATGCCCGCCTCGAGTTCGAGGCCATCTGGCGAGAGCACGAGAAGACTGGCATCGCACGCTCGATCCTCTCGGATCAGCTGTCATGGGCCATTACCGATCTGGATGAGGACTTGCAGCACTCCGACTTGTGGACAAACGAGGCCATCCGATATGGTGTGCTGCGTGATGCCCTGCCTCCGCTGTTGTTGAACCGCATCGGCATGGACAAGATTGTCGAGCGTGTGCCGGAGAGCTACCTGCGTTCCATCTTTGGCTCATACCTGGCGAGCCGATTCGTATATGAGTTCGGCAGCCAACCCTCGCAGTTCGCCTTCTATGATTTGTAAGTCCAGACCCCGGCCCTCTTGCCAAAAACCGACTGCTAACCTCACCCCAGTATGTCAAAGCAAATGGCCAAGATTAACAACAAGGAGACGGGCGCCGAGAACGTGCGCCGCGCCTCTATTTCTCAATCTCACCGCGCAACATAGCGTATTCTGCACTTCTTTGCATTTGAACTTGACACGTCGATGTCGATTTTGACAGTCGTCCATAGTTTCTGGCGTTTGATTGGAAGGGTAGCATTTGCACCAAAAAGTGTCAGTCATGGGTGGCTGCCACGGAAAAGCATGAGAATCAAGAAAAGAAACACCGTCGCACAGGGCAAAGCAGCCCGGGACGTGCGAATCGGGAAGATATATTAGTACGAGTAATGACAATGAGCAACAAAACGAACGCTGCCGCCTCAAACTGAACCTTTTTCTTCCGCTTTGACAACGTCTTCCTCGCTGTCTATCTAGTACCGTATTCACACGACGAAGTCGCCAATATAAGTATTGCCCGATATTGGCACTGCCATTGACAAGGATATTGTCTGCCAAGACAGTCCAGCGTTAGCGGCTTTGTCGAGTGACACTGTGACTATGGTGAACCTTGTCCGTCCTCTCATTCTCCGTGTTGGCCATTATCACATTACGGCTCCGACTCATACCAGGGCGCCAATAGTTGGGCGCCCGGCGCGCAGTTAAGATTTAGCATAAGCCGCGCCTCATGAATCCACATACAAGCCAATTGAAAACTTCATGGCCGCACGCCTAGGCACACATACTCGCAGATTCATGGCCGCAGCGGCACACATAAGTACTTAGGCACCCTTGTAGCCGCATGTAAGTACTGTGTGAAATATTGCCGCTAGCACAGCCGTAGCCATATGTCAGGGTAGCAAAAGTCGTCTGTTGGAATAAAAAGATCGTCGTCTTCGAGCTCGTCAAAGCCGTCTGAGCTATCCTCCTCCTTCTGCTTCTTGGCGGATGAAGCTTGACATCGTCTGGGTCTGACTTCCACTTCTTCCATGAGGTCTACGAGTAGCCTTCTAAGTATTGCACATGTATCTAATTGGCCCATGAATCTATTTTATGGGGTGGCACTTGTGTACGAATTGTTTCCTACCTTACATGTAGGTCGAGTCACCAGATCCTTTGCACTTGGCTTCGGGACTATCGCAGGTACAAGTACTTAAACAGCCCTTATCAGTGCCCATCAAGCACATGCCCCTGAAATGGTACATTGGTACCTTCCATAAATGGGGGTCATAAATCATGTGTTTTGGCCGGTCTAGAGCTAGCTCCGGTTGATTCGGATGCCGGCGACATCTGTCGACACAGTTTTGTGCACTAAATCTACCTTGTTGTCCAGCCTTTGTAATTTTGATATCAGCTGGCATTTACGAGGATTTTTCAATCAGGATATTGGTGAGATGTGTTTTCACGTTGTTTGCAACAACATGGTGTTGAAAGCTGAAAACATTCATGACAGGACTATAGCCCCTGAGCTGTCGTAGATCTTCCGTCGACTCTCGACGTCCTCAAAGTTTACCAAGCTCCAGTCGACAACAAATGGGATCTTCATGGTGGAAAGTTCACCCCGTTGATTGCCCATCTAGAGCTGTGGAGAGCCTCGCCGAGAATGACCAGACATGGAGACTTGACACCACTGCCTCGAGGCGCTGTAGCCTATGTGTGTGTAAGTAGTCATTCTGGCCTCCATGCACAACACATGCCTAGGGCTGTTGAATGGTACTATGGTATTCTCCTTTGCTTTTCTACTGGATACGGTTGGTCATGCGCAAGTCAAACAATCTCCACAAAGTCGAGAGTGCAGACTAACAAACTCTCAAGCAAGTAAGAACGCAGGTTGATCAGCAGCGCCCAAGACCTTGTGTGTATCAAAATGAATCAAGTGCTTCACACTACAGCAGACTCGAGTGACCGCGCTATGTGAGGACACTTCCTGCATGTGATTTACCTTACTTTAGGTTTCCACTCCTCGTCCTTCCGGCCTTTGCTCACTCGCACACACCAAAACCTACATCGCCATATCCAAGAGCATAGGAGGAAGAAGCACCACATCTCTGGTGACTCGCGGCTGGAATCCTGCCAAGAGCGGCGCAGCTAAAGGGTTCCAAGTCCTCCTCAAGTCTTCATGGGCTGCGTCATGTCAAAACGAGGGTGCCCGTTTCGGAGGGCGAGACCACAGTCGGCACAGCCCAGCAAGATGCCCCGAAAGTCTATCACGCCGCAGAAGGCATCACCATGGGACAGACTTCCCTTGGAGCTTCGAGACCTAGTCTTCGCCCAGTTATTGACGTCGGGGCGCGGCCTCTACGCCGCCTATGCGCAGGTTAATAAGGAGTGGAATGCCTATTGGGAGCCCAAAGTGTTCAAGAAACTCCTGCTCACGCCAGACGACCTCGCAACCCTAAGCCAAATGTTGGGCGGCAGAAATACCCGGAGACTAGGATATATCAACCGATTAGACTTCTATATCATTCTCGAGAAGTATGACTGCGATCTCTGCGATAAGGTTGAGGATGAAGAAACAGCACAGCGGTATGTCCTTCACGAGCACCTCCCCTCTCCCCTTTATTCATCTATACTGACATCAAGTCGCAAGAAACGATACCGTTACGACCATATGTTTGCTGCGGCTTCTCATGAGTCTGCACCCTTTGGAGCCTGCAACCACGCCGAGCGGCGAACAGCATCGCATAAACCTGACAATAACATGCTTTTCCCGTAGCGACACCAAACATCACTACAGGCCACTCGCTATGAGACTCAACTCCTTGACGGACCAATACGAGGAGATTGGAGAGCCCGAATCGGATCGCTCAAACGGTGAGCCATGATTGTTCCACGAACTTGACGAAAAGCAAACAATGACTTACGTGACCACCTAGGACATGGTCCCATCCCACCTAGCAAAGATTATGCCTGTGCCACGCGACTCTTTGGATCAAGGTACCTTCAATGGAGCTATCAAGCCGACCAATATCCCTTTGAGGCCCATTGGAGGCTACCACAAGCCCGAATCATCACAGACCTCAACCTCGACCTCGCCTCGTACCGCAGTATTGGACGCAACGTCGTCTGGCGACTCCTGCGGGAGGGCCTCCCCTCGCTTGTCAGCTTGAACCACGAGCAATGGCTCCGTCTCAAACCCCCGGGCCAGGTTCGCCACGACGAGAACTTTGTCGAGACGATCGATATGCGGTGGCCCACCCCGTTCCCCCGACGGATCCAACGCCTGAGCTTGTTCTCGGACGCCGATCCCAGGATGCACGATGCTGGCCCTCGGCCCACCTCGCATCACAGAGCAGGTCGGAGCCTGGCGCTCGCGAGTCATAATCTGTCGGTCCTGACCTGTGGATTCGCCGCAGACGCGGCTGGCTTTCTGCACGAGTTTTACGAGGACCGCTGCCGCGATCTGGGCGCGCAGGTCATGCGCTGGGAGAACTTGACCAAGCTCTGCTTAACAGCAGCCTGCTTCGAGTCGAGCACATGCGACGAGATTCCACCACTGCTCTCCGCCGCGGCCAATGCGGCGCGCCACATGCCTCAACTTCTCATCTTGGAGATGTGGAACAGTGGCAACGGCCAAGCAGCGCGTTTCTGCTACGAGGGTCAGCCGCGGACGCAGGAAGGCAACTACAGCCCTGCGAGCATCGTGTGGGCGTGCAGTTGGTCACCGGCGTACATCGATCAGTCAGACCCGGCTATTGGGAAGTGGCGCCGCTTGGCTCGAGACCGCTCGGGCGGCCTAGAGGCCGGGGTGTGCTTTTCTACGATCGAGATGAAGCCATTGGAGTTGCAGACGCATCTTGCAATGATCCCTCACCTAAGGTTGTCGGCGGATATGCTGTCGAAATCGACACACGGCCGGATCAAGTACAAGACCAGGATGAGGCGGGATGGAAAGCACGATAGCCTGGTATGAGGCCCGCCAGTACTTGCGCGCCCGGACGAGCCCATGAGTGTCACTCACGTGTTGCGCGCTCCGGCGCATAAGTAACTATTCTTACATGTGTGCCGCCCCATGAGATAGCTTTGTCAGCCAATGAGTTACCTGTGTGCCACTTATAAGGCTACTCGATGGTGGTACTTTTATGCGCCGCTCGACCCTTAGTAAGGTACGGATACGTACTATCTTATCGTCAAAGGAATTTTGCCAGACTGCGAAACTACGGCCGCCTATCAAAGAGGATCCTGCGTGAGCTGTTAAGAAGTCTCAAAAGCCCTAGAGCCACTATCACTCTGACTCTGTGCGCTGGATTGGGTGTGTCTGATGTGTGGAATGCTGGCGGGGGATGTCAGGGCAGGCGTGGCATAAGGCACCATGGCGCAGAGAGAGTGGCACACTCAGCAGAGAATCAGCCAGCGAGAGCGCGCTGGGGACTGCTGATGCGATGCTGGACTTGCCAAAAGCCGATGATGTGTAGATCTCGATTTGTCTGTTGCAGCATGATGATGATCACGCCAGTGATGGAGGTTAATGCCGCTGGAGCTGCAAATGATAGGGAGCAGGCGATGACTGCACCAGGCCACTAACAGATCGCTGAGCTGCAGCACCAAGCTGAGGCAAGACCAGGCAATTCAGGACTGGACCCAGAAAAAAAAAAGGGATCAGGGGGCGTGGCAGCGCTTCAATCTCGACAAGGCATCCATCCATCCATCGCACGGCATTCTGATCCAACCCCAACCCCGTACGGATACATGTACCTTGTCGCCCAACCCCAGTTCGTCCGTGATCCCAGCCCAGGCATTCATTCTATCGATAGGGGCAGGCATCTTCATAATCTTCATAACTTTTTCCAGTCCTTGTGTCCCACGTCTGCCGCATGCGCGCCGGGCTCGATGATCGCGCCGACAATTGCTCAATCGTCGACGACCTCGCTGCCCGACTGCACCACGTTGCGGGAGGATACCACGCCAGCTAGTGATACCTAGTAGTGAGAGGACGGCGCTGCTCCTGTAGCAGTCATGACGAGGCCTTCGATCGTCCGTGCTGGTACGTATATGGCCCTCAAGTAATTACATGCGCCAGGGGCTCTCTGGCGCTTGGGGCATGGGTCGCCACGTTCTTTTACTCGGCTCACATGCAGCCTGCCAACTGCCACCGTCCTCCCTTTCTACCTGCCAGCCTCACCATCCTCGCTGTGACAGCTGGACGATCATCACTGACCACGTGCCCTCAGACACGATCGACTTGCAAGATCACGACGCCCCGTCAGCCAAGTCCCATCGCCAGCACCCTCATGCCGGGGCGCACCAGGCCGAAACCCTCCGCGAAGTCGCCCACGAAGCCGCCGAAGCGCAAGCTCGCAGCCCTCGCCTGTCTTGGAATGAAGGCGCGGGAAGCCCAGACGAACAGCAGTCACAGGAGGACCTAGCAAGTGGCGTGAGCGCGAGGATGGCTGATGCCACGACGGCGAAGAGCGATGTCGAAGACGGCAAGGGTCCGGACGCGGCCGCGACCCACGGCGAGATGGCAGACTCGAGCGATGAGGGCGACGAGTTGGACGATGATGATATAATGGACCGCATGTCGAGCTCTCCCTCGATTGAAGATGGTGCGTACAGACATCTGCCAGGGATCGATGCCCTGCCCAAACATCCGCCTACGCAACTCCGCATGTGTGCATTTACGAACCTTCGCAACACAGCCGTGCGGCAAGGGACCTAGTCCCTTTGCGCAGTATGGGCAGGGGCCGCACTCCATGATCATTGAACCCCGCTGGGTGACTGGACGCTTACATGGAAATATAGAGGATATCGATTTCGAATTCGTCTACGCGTTGCATACCTTCGTGGCCACAGTCGAAGGTCAAGCCAATGCCACAAAGGGTGATACAATGGTTCTTCTGGACGACAGCAACAGCTACTGGTGGCTAGTCCGCGTTGTCAAGGACAGCAGTATCGGTAAGCGTCTGTGCAACTGTTGCACCTGGATCAGCGCTGACAGGGCGTCAAGGTTACTTGCCTGCAGAGCATATCGAAACCCCTACCGAGAGATTAGCGCGACTCAACAAGCATCGCAACGTTGATGTGAGTGATCTGAGGTCAAGCATCCAAGTTTGTTCCCACTAACCACTGGCTATGGAGCTTTCTGCGGCAATGCTGGGTGACAATGCAGCGAAGCAAAAAAGTTCCTTCAAGGGAATCCGGAAAAGATGGAAGTCTGTCACTTTCGCCGAGCCCACATATGTCGACTACACCAACGACTTTGACAACTCCACGGACGAGGAGGACATCGAAGAGCTCTTTGGACCTGATGCGGCGAAGCAGGACGCGAGCCAGAGTCAGACATCTCCCGACGCCGAAGATGAGGCTACTGTCCAGGAATCGGCCAGGGTCGAGCCGCTGAAGACTCGCAAGGATCAGGGGACCAATAAGGAGGAGGCGACCGTTGAAGATGATGAAGCGCCCAGAGCCAGCGAGGAGATCCTTGATGGGCGGGCAGAGCCGAGACGGACGCAAAATGGGACCGTGCGCGACTCCTTCTTCAAGGATGACAGCGTTGAGACCAAGAAGATCAGCCTCACACCGAATCTGCTCCGGGACGACAACGCGCCCCGTCCTTCCACCGATTCTGCTGCTTCCAAGGACCTGAAAACAAGGGGCAGCCTCGATAAGCTGGAGAAGGAATTGGTGGCCGACAAGGACAGGAAGAAGACCAAGGATAAGAAACCGAGCGCGATTCGAAGCTTCTTCTCGAGGAAGGACAAGAAGCGGACATCAGAGGACGACGATGGCGAGTCCTTCGGGAAGAGATCCATGGACATCATCGAGACACGCGAGAGCGAGGATCCGGTCGGTGATGAAGAACAACCGCCCGATAAGACGCTCTCGCGCAGTCCCAGCAAGCTCCAGAAACAGCAACCACGGATAGAGCCTTCGCCTGCACAAAGGAACTCGCACGCAGCCTCCAAGAAACCCCCGCAGACGGATATTTCGCAGCATTTCACGGAGACGCGCACCAACGATGTGTCCAATGTTCCACCAGCCTCCATGCGAATCGTCGATCCGGAAACACAAGAAACTATGGAGGTGCCATCCAACCAGCAGCGCTTCTCCGACCGCGAGGAAGGCAGCAATCTCGCCAAGTCATTGTTGCCAAGAGGAGGTGGTGTCTCATCGATGGATACAAAGCCGCAACAGGCCTCTGAAGCGAAAGCACGTATGGAGCTCGATGATTCAGACAGCTCTGATGAGGAGCGCACAAGGGCGCCGGAGACATCTGACAAGCAGGAGGAGCGGCAGCTGCGCCCTCAGCTACCTGGGGCGTTCCCGGACAGCTTCCAGACTACCAGCACAGCCATGAGCGATCAGACCATAGTGCCAAGCCAGGAGCAGGATCGTACCAGACTTTCAGAATCCCCAGTGGAGGTATCTTTGCCTTCTGCAGGGCAACCGCCAGAGCTCACTGCCGATTCGCCGTCTCCAGGCGGTTCAACATCCACTGAGCCAGGTCCAATGGAATCAACCGCCCACGATGCAACCGGCGCACCCTTCCCCCAACAACAATGGGATGATGAGAAGCTCCGTGCCTTCTTCGATGAGGGCGATCACGTCAGAGACCTGCTCGCAGTGGTCTACGACACATCTGGTGTAGAGCCCGCTGGCGATCATCCTATCGTGAGTGGGTTGTTCAGGGAACAGAATGCCAAACTGGCGGAAATTACGACAGTAAGTCTAGAGCAGGCCCGTCTTTGAGATGCCACCTATTGACACATGAATCAGCAACTTGATAACATGCTTGGCGACTGGCTCGCTCGCAAGCAACGATCCAGGGGCTCATTATAACGGCCTGGGCCCCTGTTGGAAAAATGACATGCTTTTTCTCTCTATCACCTGTTTGCTCGAGATATCACATTACTATGTTTTTACCCCCGGCCAGGCGTCGGTTGATGGATTTTATTTTTGTTGAGCAACATTTGGCTCATCATGTGAAGACTTTTCTTCTGGTGCATGGTTGTACAAATAGCGCTGAAATCATGATTCCCCAATGCAAGGTCACGTTTCATGGTCCGTCGACGTCGAAGTCTGAGATCCCGGTCGTCATGGTGTAGATACATGTCACATGATGAAGCCAGCCCGATCGTCATTTGCAACTTTTTTTTCCTCTCTACCGCAAGAGCCAGGCAAAAGCCACTCAAAACCTGATACACCTAACGCGCGCAGTAGGAAACTAGGCCACAATACTAACCGTGGCCGATCCCTTATCACAAAGTGTAGTAGTTCCCAGACCGAAAAAAGCGTGAAAACATTCCCATAAGTGTTTCTCTTTTTGTCATTCCTCGCTGCATGCATAGCCAGTTTGTCCTCCCCAAGTTCCCAATTCTCCAAACGTTGAATCCGCTTAGACCTCCGTGGTGACCTTGGCCTTGGAGTTGGTGACCTTGACACCTAATTGCTTGGCGCGGGCGATGATGTCGACGCGCTTGCGGGAAGAAACACCGTGGGCGATCCTAGGGTCCATGTTAGCCAGCTCTTGTTGCTTCCCCTCTTTTCGAGGCACGAGGGGGTGGTCGTACTCGGCAGCGTAGGTGCGGTTGTGCATGAGCAGGAGCTCGACGTCCTTGGTGTTGTTGACAAGGAAGGCCTTGTGGCCAGAGGGCATCATGTAGCGGGTCTTCTTGTTGGTACCGTAGCCAATCTGTAACACACGCCTTTGTAAGTACATTGTCGATCATGGTCGCTCGTCGGCAACAAGATGGGACGGGAACGTACGCTGGGCATGGCCTGGGTGCCCCTGAAGCGTCGGCGGACACGCGAGTCGATACCCTTGGGCTTGCGCCAGCTGGGGTCGACACGCATGAACCTGTCACTCTGGTGACGGGCGAAGCGCTTGGTGCCTGTGGTTCTCTCGTCAGCACCAGTCTTCGCATGGGCCGCGCCCCAATCCTCTCATTCCGCCGCCTCGAACAAGTGCGTCGTCTCGCAACGTGGGAGTTTGCAGAGATTTTCGTCTTTCGATCGTCGGACGGGCGACGGGTTTGGCGGTGGCAGCGGTGATGAGGAAAAACGTACGCTTCTTGACGATAGGGACGTGCTTCTTGGCGGAGACCATCTTAACGCAGAGTCAGTACTTCGTTGTCGAGGATGAATGAGTTGATGGGCAGAATCTACCTTGACGGTTGTGCTGTGTGGTTAGTCGTCCTCGAGTGACTGGGCGTGAAGTTCGATCCAGGTCCGCTTCGCACGTCGAAATTTTGGGATGCAGCACCAATTGGCGGGTGCCGGCACAGCTCCATCGTCGGAAGGGCTTAGGGTTATCAGCGATTTGTGTGCAGTCACGTGGGTACACGCCACCCTCAAATTGCGTGGGTGCAGGTTGGCAAGGCGGGATGTGGTGGGGCCCTTGGGAGTCGATGCACCCAATCACTGTACCAGGCGTTCTCCAAAGGGCACAAACCCTTTTCGCGGCAAAAATCCAGCCGTGCAATCCTCACTTTGCAATCCTTGGTGATCCGCTACGACGACCCGATACCGACGACCTCGCCTTTCGACTAACCCACCCTCTCGCCAAAGGACCAGCAACCATGTCGTCGACTCCCCAGCGTGTTCAATGCTTCGGCAAGAAGAAGACGGCCACTGCCGTCGCCCAGTGCAAGGTCCGTGATAGAGTTAATCGAGGGGAGGGGAATCTCTGCTTTTCTTCCATCGTGGGAGGAAACTCTTGCGCTGGGGGGATTGGGTGGAGGACCTTTCTTCGGAGAGAGTATCGGAGTGCTAACTCGTTTCCCAGGCCGGCAAGGGCCTCGTCAAGGTCAACGGCCGCCCTCTGCAGCTCGTTCAGCCCGAGATCCTGCGCTTCAAGGTACGACTGCACCATCCGTCTCCCGAAACGACACTTCGATCTTCGCAACCCCACGAATGACCGAGACGTGAAGAGACACAGCCACCGCGAGCCGATGTACTAACGTTCCCACCAGGTCTACGAGCCTCTCCTCGTCGTTGGCCTCGATAAGTTCGCCAACCTCGACATCCGCGTGCGCGTCTCCGGTGGTGGTCAAACTTCGCAGATCTACGCCATCCGCCAGGCCATTGCCAAGTCCCTCATCGCCTACTACCAGAAGTTCGTCGACGAGCACTCCAAGAACATGCTGAAGCAGGCTCTCGTCCAGTTCGACCGCACCCTCCTCGTCGCCGACAACCGTCGGTGCGAGCCCAAGAAGTTCGGCGGTCCCGGCGCCCGTGCGCGTTACCAGAAGTCGTACCGTTAAAGAGACGGATCTCTGGGGGGAATTGCGCAGCGGAGGAAGAATGTGTGTTTTGCTCAGGTCGCTACTCTTACTGCATGGGCGACTTGGCTGGCGTGGACGGAAATTCGGAGTCAACATATCTCCTGGCCAGGGGACAGGGTACCCGTTGGCCTTTTGCATGGCTTGCTTTGGGCGGATTTTAAGGGTCTGACAGGTCAATGAAAACTATCCAAGTTCACCACAGCGATGAATATGAGGTGATACGAGAGGGCTCAGGCCATACTATATTGTCAACGCTCCGCCTAGGATTGCCGTGATCACCAAAGTTATCCAATGCCTTGCTTTCCATCGAAAGTCTGGTGCGTCAAAATCGAGACTTCCAAACCCAATGTCTTTGACACTCCGTGCTGGGCATCCCATTCCTCGCACTTCTTTTGGTCACGGGCGTCTTTGGTAGTTGCATAGGCAACAATGCATCTTGCGGAGCTGGAACTGGTCTGCTTACTCGACCTATTTGTCCTCACTTCACCATCCCAACTATCGATCATAGTGTGTCCTGCAGATCCTCTTCTTTTGCCTCTGAGCCGGACGCGACGCATCGCCTCGCGTACCTAGTTCGTCCACGATACGAGGCCTTTCTCTCTACCCGACTCATCTAATTCCACCACTTCAGGGGCAAATTCACCGCGTTCGTCCTCAGCCTCTAGATCAGTCGTCTCCATGGCAACAATATCGCCATCTTCGGTCATGAAGGTGCCTTGGCGGATATAGCTGTCCTTGTTGATGTCCCAACCCAGCGGTGACTGAACGACGGCTGCCTCTATCTGCGAGAGCGCAAGATTCACAGAGGGAGTGCCTAGCTCATCCTCCTGAAGCCGGCGTTTGTAGATGGTCAATGCGAGACGTAGGTCTCGCGACTGCCGTTCGCTGTAGTCAAACACAGATGTCTCGAGATGCTTCAGGCTGTGGTTGATCTGTGCAGCGGAGCTGCGCAACAATGCTTCCACAAGAGTCGGACGATCTGCAATGAGAGAGTAGGACCGCAAGGTTAATTTGAGCAACATATACCACCATTGCTGCAGGCAGGCGTCGTTGCCCAAGTGTGTTCCAACGATGTATGCGAACTGGAACTCGCCAATAAAGTCGTCCTCACCCAGCGCCTTTTCGGGATCCGCCAGCGTAGAGACGATATGATGCGACGCATCAGTAGCCTCCTGAGTGCGCAAGGAGCCGACACCAGCAGCCGAGTACGTCTTGGCTGTTTGTGAGAAGATGAAATTTAGATCGCGGCCTTGAAGTGAGTTCGAGATGCGATTCTCAAGCTCGATCTCCGCAGGTATGAGAGCGACGCCTCTGACTTTGTCGACTGTGCTCACAAACCAGTCGCCACGGTGTTGCACAGTGATTCGGTTGAGCAATGTCTCCGAGATACAACTGGTGAGCCTATTCCATATGCCCTCATTGTCTTCATGAGCTGCGCCTTGGATGCGCGCGCCTTGTTGTTGATCATTGATTGCTGCTGGATCCCTGTAGGATACCAATTTGGAATGGATATTTGCTAGACTGCTCGCTTGTTTCCGCGCCTCCGCGCTGCTCGACTCGGTGAGAATCTCGTTGTATTTGTCCCACTGTAAGACATGGACCTTGTGTTGCGTAGAGCTCGTTATCCAAGCACCGCATCGCACTGAGGTTCCGTTGGGATGAGACACCCATATCAAATGTGGTCCAGGTGGGATCTCTTTGACACCCCCAAAGTGTCTAGCTGTGAATGAGACGCAGTCGTAACCGATGGTGAATACCTCTGGCAGATCGAGTATAAGGACGACGTCACCACCGCCGAGGGCACGGGCAATCACCGTTGGCGAAGTCGGTGAGGATCCCCGTTGAGGAACAACGGCCTCCCCCTCTAAAGGTGGCATATCCTCATGCTCGCCACTGGCCGTCTCACGGGCCAAGCTTGAAGATTCAGCACTAGCGTCCGTTGGGGGCACCGCCCATGCCGAGACTGGCATTGTCGGCTCAATGGATCGGGAAAATCAATGATAAGCTGCCCTGAAGATATCTCTGATCGTTTTTGTGATCGTATCGGATCCGGAACTTGGCAGTGCTATGTTGCTGTCGAATTTTCAATTGCAGTCAAGGAGGTTTTGTCATGGTAGGTTTCTTTCCTGATAATGCCTTGCTTGGTGCCGGAGGGTTATAAAGAGACCTTGAAACAGCCTCGGCCAGGGATAAAACAGGAGCTGTAGGCCAGCATTCACTCTGGTTCGATTCCCTTGATTGGATGTGAACGTGCTAAGTTCATCCCCAGTGCACAGATTGCTATCTGTTCAGTTGTGAAAGCTTCCAGGCTGATCACGTGACTGTGGGCAAACCAGTTCGTGATGCTCACCATTAGATCTCGCAATGATACCTGAGGTAACAAAGTTTCAATTCCCTGTTTTGGAATTTCCATCATGCTACCGACTTGCAGTTCGACCTGAACGCTGGGCTATCGTTGTGACTCCTGAAGGTACGAAGCAGGTACTTCACAAGCCGTGCATGAGCCATCCCAGCAGGCTAACACCAGTAAGTACGAACTTAAATCCAAATATTGACCACGTCATATGGTCAGGTGTGTCGTATTTGATGTTGTCCCGTATTAAGTTACCTTTGTGGATGTTTCGCGCGACTTCGACCCGGCGTACTGTCTCCGGGAAGCTCCCCAAAGGCCTGCATAGAGCGTACTTCAATCCCCTGCCAACGTTGTCCGCCTATCACCAAGTACCCATGGCTCAAGTGCGGAATTTAAGACCCCGGCATCGTGTTCTGTGTTTACTCAATCTGGATCACATGTCTCTTCGCCACCGTTACCACTCATCCTTCCGGTGCGTAAGGTTGCTACAACCAGCCGACAGTCCGCGCGTCCCAGACAACAAATGCTGTCCGAGAGAATTATGATGAAATTCATATTGCTTTAGCTCAACTCAAATCTCAACAACGCCATCGTTGCCGGGCTTTGGGGAGTGTGCCGATTGTCACACATCGACACGCCAGATGTACATTTACATGAAGAGTCAAAACGCTACACCGGACAAAGGTTTAATTCTTCTACGGGCTGCTGTACCAGCTGTATATTTACTACACGAGATTTAGGACCATTCCTTGAAGTAGAGTTAATACCTCAAAGAATCACGTTCGCATCTGCCCTGCACACCTTGATGGGTTACACCAACCTGATTTGTTGAGATCACGGGGATCTCAGATCTGACCGGTTGACGGCGGGGAACAACGCGTTGTAAATTACTTGGAGGGAAGGTCGGTCGTTCGTAGGAGCTCGTACTTCACCATGGAGGACGCCGTGCAACTGCTGGCTCCATAGGTGTTTCGCTAGCATGAACTGCGCGGAGTTGTCTCCAGCGGCGTTCATAGCTTCAGTCGCCAACGACACTCAATAACAGTACCCAGAACAGACAGTAAGTTCATATCCAAACTATCTCCACTATTCCGAAAGTCTCGGGCACAACAATAGCCGGATTTCGTCTGAGAAATAGATATGTACGTGAATAAGGGGTAGGAGTAAACACGGATAACAGGGAAGCTGTGCATGCTTCGCCTGTTACCGGACGTGAAACGCCCACGACCGATCACACTAGGCGTAGTCGTGTGATTGAAGCGAAAAGAAAAAAATGAGATCACCACGAGATGATGATGACAAGACAACGGGTGCAGGGCGAAAAAAGAAAAATAACATCTCCGGTACAGGGAATCGAACCCTGGGCTTGACGGATCACAGACTTCGAAGAACACGGATGGTTTTGGAAGTGAGAGCGTCAAATGTTAGCCACTACACCATACCGGACGGTGTGTATTTGCCGACGACTTGCAAATTATAAACCTTGATACTACCACAGTCCAGCCCTCGAAACTGTTGCACGTCGGTCAGGCCTTGTAATCGGCCTTGTAATCGGCCTCGTTAAATGGGATCTCCCCTTGCAACCCCAAGCCTCCATTCGCTCTAGTCCAAGTGGGGTGCGAGCTCATTCACAGAAAGGGATGATTTTCCTTCTAGGACCAACTGACTTTGACCAACACTCGTCGTCTGGCCCCCAATGGCCAGATAAAGAAGAGGGGGCGTCGCACCACATTCCCACATGGCCGGAACGTCAACAGCTACTCACTTGGGCTTAGCTGTAGATCCTGGCAGCAGATTTCAATCTATCCGAGACCACACTATTTGGATTGACCGGCTGCCGGCTGCGACTTGCTGCTTAGATCGACCCAGAATACCGGTATTGCGCTAGAGCAATTGATTTTCTGGGCTAGCCTTTACGCGCGACCCTTGTCTGAGCCTCAAGTGTCGAGAGCAGTGTAGAGTGAATTGACGAAGAAATGATAATTGGTTTCGCGACACGATACATTACGCGCGGGGATATGCCCCTAGCTGTTACTTCTATCGTTCGCATATCTAAATAGTCCTATCACTCCTGTGACCAGGCCGCCATAATTGCTTCAGCCAGGCCAGCAAAGCCATTGCAGCAACATATTTCTCCCAAGCGAGAATAGGTGTCTATCTGCACGTCTTGGGACAAAACGGCACTGTTACAGCGACATGGTTTGGCATTTCTGTCATCCTGCATCTCGTCCCATTCATCTGCTGTGCTTACCTACTAGTAGTCTAGTGCCTACTAACCAACATCAGCTCCAATGTGATACATCACCAGCACTAGTCTTAGCTCTCCCGAGCAAACAAAGTGCATGACAAGGAACCCCAGACTTCTCCCGAATCTGCGACCCCCCACGGGTAGCAAGCGCGCGACGCAGATTTGGCCCCGACCCTACTGGTAGCCTAGTAGTGACCGGGTATGGCGTCTGTCGCGCGTCGCACAAACAACGATGCGGGCACATTTTCTAGTCTTGGAAGCACCGCAGATCGATTCTACGTTCTTTCTAGATCATGCACTTGCAACATTTCCGGGCGCTACTTCAGCTACAGCGCGGAGAATCTGCATACAGCCGGGTTTGTTCAACGCCAGAAAGGCATCCGGAAGCTAGGTCTGTAGCTCGATCTTGTCACACAATGTCCAGTCGGTGCAAACGACATCGGGAGCGCTGAGACGTCGCTGCCATTTGCTTCTGCCTTGTCCGTATGCAACGTAGTGGTGTAACATTAATTTGCGAACAAAGTCAATAGCATCCGGTCTTAGAGAAGCGTGCCGCCAACACCTTCGCTATGCCACCTAGCCCACCGCACTGCCAGTGACGCCGTTCCTGTACACAGACACCGGCACTCTGCATCCAAAGCAAAACTCCAATGACAGAAGTAGACATTGAGGGTTATTAGTCCACACATAGCGTCGCTTTTCTGTCGCCCATCTAACCAACAACAAGGGTATCCGGTAGAAAACGAGGGTCGGCCGCGAGGCCTATAGAATTATGTCTGACATGGCGAGGCAACAGAATGTATGCGTTTCGCCTTTTAATGGTTCGGGGCCTGCTGGTTGGGTTGGCCATTTGCTACCAGAGGTCAGTTCGGGGCATGTACAAAAGCAGTATGGCCATGACTCACGCTGCTGATATGGAACATTCTGTGGGGGCTGACCGTATGGCGACTGGGGTGGCCCGTAGTTCTGGTACATGTGTCCCGGGTACTCGGACATCGGTTGCTGGGTGACAGGAACCGGGGATGCCTGGTACTGTCCGCCTTGCGTGTAGCCGATCGGTGGCAAGGTGACCTGCGTTCGACCCTGTGAGTATGAGGTCGGCGTGCCATCAGGATCGCTACCATTCTGCACCTGTGCTTGAACCGCCTGACGCTGACGTTCTTCCTCTGCTTTGCGAGCGTTCTCTTCCTCCTTCTTACGGGCCTTCCACTCTTTGCGGATCTCTTTGAATTCTGCGGCAGTGTCAGTATGGCTAAGCAAATGTGGTCCTGGCACGCGGGGGTCGCGGACCTTCTGGTGTTCTCTTCAAGCCATGCGACTGCATTGTCACGTGGGCGTTCAAGTGGTTGAGCGTGCCGTACGCCTTCTCACAACCCTGGTAACCGCATTTGTACATGCGCTCGATCTCCTCGTATCGCCTACGAGGCCGTTTATGCTGTTGTGCGCCCGGGATGGGGACGAATGAGTAGACCTGAATCACGTTAGAGGCCAACCACAAGTATGCGACTGCCACGCAAGCTGCGTACCTGGCTTGGCCGTTGGTGGCCGGGAGCGTGCCCGTAGACAGCTGTGTGGCCGCTGGGCGTAATAGGAGCGCCATGGCCACCATAGCCACCCCAGTCTGGGCGAGGCTGCGCATACATGGCACCATTCGGGTGGGAGTAGCCTTGGGGCGGCATCTCGTGAGACGTAGGTGGGTATTGCTGATGCTGCGGAGGGTACTGATACGCCGCGCTTGGCTGCGACATGCCTGGATCTATAGGTACACTATGGTCAGAGGACGTTGGAGTAGAAGCAGAGGCAGGTTGAGACTGCTGATGGTTTCGCCCATCCTCAGACTGCCGGGGCATTGACGGACTCTGTGGGTGTTGCTGCTGAGGCGGCGCCTGCTGTGGCTGCTGCGCCATTGTTGATGTTGGTCGTCTGTCTTGAATTGCGCCGATATTTCGCGTTCGCGGGCGAGGGAGGGAGGGTCAGGCAGGTAGGTGGGCAGGCAGGTGTGATATCGTTGGCAATGTCAGAATAGTCAAACTAGTGCTTGCGCCCGCGCGACACGGTGCCAAAATAGTGCAAAGAGTCGGCGGAGTAGGACTTGGAGACGACAGCCAGCAAGTGAACAAGGCAGAAATGGTCTTGCCGCAGGTGTAAAGAAGGTCCAGACGATTCCAGAGACAGAATAGTGACGGTTGGAGGAGGGAAGTGAGACCAGGCCAGACCAGTGTGAAAGCAAGTTAGGGAAGTGCGAGCCGCGCGCCGGCAGATCGCGCTTTCTTGTATGGCAGCAGGAGAAGCGCCCCGAGCGATGGGACCTGGCCGTAGGTTTAGTGAAGGTTTGCGCCTCGTCGATCACAGCTCATGTACCGTGCTGGTACAGTGGGACTTGTGCTGGATAGGGGCGTGTGATGATGGGGAAGGACGATTCTGATCCGCCGAAAGCGCCAAACCGCGAGAGGACAAGCGTGGTTGGTTTCGGTGTTCTTGGTGCGAGACTAACGTTGGTGGCTCACGCTGCGAAGATGGCGCTGCCGGATCTGCCGCTTGACTCGGACTGTGGCGCTAGACTTGGATGGAAGGATTGATGCAACGAGTTCAGTATAATACTGGAGTTTAGCGCAATGCGAGGTCTTGTGCAGCACTAATTAGGTGGATTATAGCTGGCGATGATGGCTGCGTGCGGCGCGAGAGAGAGAAGGCGCGTTCTTGCTCACTTTTGCTTGCGGGCAGGACTTGGCTAGATGAGCGCGACGGAAGAAACGCGGTGAGGTGATTGCGCTTGCTCAGCTCAGCTGGACCTGAGTCGAGATTTATTGAGATGAGAGAGGGCCGCAGAAAATTGGGGATAAAACGTGACTGGCTGCTGCAGCTGATGGAAAAAAAAGTAACGATCAGACTCAGAGCAGCAGACTGGAACCCAGCAGCTGGAACTGGGAAGCCAGTGGGCGGTGGGCCGGCCGGTCGGGTGGGTCAGTCACCTCACCTACCTGCATCAGTCACCCAGTCACCCAGTCCATTCGTTTGCTTATTCCCAACTTATCACTTCGCACCTATACTTCTACGGTTATATCTTCAGGCCGATAATCATTCCCTCCGCGAGAAGAGCTTGAACCAGATGATGGGGCTCTCTTGATGACTGGTTGACTCGACCGCGCCTGCTGCCGCAGACCACGATGAGCGCAATAAAACAGCAACTCCAAGAGACGTGCGGAGACATGGAGACTCTCAATGAGTGCGAGGCAAGCAGGCAGACATGGGTTGGCCGCAAGATGAATGCAGGCACCCCCCTGTTCCTCTTGTCGATCTGCCCCCCATCTCACCATGCAATCATTATTGCACTCGGCTTTAGCGCGTGTTTGATCGCTGCCAGCTACCTACAGTACGTAGTGCTACACGCGGCAGCACTGCACTCCGCTACGCCAATCCATGCCTGTGCACTCAGCCAGCTCTGGGCCTGTCGTGTGGTCGCAACGACTCGAGTTGCTTGTATGATAACTTCACTAATAACCTAGCGCCCTCAAATCAGCTACATGCTCTATTATACCTTGTTGCCCTGCTGACGACGTAGTGAAGATATAAGAATGCGCGTTTTCCCGGCACATTCGCCAATGCAGTCATTTCGCACTTCTTCGGCACTTGGTGGTGACCACGGCAAAGGGCGACCTCACGTGGACGTGTCGAGGGGCCATAACCCTGCACCTTCCACGTGCAGCGCCCAAGACGCCCCCCCTCAGCCATTGTCGCTTCTCTTCATCAATCACCATCCAGAGCTATAATGATTATGCGCTGCTGAGGTGGGCTCTCGAGCAGGAAGTCCATGATTTAGGTGCGCAAGTATCCCGAAAGCTGCGTTTATCATGGCCTTAACCGAATCTTCCGCCATTGGCCGCATTTTTGGGCAATACGTAGTATCAATGCGATCTGGTTCCAAAAAAGGCGAGTGCTACAACCTGCGGGAATCATCATGATCCCCATCATCGTTCCTCTGCACTCGTCTTCCCCCTCGCTCAATTTCCGAGTCCTTTTTTGTATTGCCTTCGATGACTTCACCGCTCAATACGAGCGATATCGCCCCGCGGAGCTCGGGTTGCAGACCAGTACAATCTGATGCGCCGGTACCAAATTGGTCCGGGGAGCAGTTGCCAGCCACCCCAGCCTTTGTTCGTCGCGGGCTCACGGGAAGTCTCTTGCTGTCAGACGAGTCACCGAATAGGTAAATACAATGCAAAAGCGCAGGCCCACGGCGTCCATGTCGTCCGTTTTGCGGATCCGCACGCATGCGTCGTCCACAGTGTGCACAGAAATCACAGTGCCAGGGCCCCCATGTTGCAACTGATCTGCAGCTCTCTGCTGCAGGTCAGACTGGCCAATCAGGTGTTTACGTCTCTTGTTTTTACACGCACCCCAAAATTCCAGCGAATGTCATTCGGGGGCCCTCGGGGAGGGAACCATGCTTCGCACGCTTTCGCAGCTCCAGTCTGCTCGCAAACGTGTCAAGTACAGGGAGCAAAACATGTGCAATAATTACCAGCCGAATGCGATGGTCCAACAGTTGACCTGGAATCCTGTCGAAGCGGCTGGGGAATCATGGATGACCTCTGTCAAAGTGGCGTGCTTCTGCCGTTGATCCGCAGAACAGCAGGTGGCTGGCAGTCAACAATTCTCGCCGACGTGCTCGGTAACTTCGGTTCATGTTGTCAGCTTGGCTGCCTGTCCATGACGAAATCATGGTGAGCTTGGGCGCTCTCCGTTCTGCGAGTGTAGTTACGTACCTCAGAAGCCATTGTGATCTGATGTATCAGACAATTCGATAATAGTAGTTAGCACGCAATCAAATGTCGATATTTCTCCTAGCGGATAATACTAGCAGCCGGCGGGTGCCGATGTGATGCAGACTTGCAGCCCAAGAGCGGACACGAGCCCGATGAGTCGGTTCTCAGATGACGCTAGAGACAGCGCGGCACAGGCACAGGCAGCCCAGTCGCTGTGGAATCACTCTGATGCACCGCGCCCAGCACCCCGTGCCAATATTCTTGGTTCACTAGGTACTGATTACAGTGATTGTGCTGCTGGCTACTTTACTGGTCAGCCGCAAGATTATTGATCAAGTTCGCTGGGTTTGCCGCGGCATTCTACCCGACAGCCATGTGACCTTTTGACAAGGCATGCGGGTTGTACTGTGTGGTACTAGTCTCGTCATTGATGAACGGCCGCATCATGCAGGGGGAGCAGGTGACCACGCACTAACTTATTCGGAGGGCCTATGATGGGATTGATTCTCAATTTCGTGCACTTGCTCGCGTGGTAGCACCAGCCACCCCCGATTCCGGGGCCCATTTTGCGACTAACTCATTTGTCTGCCGGCGCCGTTGTGTGCTAGATCGAAGCCGTGTGCTTGGTTCCTGGATCTACAACTAGCAAGCAGTAGTGCATCTACAACTATTACTTGTCATATTACACAGGCTACGACCTCTCGATCCTAAATGCCTACTACATACGGCTGCACATTGTATTATGCGCTGGCTTCTCATGACGACCAAATGAGCAAGCAGCCAAAATCCAAAGCACATCCGGACCGTGCCCACCCTCTCTCGAATTATTACCCAATGTGAGCCTACCTTGGCTTGGTAATTTCCAGCTGGCAGAGTCCGCTCTCTGCGGTCGGCGATTTGGCGCATCCGCCTGCCTGCCCGCCCGCCGGCTTCCTCGCTCTCCTCCTGCACGAAACCTCAGCTCGCTCAGTGGGGCGCATCTTCCGCACAGTACAGAGCCAGGAGGAGGGGGGGCTGGTCAGTTGGGGCTGGTTCCGTCAGGGCGGAAGTGGGGGATTCGAAACACACACCACATTGCTGCTGCCGGTTTGATATCGTTGCAAATCCACGTTGTCTCGAGCGCCTTTTCTTTTTTTTTTGGCAGTGTCAGGGGCTGGTCCCGGGAGCGTTTCAGCTGCGGTTGTGGTTCTTTTGTGTGCTCAACCGTAGAGAAGGAGCAAAAGCACCACGTAATACGGATATAGCGACACTGAATTCTGAACCAGGCTGGTCCTAGGTGATAATAATATGTACCCACAGTGCATTCGCGGTTTTGATATGTACAGTGCAACATGCCCGCTCAGACAGGTACGGGCGGCAGTGTCGATGCGGATGTATTAGGAACTCAATGCTTGAATAGTCGGTGAGAAGGGCAGATTGCCAGAATAACCAAGAGAGCAACATGTCCGGCGTGTGCTGAACACAAGCATGTGGATTTCGATTCATTTTGCGTCCCCGCAATTGCCACTGCACTGATTATAATTGTCAGGAAACATTAATATTGATCGTTGTCCACGGACCAACACTAGTTCTAGGCCTGCCAATCCAGGCATGGACGTCAGATGGCCCTACTGCACCGTAAATCACTCTATGAAACTAACAGCTTAGCGCAGAAACTAGACCAGGATAAAAACAAACCACCAGAACGAGAGGTCACGATGATTGCACAAAAGGCTGTCGAAGCCAAAGCAATTGACGACATCGCATCCAAGTTCGGCGCTCGACTTGCTTTCTTTCTGCCTCTAGGTGCATTATCACTGTGCTTAGTCAGAAGCTTAGTATGCCTCAGGCTGCTTCTACAAGCACAGCCAGGCGTGAAGTTGCCCAGAGCTGCCTGCATTCAAGACGTCACAGCCCAACGCCGGCCTATCTTTTCACAACCTCGACTTCGCCACTGACTTCTCATGAGGTTGGGCGTCTGTGCTACAAAAATTGAAAACCGAAGTCACGCTGCATTTAGTGATCAACGTATGTTGGCCCGAAATTCGGGAATACTAACTAGCTGCAGGTCCTCGTAACCTGGAGTCGACAACATCAACGTATCAGGCGCGGCACATTGCGAGGGTTTCGGATAGGCCAGCTCGAGCTTAAGCCAGTGCCTTTGTGGACCGATCAGATTTCTCAGGCCAGTGTTGTTCAATGCTGTCCCCCCGTCAGTAAGATTATGGGTTTCAAGCCCCCAAACACGCCGACTTCGACAATGCTCCTCGTGTTCAGGCATTGCGCTCGCTCAACCAGCTGAAGAAAGACCCACAGCATTCCTTGCCAGACTGACAGTATGTCTCAGTCGCCAGCTTTGCGTCAACGTACCCTCCCTTTCTGGCCGCGTTTTCCCGCATCAACACTGCATTGAAGACTCGACGTTTACCAGTACGCGTTGACTCGTATCTTTGAGAGCCAATGCCACTCTGAGCTTCCACATTGTAGAGTCAAAGACCACGATTATTCATAGAAAAGTCCCTCTAGCGTCGATTGGACAGACTCGCGGACATGATCAATTATTAGGCAAGCACTGTGTGCTGATTTAGTGCCGTTTGGGGGTCCAATCAAGAGCAACTCCTCGTTCTGGACAAGTTCCATACCGGCAGACAACGAGCATCATTGGTGCATTGCAACGGAAGGTCTGAAGAGCTGGGTAATGTATTCGTCAATTCGCAGCACTCGATTCACATAATGGTTGGCAGGGTGCGGATCGGAGCAGACTTGGTGGACGACGAATGCATTGCAACGTGCGACACGCACCTTCATTACTCTCTCTTCGTCGTGAGCAGGCAATCGGGAACGTCTGTTGATGTGACCCGAGAGATGGCTCTTGCAGTCGCGTCACCACTACGGATACATACACCACGGTACGGACTGGGAAGACAAGCGCGGCGCGGACACGATATATTTACCCGATGATGTCCAGGAACGTGGGAAGCTATCGCAAGCCTTACAGGTTGATATGAGACGGTGCCAGACTAAAACCACAACGGCGGGCAGTCTCAGCCAGTCCCCCGACTCTGCCAAAGTGTCTAGCTCGCCAAACTTGCATCTCGGAACTGTTTCATCTTCCCAGCGCACTGGCTCCCACACACGCGAAGATCTACTACTACGTACTACGTAGTCACTAGTCACTAGTTACCGAGACCGAGCCTCGAGACCTGACTGCTTCTGATGTGCCTAAAAGCATGCGGAATGTTTGTGGTTGGTGACCTGGCACCAACCCCTCATGACGCTATCGCGCTCTCGACAACAGAGTTTTTCGACCCCCACCCGCGTGATCAGTGATCAATTGGAAATTCAAAACATCGGCCGTGTCGCGGCATGCTGTCGGGCCATGGCAAGACGATAAAAAGGGGCACTCAATGATGCGCATCATCGGTTCAGTCGTCTCCTTGGCGAACCTCTTTTACCGCCACACCCTCCAACTTGTCGGCCTCGACACACTTCTGGCCCTTGGGGCTCAGGGTGGTGCTGGGCTGCAAGTTAAGTTTTTGTTGATCTGCGCCAATGCCACATGCCAAGCCACAGCGGGATTTGTGACGCCCAAAAGTCACGGTCTTTCTCCAACGAGAGAGAGGTGTTGACAATGCAACGCCCTTGCAGCGCTGGGCGTGCGGCGCCTTGTTGGGGTCTTGTCAGAGACGCTCGCAAGAGGGCTCTCGTCTGGGACTCTGGGTCACAAGGATCTGCGAAGGTAGCGACTCGCTGCGCGAATTCGGAATTACCGTGCGACATTGGAATGTTGTCGCCAGATTGGGCCGCATACCCTGGCCGAATCCAGCTTGATGTCTCACATGAGTACAATGTACGGACCACGGACCACCCCATGAAGAGGTTGTGGTGCACGTGATACGTACGCAGCTGGCGTCTATCACCAGCCTCTTCACAAATGACCATGAGCCAAATGCTCCTGAAGACATCGGCGCGTCGCAGGCTCCGCCATTGTTGTCCTTGGGTCCTGACGATCTCAACGCGTAGAGCGGAGACGCGCCAGTACCATCTTAGCTCCATGTTCTAGTCAGGAGTATGCAGCGACATCCTGGCGCAAATCATTTGGCGCTCGCTGCAGCTCGCGATCATGGCGCTGCCTGCCCTTCAATGACGACAAATACTGATGCGCCAGCGAGGCGACAGAATAATCCAGACTTTTCCAACCGACATTATAACCTTTGCTCATGCTGTGCAGGTGACTTTCGCCATCTTGCCCGTGGACGTTGGCCAGCATGCGCAGTGGCGCACTCGCGTATTTACTCGTAATGAGAAGGGCTGCCGTACAAGTATCCAAGGGCGTGGTCTAGCGCCATCTACAAACTAAATACTAATTTAGCTCCAACCCCACGATGTCGGGTGCAAAAGTTAAAACTTAATTGGAAAGTCCGGTCTTCTCGATGCTGGCAAATCTTGGTATCGCAAGGGGTTGGGTAAGAAAAGGAGGCGCCTCGTCTTCACACGGACTGGACACCCCCTCGTACTCGGGCATGAGCAATGTCAATGCCGTACCACAGAACCGGGCTGCTGTGATTCAAGGTGACGGATGCCACAGGTGCCTTATGCCACAGGTGCCTTGGCTCTGAGACACTCCGAGGAGCGGTCGCCATCCCGCTGTGATGGAGGGTAGTGCACGCAAAGCCGGGACCGGCGCAGGTCTAGGACCCGGATGCCGTTAGTTGCCAAAGACTGGCGGCCCCCAGGAGCTAACGTCAACCCGACTCATGGCGCCGTAGCGTTGTTCTACACACAGCACTCGGAATGGCGCCGCCCAAAGCGCGTTTGGCCTCGTGTCGTCTCAGAAGGAAGCTGGGGAAGTAAGCGGCTTTCTTGCTAGTTGCACCGAGCTAGAAGAACTAGCAAGGCACAGATCTACTGTACAGTAGACGCTACGTGTGGGCTACCTTCATATTTGCTCCAGCCCATCGGTATCTCACGACTTCAGCTATGGTCTCAGCTGTGGCCTTCAGGGGCCCAAGACTCTGCGCACTGCATAGGAGGCACTCAATCGCCCGTTCCAACTTCCCCGCCGCTTTGAGCCACTCGACAAGAGTCAGCACGGCCCAACTTGCGCGGGCACACCACTCTTCTGTTTCGAGACAGCCGCAGGAAGGTTGCGCACGCCAAGGGTGTGCAAAGGCGACTCAGATTTGACTTTGCTGGTTCCACACCCTCGGGGGGACGACGATCAATCACCGATTTGGAAAGTTGACTTGATGGGACGGATATGGCGAATGTCCATCTCTTCGCAGAGAAACACTTGTGCAATGCCTATGTTGACGTGATCGATATGAGGGCATGCCCGCACAGCCACAAAGAGCGACCGAATATCCTCGCACGACATCGGCCGAATTACTACGACAAGTACGACCCAAGTTTGGGGGCCGACAACGTTCGGGGCAGGGCTAACAGCGGCCCTGCCGAACACGTCAACCGGTACCAGGAGGGCCCGTAGGTCTACAGCAGATTGGCGGGCATGTGAGGAGAGCGACAGCAGTCTTCTTGGCCGCGAGATTTGCTCTATTTGCACCATTAGGTGCGTTCGCTGTCGCTTTTGGCGTCGAACGAACATTATAAATCTTGTCCTGATTTCTGAAACTAAGGAAACTAAGGAAACTAAGGAAACTAAGGAAACTGGGAAATTTGGTAAACCAAGGCTACTGGGCGACCTGTACGCTGGTGGAAGACCAATTATCGTACGCATGATAGTACGGGCAGATCATATACGCTGGAGAAAAGCACAGACAATTGTATGTCTGGGCGACCCAATCTTTAAATGTCAAAAGGCACATGAGAACCTCTTGGCGAACAGGTCGTTCAGATGGCTCGGTCACGATCTACGAAGAAGTAAAAGTTTATGGCAAGACTTAAAGAGAGGTTCGTGTTGATAAGCAGGTCTTAAATTCAAAATCTGCACGATACACCTTCTACGTGGAACATGGAACATGCACGCCAAATCGACTTGTCACCTCCTACACTCGAGTTTGGCAGCTGCCATAACTATGAAGCAAGGTTCTCAAAGGGACTCTGAAGTAACAAATGTGCAATGTTCATTCCTATGCCTATCGACCCTACACATAGACTCTGCCTGGAGCGGCTCACTGTCCATGCTCAATCTAGGTATCAATCTCTTTTCTCCGTGGTTGCGTGTACCAGCAAACAAAGCAAGAAAATGCAGATGCGGCACAATTGGCAACGCACACATCATGTCTAATAGTAACGATACAAATAAGGATCAAAAAAAGGTCAGTGAATCCTCTACCGAACGCCGGGGTACTCGACCCAACCAAAGGTGCTTCAAATTATCATGGGGAGCGTGTCTCCCAGCAAGGTGTCGTTGCGTTGCCTCCGGAAGCTTTTACAAGAGGCGGTATGGTATTGGCCATCTACCATCGTCGGTTGCCGAGCGGAGCGCTGTTGGCATTTGCTGAGAGACCGGTCAGCCCGTGGATGTCGCATTGTTCCTTCAACGGCGCCACCCACCTCGGCCACCACCGCGGCCGCGACCGTAACCACCGTAGCCGCGACCGCCGCCTCCACCGTAGCGAGTCATCTCTACGAGGCGAGGGTCGATGTTCTGCTTGGCCTCCTGGAGAACGTTGACGAGATCACGAGCTTGCTTCTGGTCTGCCGAGACTGTTAGCAATGGTCCGGCAAATTGATTCGTGAATACTCACTGTCAGTAGTGAAGAGGGTGATGGCGGTACCCTTGTTGCCGGCACGACCGGTACGACCAATTCGGTGAATGTAGTCTTCCGAGTTGTTGGGGTAATCGTAGTTCAGCACATGTGTGATGTTGCGAACGTCTTTGCAAGTTACAGGTTAGCAGGCGCGAGAAGGTTTGTATAGCAACATCCAGCGGGAGATTTATGAAGGTTGGGCAGCTAATGATATATCGGCGCGCCAATGCTTCACTCCATGGAACTTGGGGGCAATCCAAGTGCGAGAAGATTTGCAGCCCGGGTATGGGCAGTCACACGGTCCTCGAGACAAGGGAGTCTTGGGCTACAAGCTTTTGATCGACGAAGCAGCAATCAAACGTTGCCGATCCACGCTCGTACCATGAGAGTGCAAAGCCGGTACAAGAGTGGACACATCGGACGTAGCAGGCCAAGAGCTACGCCGCAGATCAAGACCCCGCGGAAGAGAACCAAGTGGACATGTTCATCAGGCAAGTTCGCGCATTCAAGAGAGCCCCTAGACACGAGAGTAAAGTACAGCAGCAGTGGGATGCTGGAAGTTGCCATGGGGGAAAGAGGGGGGGGGGGGGGCTCAATAACTTACCGATACCACGCGAGGCGACGTCGGTGGCCACCATGACAGGGCTCTTGCCCGTCTTGAACTGGTCGAGGACCCAGTCGCGCTCGTTCTGCTGCTTGTCACCGTGGATGGACAACGCTGGCCATCCGTCCTGGCGAAGAAAGCGGGTGATCTCGTCGGCGACACGCTTGGTGCCAACGAAGATGAGTATCTTGTTGTCCTTGTCGTCCATGACCTGCTCGAGGTGCTTGATCATGCGGTCACGCTTCTCCATCTCGGTGACAACCTCAACAATCTGGGTGATGCGGTGGTTGGCAGCGAGCTCCATGGAACCAATGTTGACCTGGATGAAGTCATGGAGGAAGTCACCGGCCATGGCACGCACCTCCTTGGGCCAGGTGGCTGACCACATGAGAGTCTGACGGTCGGGACGAATCTGACCAATGATTTTGCGGATTTGAGGCTCGAAACCCATGTCAAGCATGCGGTCAGCCTCGTCGAGCACCAGGTAGGTAACACGACGGAGGTTGGTCTTGCCAGCCTCGAGCATGTCGATGAGACGGCCGGGGGTGGCAATGCAGACCTCAACACCACGCGACAGGTCGCGGATCTGAGGTCCCTTGGGGACACCACCGTAGACGCAGGTGTTGCGGATACGCGAAGACCGACCGAACTTGGTGATCTCCTGCTGAATCTGAACGGCCAACTCACGAGTGGGGGCCAGGACAAGAACGATAGGACCATCGCCTTGGGCAAGGAGAGGCTGGGCGTTGATGTGCACAATGGCGGGCAGACAGTACGTAAGAGTCTTTCCGGAACCAGTCTCAGCAATACCGACAACGTCGCGACCCGACAGAGCCATGGGCCAGCCTTGAGACTGGATAGCGGTGGGAGCAGGGAAACCCTGAGCCTTGACCTCGTCCATGACATAACGGGGGAAGCTGGCCTCGTCGAAAGTCTCGACAGGGCGGGGAATGTTGCTGCCAGCGACAGTCATCTGGTGCTTGCGACGGAACTCGTCGACCTCAGCTTCCGAGCGGTTGGTGACCTCTGGGCTCTCCTTGTAGAAGGACTTCTCAAACTTGGGCATAGAGGAGAGATCTGTTAAGCGTTAGCAAGATGACGAGCGATGTGCAATCAGCGGGAAAGAAACATACCCCATTCTTGTTGCCTCAGACCGGCTCCGAGAGCGCTCATGCGGTCGCCGCCGCCGCCGCCACCTCCACCGTAGCCGCCGCCTCCGTAACCGCCGCCGCCGCCACTGAAGCCGTTGCGACTACGCATTGTCAGTTGGGAACACTAGAGAAACGCGACATACCCAAAGGGCAGGACGGGATGCCACGCGATGCAGAAAAACTCACCCTCCGCCGCCGTAGCCGTTGCGGTCGCCACCACGGTCGCCGCGATCACGACCGCCGCCGCCATAGCCGCCACGGCCACCGCCATAACCACCACCACCGTAGCCGCCGCCACCGCCGCCGTAGCCTCCTCCGTTGCGATCACCAAATCCAGACATGATGATTGAGGGTTGCTGTATCGGTCGTTGAAAAGTTGGAGTTCAATGTGCGCGTCGGGAAAAACGCGTCGAGAGACAAGCAGACGGATCGAATCGTCGTCGTGAGAACGATTGAAATGAGCGTCAGATCGTGCGTTTTGATAGCAAACGATGATCCTGGAACGCGGGTTGAGGGGGGAAAGGGAAAGGGTTGACGGATGGAGATGTGAGAAGGAGGTATGATATGGAAGGGGGAAATTTATGGTCAGCGCAATTCTAGCCTGGAGGAAAGTAAGACCCTGCGCCTGATTAAGATGGGCCGGCCTGCGGTTTTTCGCCGCTAAGGAAAAAAAAAAATCAGTGCCAAGTCCGCTCTAACTGAATCAGGCCATATCATGGTCAATCGGCTTATCGATAGCTGGGGAGGCGAATGGAAAGTTCAAGCTACCCTAAACTACAGTACAGGCACATTCTCTCATCAACCCTGAACGATTAAAAAGCAAAAGAATTTGGCTTCGTGATACTTGTTTGAGATGTCTATTATTTTTTAGGTTCTGTGTGGGCTATGGGAAATGTGACTATCTAGAGTAGATGCGACGTAATGTGGTGTAGCCGTTGCCACATTATTTGGGTTCAGCTTCACGACACCAAGGGCATCGCAATACAAGTACGAAGACACGAGCGGGCACGACGAAGCAAGTGAAAACAAAGCACAAAGCCAAATCAAGATGCCGTAGTTCTTATTGCAGTGTACATACAGAACACACCGGCTGCGATATTCATTACAAAAGATCCCGAATTCTCGGGCAAAGCCAGTAGATATCCAAAAACCATGCCACGCGTCTATTGCCGTTCCCAAAAATTCTCAATCTATCATGGTTAGGACGAACACTAACGTGTCACCCACACTGCCTGTACCTGTACAAAGGCATGTACTCTATTCGCGAGAAATGTCGCGGCCAAACGCCTTGGACTTTAGCCAGTCCAGCACGACGAGCACACGGTTGCGAGCTGCTGTTGTCAGCCACGGGTCCTTGGGTAGTGACATGGGGGAGTAACTTACTGCTGAAGCACATGGACAAGTACGCACTGCGCCAGAAGAGGTAGGTCATGCTGCCACCGGAGGCAAAGTTGCCGTTCCACCAGCTCACATCAGCGACAGCCTTCTCGCTGCCAATGTAGGCCATGCTCCCCTGGTGGGTGTAGCGGAAGGGCTTGATGTCGCGGATCTTCTTGAGGCGGCGCTCGAGTGCCTCGATCTCCTGGGCGGCCTCAGCAGGAGGGGTGCCCCCGGCCTGGAGGTTCATCTGGCTGCTGAGCTCGTGGATGCGGTTCTCGTGGCTCTCCGTCTTGGCCATGTTGTTGAACAGGCTGCCGAGGAAGTTGCCCTCCTGCGCGGCGACCTGCGCAGTAGGGGCATAGCCGGCCACGGCGCAGTCGCCAATGGCCCAGATGTCGCGGGTGCCTTGCACGACGAGGTACTCGTTCACAGCGAGGCCACGGCGCGAGTCCTTTTGGGCAGGGATGCGGCTCATGAGATCCTTGACAATGGGACGGACGGCGTTACCAGTGGCCCAGACGAGCAGACCGTACGGGATCACAACGCGCTCCTTGGTGCCGTCGGGCTTCACAACCTCGGCCTCGACGGTCTCGCTGGTGACCTTTTTGACCATGGTTTTTGTCTTGATGTCAATCTTCTCCTCGCGCAGGGTGTTCTCGGTGTAGTCAATGAGCTGCTTGGAGAAGGAGGGCAGGACGTTGGGCAGCGCCTCGATCAGGGTGACCTTGAACCGCGGGCTGATCTCGGGCACGAGCTTCTTGATGTCCTCCTCGAAAAAGTCCTGTAGCTCACCAGCAAACTCGACACCGGTAGGACCACCACCGACAACGACCATGTGCATGAGGCGATTGATCTCGGCATCCTTCTGATCCTTAAAGGCCGCCGTCTCCACGCAGTCCATGATCTTCTTGCGGATGCGCTGCGCATCGCCAATCTCCTTGAGGAAGCACGAGTTCTCCCGCACGCCAGGGATGCCAAAGGTGGCGTTCTCAGCGCCGACACCGACGACGAGCATGTCGTAGGGAATCTCATTCTCGACCACGGCACCCTTGATTTCGGAGTTGTCGGTGATCTTGACGACCTTGCGCTCGTGGTCGATGCTCGAGGCCTCGGCTTCGTAGAACTGGACAGCACCGCGCTTGTGACGGAGGATGGCGCGGACAGGCTCCATGATGGAGCGGTGCTCAATGGTTCCCGTCGTGCACGAGGGCAGGAGTGGTGTGAACAGGAAGTAGTTTCGGGGTGAGACGACGACGACATTGTAGTTTTCGGTGTCGAGCTTCTTCAGCAGAGCGACAGAGCCCCATCCGGTGCCTTTACTCGTCAGTGAACCAGTCCAGGTAGGTTATGGTCATTGATGACTTACCCAGGACGACCAGAGTCTTCTTATTCGGGTCGCGCTCGAGCTGCTCGGCAGGGTTGCGATCGAGGTAGATAACGTAGCCAGTGTAGCCTAGGACACCGAGGACAGAGAGGTACGTGAGCCGCCAAGCCCACCTGAACGTCCTCCTCAGCTTGCCAGGCTTTGGCTTGGGTGCTTCGTCAGCGTAGGCCCTTCGAAAGGCGATGCGGCCGGTCCGCGCCAGCTTGAGCGTGGCAGCGGACTTGGCCACGGGGCGCGCAGCCGGTGAGCGTGTCGCCCTCGAGATTGTCGAGAGCATCCTGGAAGTAGGCATAGCGATGGGCATGGCAGGAGTGAAGCGTCCTGCCATCATGGGCATCTTGGCCACAGCACGGGCTGAGGAGGCCATTTTGCGCCAAAGCTCGATTGGGGCGGGAGCTGTAGAGAAGGCGGAGTTGACGCACCGTCAAACGGAGGCGAGAACGAGAGGAAGTTAGAACATTAATGTATGAGGATAATTCGAAGCAAGAGATTTGGAGGATTATCCCACCAGAGCGAGCGATAAGAGAACTGAGTAGGTGAATTTCAGATCCGCGTTGGTAGTCATCTATCTATCTCCCTTCATGGCGCTTCCTTTTTTTTTCCTGCGCGACCGGTCCGGCCCACAAGTCATGGATGGATGGATGGATCCCATCATCCATCCCACTGCCCAGTAGTAATTCCACGCAGTCATAGCGCCATTACGCAGTCATTGAGGTAATTAGGTGGGCTCCAGCCTCCAGCCAGCTGCCAACCTGCCTAAGGCTGCATCAGGGTCTACAGGCAAGTCCGTGGCCGGTCCGGCTGATGTGCTGGCGCCTCGGTCACTATTCACTAATAGTAACTGCAGTCATAGTGGTGCGCATGTACCAGAGTCGTAGACGTCGAGTCGCGACTCATAGCGCACCAGCACTTGAACGTGCCCTGGGATTATAGCCGGGTGATTACCCGGACACCGAATCTCTTCATTACCGCTTTCCCCGACGGCCAATCATATGGAATGCCCTTTGGCGGAAGCAGCCACCCAGAAGAAGGCTGGCAATGACTGAGGCTCAACATGATCGGAGCAACCTGTGGTGGTTGCAAGACCACCCGCGCTGGTGCATACTTGCGATTGGATCGCAGCTATCTTTGCGATTGGAAGCTTAAGAAGTCGCACACACAGTCTTTCTCTGGACGATCTCGGGACACACCGGGTCGTTCGTTCACCCATATGAAGACCGAGGCATCACAGCCAGGGACCTGGACCGGCCATAGCATTTGATGTTCACTAACCGCAACACCTCTTCAGAGACGGCGAAGTACGTACTCTGACACATGACAGGCTTATCAGTGGAAGTCCATCCGAGTGTCCACACTCTTGACCAAGCTTTCATCAATGCCCTCAGCAAGCTCGGGGAAATCGCTGAGGTTTTTTGGTGCCATGTCGCGGACTGGAAGCGCGCGAATGGGCTTCGCTCAGTCATGCTGCAATGGGAGGAATTCGTAGCCTACCACCAAACTTCCCTTCATTAGTGTACGTATTTACATTGCCTGACGAGAATCCATGTTTGATGCAGCAGCTGAGAGTAATGTATTTAACCCCAGCACATGAGCAGATGTGACTTGCAGCCGAGAAGAGCCAGCGAGTCACGTGATCAGCGACAACCACCGCGCTCTCTCAAAGCCCAGTCAGCAACACGGACATATGGACTAAACACGATGGGGCTGCACGACACACATACCTATGCAAAAAGCATCCAGGCGCAGCCCATCATCATGCGCATCACCTGCTTTCGATAAAGTCCATTAGCAGCCGGCAGGCGATTTCGCTCGAAACCATGATACATGTCTGACACGCTAGGTGCAGAGGTCTGAAACCCAAGACACGGGGCTTTTCGACACTCGTCCCGTAAGATCATCAACACCAGACAACATTGCAGCGTATCGAAACATCGCGAGACTGTGCCATGCCGGTCATTGCAGCAATCCGCAAGCAGAAAGTGGCGCGGACATGTGGGCTAGACGGCGCTTCGCCCCCTTGAGCGTACCCATCGGATTCCCTCTGCTCAAACGCGTTCCAAGGGTCAAAGGTAGTCCATCACGGCAACGAGGACCTGCTGGTACCGAGCGGCGAGCCTCGTTCGAGACTCGTGTTGTGCGACGCAGTTCCTTGGTGCTGTCCATATTCTTTTCGATCCGCCAGGCTGTGATGATTCCATTTCCGCTTCTTCCCCATTCACGTTGACCGTGTCTCGACCCATTCTCTTAGGCTGGACCTCTACCCTCTTTAATTCACGTCAGCTTGGTACCATCGCCTGTCACAGCTCTGCCGACGTTGTTCACCCCAGTCGACTTCTTCCCCGAGCATTCGACCGCCGCTGAGAATGGTCCCCGACCTACAAGCGTACAGGCGACGACGCTTGGCGTCTGGAAAGGGTGCGACCAATGTCGAGATTCCGGAGTGGACTATGGGCGACGACGATTTTGGCCACGAGAATAGCGCGCCGCCCCGGAGACGGCGAAAGCGAAGGTCGAAGATCCCACAATCCATCTTCGTTGATGAGGACGCATCGAGACCGACGAACGTGGAAGTGACCGCGAGCGTGTCTGGGAGCACATGGCCATCTGGACTACCCAGCAACGACGCTGAGCTGCCTCCCGACGGTACGGTTATGCCCACAGCAACCTCTTCACTCATGGACTTTATCAACGCACCCCCCTTTGTGACGATCTCAGTGGTCAGTCGACGAACTCACGAAGAGAAGCTGGGCTAACAATAATAGCCATCGACGACTGGATCCATCACCGAGAGGACGTCCATCCCTACGTTTACCCCAAACGCCGACGCAGATTCGAACGGGGACTCTTTATCTGACTCTGGGATCGACTCCTCGACCGACTCCGAGGACGAGGACGACGGTGAATCTTCTGACTCTGGTTCCGAGGATGATTCGCGGCCCTCCCTTTCTCCCAGACCACCACATTCCGGTTCTTCTGAAGGTATAAGGCTTGACCCGCCACCCTCCAAGTCGCTGCCTAGTGGGCCGGAGACCGAGTCGACATCTGGCCCCAATCCAAATGCCTCGGCCGAGGCCTCCAGAGAAGCTGAGATACAACATCACCAGGACACGAGAATGGCACTCATCGTTGTGGGATGTATCGGTGAGTCCCTAGTGTGGCGCTGTGATCAGACCGAATACTGACGTTTCCCTAGCCGGCGTCGTGTGCTTGGGCGTTGGCCTGTGGTTCCTCGCTCGCTATATCCGGCGCCGTCAAGATGCTGGCAAAAGCCGCGGGCCAGCTTCCAGGCGATACCAACCCCCGGCTTTGCTGCGGCGCGTCCCCTTTCTCGAGAAGCGCTATGCTGACCGGACCTGGCTCAATGTCGACGAGCCCGAGAAGACTGCGCCTCCCATCGGTGAGAAAGAGTTGCTGGCGTACCTCCCTGACAAGCCTCCTGCCGTACAGGCTGACATCAGGGTGACCAGTGCCACCTTGGAGACCTATGCTGCCCCATCAACGACGCCCTCTCACGCGGCTTTTGGGTACACGGCGTCCAACCCGCAACCCCCCTACTCACCGACCGAGTCTTCGCTGTCCTCTGCCTATGGGAACGGAACGTTCATCCCCCCGACGCCTCTGCACCCACCGCCCCGTCGCGTTCCCGAGGCCGATGGGGATGAAATGTTCCCACCGCCACTACCTGTCGTTCCCCGGTCCCGCGACACAATCTACACACAGTACTCCCAGGCGTCGTCCGTGCCACGGTTCCGGACTGTTAGTATGTGGGTTCGCCACCAGACCAAGCGGGTGGCGCGCGATCCTGTACCAGAGCAAGGCTACGGGCTGATGATGCCAGATGAGGAGGCCCCCCGGAGGGTGGTGGTGGCGCCACAGGGGTTAGGCTACTCGCAGTAGACAGAATCATGCAAGCTCCTTTTGATTCACTAATTTGGTCCCGTCTATTTGTGAGGAAACATTTCCCAGAACCCAATCTCCATCTATTGAGAGCTGTTAGCCGGTTTGCAGGAACGCAAAAGCTGTGAGTGTACGTACTTTGGTGGCGTGGACAAAGATCTTGACCAGCTCCTCCACCCTCGTTGGCGACTGTAGTGCTGCGTGCTCTTCCAGAAGGTCTGCTGTTGTCAGTCCCGTTTCATTCATACTGGACCCGGAGGAGCAATACCTGAACCTAGCCTCACAGCCTCAGAGTAGTCCTCGGCAATATAGTTCTCGATCCACTCCCAGTATGTGTTGTCCTTTCGCTTCGTTTCGGGGTGTCGGTGAAGCATACGGGCCACAGCTGCGTAGCCCAGCAGGCATGGTGCCTGGGCGACCTGCAGGGCAAGCCAGTCCTCGGACTGGCCTACGTCGACGACGTAGCGTGTGTATGCGGTGCAAGCTTTGCCGGTCAGCACACTACAGGCGAGGAGTAGGACACATGGAAACGTTACCCTGATGCTCTTCTGTTGACTCCATCTGCTCAAGAGACATCCCAAAGGATTCGCAGTACTTGATGTGCAGCTTTGTCTCCGTCATAATGTGGGCGACAATCTCGCTGGCGCGACTTATGTCCGTCATGTTCTTGGACTTGTACGCGCCAAGTGCGGTCGCTCTCGCAAAGTGAATCTGGACGGAGTCAATGATCGATCAGCAGGCGGAGGAGTCTGGGGTGGCAGCGTACAAGGTAGAGATAGTCTTGAATCATGTAATTCTTGAAAGAATCGAGAGGCAAAGAGCCGTCGCCCATGGCCATGACAAAGGGATGGTGCACGAATCGATCCCAGATGGGCTTGACATCTGGTCTCGAGATGAGGTACTCGAGGAAATAGTTTCTGCATCAGTCAGCCCACCAGATTCGAAGCCGCGGACATCAAAGAGAGCACCTACGGAGAAAAGGGCAAGACCTTTGTCGAGTGGAAGTGGTTCAGTGGACCGTGGCCGTGGCCTAGGCCAGGGGCTGTTCGAATACCCGCCTCGATGTAGCGACAAGCGGCTCGCACAGAGCTGGTCATGTCCTTTCCCGCAGCAAGATTCGAGGCAATGGCAGCTGTCATCCATTGTCAGTATCGGACTGCCATGCAAAAACCGGACGGCAACTCACAAGCCAAGGAACACCCCGTGCCGTGCGTGCTCTGGCTGTCCTGCCAATCACTCACGATCTTCTCGACAGTCCCGTCCGCTCCGACAAGAACGTCGACGACCTTGACATTCTCGCCGGTCACTTTGAGGTGTGCGTCAAAGGGTGAATGGCCGCCTTTGACGAGGACCCAACGGGACCCCATTGCCGTCTGGAGCCGTGTAGCCAGCGTGACCATGTCGTCCGCACACTTGATCTCCACGGCGTCCTTGCTGTACTGCGCCAGGATGAGGTTCGCCTCGGGAATATTGGGCGCGACGACAGAGGCATGGGGGAATAGACGTGTGAGCATCTCGATTGCCGTCTCGGGCAGAAGCGTCGAGCCAGACGTTGATACCATGACCGGGTCGATGACAAGCTCAGGAAACCTGTACTCCTTCACAACCCCGTCCAGCATCTCGATGACCTCTTTACTCGCCAGCATACCTGATGAACGGTCAGTCGTTGCAGTAGTGCGCGAGCAGCTGCTGCCTCTGACAGCCATTTTAGCCCTACTCACCCGTCTTGACGACGTCGACGCCGATATCCGCCACGACGGCGTCAATCTGCTTCCGCACAAAGTCGACGGGCACATGGTGAATGTCCGTCACACCCTGGGTGTTCTGCACAGTCAGGGCCGTGGTGGCCGTCATGGCATAGCAGCCATGCGCCGCGATGACCTTTTGATCGGCTTCGAGCCCTCTGTCTCGCCTGTTAGCAGATGTACGCAGGCGCCTCTGAGGAAAGGTGTTCCCTACGCCCCGCCGGACGGATCGGACCCGGCAATTACCAACACTCGACCTTTCACCATGTTTGCAATGTCTGCAGAAAACTGTAAAGGGGTCAAAGAGGCAGATGGTGCAGGTGGAGATGAGCGAGTTGACGACATACGCACAGGTGCAGGTGGAGGTGGGCCGACCACCCCCATGAGGCACACACACTCACTCAACCGCCAAGCATGGAGTCCCGTGTCTGTTCACTCATGGACTACGAACATGAATCTCACAAGCATTCAGTCCAAGGAGCATTGAGAAGTGAGTGATACGTGCCTGCTGGAACAGGCTGTAGATATTTTCCCCACGTCTCGTGGCACATGATAAACTCATATGAGAAGATGGCAAACTCCTTCGCTGATACAATTCCATACACACACACAGATCCTTTACCGTCGTATGTTCAACGGCGCAGGCATCATCTGGCCCTTGGGCTCCATCGGCTCGCTGATACTCCTCTGGCGTTCCGTCCTGTCGTCGCCCGAGCTGCTTTCGTCACCACCTGGGCCGTGGCCGCGACGAGCATGCGACACCATGAGTCGACCGCCGCCACTCTCTTCTTCCGTGTCTTCTTCGTCATCCTCTGAGTCATCATCGTCCTCTTCGTCCTCTTCATCGTCGTCGTCGTCCTCCCCACTGCTCGAGCTGCCCTCCTCGTCAAACACAATCCGCCGCATCACGTTCTTGTCAAACAGGTCAATCACCATCCGCCGCACCCCGAGGCGATAGTGATTCCACTCCATCAACCCCATGACCTCCTTGAAAAAGTCGGTGCGGTTAAAGGCCGCCGGCTTGCGCGCCCGCAGCTTCTGCAGCTCCACGAGCGCCTTCTTGTAGAGCACCATGTTCCCGAGGTCGACAATCAGCTCCAGGATGCGCTTGTTCATGTCCTCGTCGGTGACGAGCGGCGGCCGCTCCGCCGGATCCATGTTGGGACGCGCGGGACTGACGGCGGGCGGCGTCGAGATGGTGCACTGGGTGTCGAGGACGCGCATGTTGGCCACGTTTTCGGCATTCCACGGCACCAGGGACAGCAGCTTGCTCAGGTCGTTGGGGATGCAGAAGCCGAGCGACGTGCCCATGGGCGTGGTGTTGGCGTCCCACCCGTGCTCCGCCAGGATCTCGAGGCCGTGGGTGGACCGTGAGATGAGGCCCAGCACAAAAAAGGCGGTGCCGCGCAGGCTGATCACGTCGTGCGACTCGGCCATGGCAATGATCCGCTCGACCACGTCGCTGCCCTCCAGAAAGGGAGCGCCCAGCTCCATGGAGCCGACGTTGCCGACGGCCCACAGGGCGCCCTTGACCTTGAGCAGCGTCTCGGGGTCTGTGGCCCGCATGCCGTGGTTGCGAATCGTCGACGCAAACTCTTCAAAGTGGCCCTTGTCGTTCAGCAAGCGACAGCCCTCTTGCGTACGAGTCAGCTCTCGGTAGAAGTGTGGCGGCACGTGGTTATCGTGAAAGTCCGCTTCTGCGTCGGCATCGTCAAAGAGGCTCATCCGGTGGCTCTGGTCATCCGGAGCCACCAAAAAGGCCCTGGCCAGGCTGGCCTCGATCATGTGCACGTAGGTGTCGTTGCGGCCGAGGAACCAGTCGTCCATCTCGTTGCTGATGTAGTCCAGCCCGTCCAGGTAGTGATACCCAATGGACGTCGACAGGAAGCGCAGCAAAAGTGGCGCGCCAATCTCACCCAGGTGGTCGAGGGACGGCCGGCACTCGACAATGTACTCGAGCGACGGCTTCCGGTTGCACGCCTTCTCCAGGATCTTGATGGCCGTCGAGCAGACGTCCACCTCGGGGTCGTAGAGTTGCGTGACCAGGAGCTGGATCGCCCACTTTGAATCGCCCATGCCCCCCTGGCTGTTGATCGAGGGCGTCGGCCGAATGGCATGTTTACGCAGGGCATTGGTCGCGTGGATGCGAATGTCCTTTGTGCCGGCGGTGAGGGCCTTGGACAGCAGCACCCGCGGGTGGCCCTGCACGGTGTAGTCAAAGCTGGACAGCAGCAGCTTGATCAGGTCCGGCCGCTGTTTCAAGTCGACAATGTGGTACATCATGTTGAACATGCGCCAACGCTCGAGGAGCTGCAGGCCCCGGGGATCGCCACTCAACACGCCCAGCATCGGGAAGTACCCACCGCAGAGCGTGTCGAGCAGGCGGTCGGGGGAGAACATGGGATACTGCGCTGTGAGGCCACTGGTCTAGTTTCAAGTCAGTCACGGGAATTTCGATACTTTGTGCAGCAGAATTGGACCTTACCGGATCGCATTGTGCGAGACACTCGGCAACCTGTCTGAGCAGCTTGCTGTCCGCCAGGAACCTCACGCCCTCTGGTGACTGCAGCAGCGCGTGCATCAAAGCGCAGCCCACCTTGACGTATTTCTGCGTCCCTCGCGTGTTCTTGACCTCTGCGAACTTGTACTTGAACGGTCGGTAGAAGCTCATAATGCGCTTCATGAACTTTGACGCTTTGATCGCCTCCTCCAAGCGCTTGCCGACCTGGAGCGGCCCGTCGATGATTTTGAATATGATATCCCAGTCCCACTTGGACCAGTTCGAGTGGTTGAGAACACGAGAGTCGATGAGCAGCTGTCGAAACGTGGCATCGTCAAACACGACGGCGGCATGAGACTTGGGCTGGTCATCCAGCAATGTCAGATCGCTCATGCTGTTGCTGCTGGGCAGCATCCCCGGCATGGCCCCTGATGGCGTGCTCCGGTAAAGCGTGCGGCTGACGCTGCTCATCTGGTAGACGACGCCCGTCGCAATGTGGTAGTCTTGGTTCTTGAAACTCGCCGCTGCATTGAAGAGATCGGGGAGTAACTGCAGCTCGCTGCTCCAGGAGGGCGGCAACAGACGGCTAGCCAGCTTCAAGACCTCGCTCAGGAGCAGGGTCGTCTTCCGCTTCAGCATGGGATCCTCCTCCGTCTGTGCAATGTGGAGCAAACTCTTGAGCAGATCTGCTTTGATAAAGACGGCCAGCAGCAGAGCCGTGTAGTGCTCGACAAAGTTCTGCTCCCCGCCATCCTCCTCAACGTAGATGGACGCGCCCCTTTCTCTGCCAGCACCCTTGAGGTTTGCCACGCGTCCATACGTTGTGAGGCGTCGTCCGGCCAAGAATGATGTAGCCCACGCCGGCGGCTTGATCCTCAGTAGCGAGAAGAACAAGTCCAAGATTGTTTCTCTTATCGACGCGCTGGGCAGTATCATGCAGCTGATGAGAGAGCGTACGGCCCGAAAGTTGTACATGCTGAGCGACATGAGCCCAGACCATGACTTGAGACTTGCTGCGATGGCCTTGGCGTTCTGCTTGAGCACACTGTCGTCACTGATCATATGGTCTGTAAAGGCCGTGAACAGTACGTCGAGGCCGTAGCCAGGCTGCACATATTTCCGTCGCCTCGGGGTATCCAAAAGGTACAGAATAGATGCCGCGAGACTCTCGGGCGCTTTGTAGGTTCCTTCGGCCAGTGCCTCTGACAAGGGGCCCATGCCGCCCGAAGCAACTAGTAGCCGCGGGTCGCGCACCAGGATCTCCGCCAACGTCTCTATGCATATCGGTCGTAATCGGTCGGCGTCTTGCTCGGCGACGGGCATGTTGGGCCGGCGGTCGTCACCAGCTTCAGCAATGGCCACAATGGTGCGCACAATGGCGCGGGAGATCTCCTTGACGCCGTCCTTGACGTCGAGAAAGGCGCGCACAAACTTGAGCGCCTGCTCGCGCTCCACGTCTGCCTTGCGATAGTTGTTGAGAGACCGAACCACGACGTAGTCTGTGTTCAGACTGCGAATCTTCCGGAGAGACGCCCGGTCTGATATGGCGTATCGCGTCATGCGGTAGCCCGCGGCGACCACCTCGCGACTCTCGCTCAACAGCATGACCTGCATCCGCAGCCCAAACACGGACCACATGAGGTCGTACTTGAGGGTCGGGTGCCTCTTGAAGAGGTCGACGAGCTGGTTCCCGCGGCTCACATAGTACTCTGGCGTCATGCCCTCAACCTCTAGCGCCTGGAGCAGCTCCGTAAGTGCATATGTCGGGCTCTCCGTCGACTCGTCCACGTCCGATCCCAGATCCGACCTCGAGAGGTTGGGGGGCGACTTCATGCCGTTGGACATGAGTCTCTCGCGTTGCTTCGTCGGGGTCGTCGGCTGCTGCTGCGGCGTGGTCCTTGTGTGTTGGATGTCTGCTATCTTCTGCTTCAGGGCCCGGATCCTGGAGTTGCTCGCGCTGAGCTCGGCCTCGACCCGCTGGCGCTGCTCCTTGGTCTGCTTGGCCTTTTTCGCGTTCAGGGCCTCGAGCATATTCTCGCTGCCCTCCCTGATCTTGAGCTCGCGGTTCAGGCGGTCCTTGAGGGCGACGAGGGCCTGCTGGGCCGCCGTGTCGTCCTCGTCTTCGTCGACCTTGTCCATGATGTTGCCGGGGTACATGGAGCCGACGTCCATGCGGCTGCCGGCCCTGCTGGAGGACATTTGGCTGCGCAGCTCGGAGCTGAAGCTGCCCGGGGCAAAGGATGGGTTGAAGCTCCCCGCAGCCGACCGCGCCGTCGATGCTGAGAGCGTCCGCCCCCCCGCCGCGCTGACGGCAGCGGGTGGCTGTAGACCGCCGCCCTCACGCTCGTAGCTCGTTCGACCGGCCGGCTTCTGCGCCATGTTCAGAGCTGTCGCGCCCTTGGCGTTCTGGGAGGGCGGTGGTCCCGCCATGGCGTCGACAGCGACGGCTGGCCCACCGGCTGGGACGGTGCCCTGGCGAGGATCGTGGGCATTCGTTAGGTCAGCTTGTGACTAGGTGTTCAGTCGGCACGGGAGGTGGCGCATGCGAATTCGGTTGCTGGGAAGACTTCTGGTGAGCCTCAAGATTGCTCGTCGTCTTTGACGTGTAAATATCGGCCGATTGTCTCGGTGGAGGCGGTCGAGGTCGCCAAGGCTGACCCGATGCTGGGGATCGATTGCGCTGAGACTTGGGAAGGCTGGCCGCAGCGGCTCCTGGGGTGTCGTCTCGCCTTGGCAGGCGGTTCGAGGAGCCTTTGGTCGACCGAGAAACGTCGAATCGATTGGCTGGTCGCTTGATTCGTGACGGCTGTTGATGTGATCGTACGTTGTAGATGCATCGTCCAGTTCGAGGTCAAGGTCACGGTGGGGCTGGACAATCCCGCTGGTATCCAAGGAAAGGTACGGACAACAGCAGGTGATAAAGTCGAGGCTGCACTACCAGAGTAAATTAAAGAGTGCCTACCATCTGTTCTTATCGATATCTAGGCGATATCTAGGCGATGTGAACGGCGGGCCTGCAAGAGGATCTGATTAATTATTTCCCTACCCTAATAGCTAGACCTTGCTTGCACTTATACTCGTGCCTTGCTGTGTATGTCAGTGCGCGACTGTCGCGACAAATGCCTTAGAACATGCCCTCTGGAGAGGCATCGTGAGTACCAGGTAGGGACGGACCTAAGTCATCTCTTCCGGTTATCTCCCGCAACAGCCGCATCAGCCTCAGCGCCCAAATGGCCTCATCCCACCCCGTGGATGCGTTGTTGAGGTTTCGGTGTTGAGCGCGCAGGGCGTTCGGCGTTCTCCGGGTAGCGACTGGACCACGAGCCTCACTCGCTCCATGCCACTCGATCACTCACGCCAGACAGGAACCTGTGGTTTGATCCATTGGGACACATATTTAAAACCTCCCGCAATCCCATTCCACATTGAATCTCATAGCATCCTTCCGCTCCATCTCAAATCGCTGTTCGCGCGCATTATCCGCCATCTTCACGTGTTGCTGACTCTTATCATACGTAGTCGTAACTCACCACCCTTATCTTCTTCTCTCCGCTCAACATCACCACCACCACCACCACCACCATGCCTTTCGTATCATCAGCGCGCTACGGCAAGGACAATGTCCGCGTCTACAAGGTCCATCGCGACCAGGCGACCGGCGTCCAGACCGTCTACGAGATGACCGTTTGCTGCCTTCTCGAGGGCGACATTGCGAGCTCTTACACGCACGCCGACAACTCAGTCGTCGTCGCCACAGACTCCATCAAGAACACAATCTACATCACCGCCAAACAGTCCACCGTTCACCCCCCCGAGGTGTACGCCGCCACCTTGAGCAGCCACTTTATCGAAAAGTATGGGCATATCCACGCGGCGCACGTCAAGGTGGTGACCCACCGCTGGACGAGGATGGACATTGACGGCACGCCGCACCCGCACAGCTTCCTGCGCGACGGCGAGGAGAAGAGGACCGTCGAGGCAACGGCGCACCGCGGCGAGGGCATCGCCGTTGACAGCGGCATCCAGGGCTTGACGGTCCTCAAGTCCACCGGCTCTGCCTTTCACGGCTTCCTCCGCGACGAGTACACCACTCTGCCCGAGACGTGGGACCGTATCTTGTCGACGGACGTGGACTCGACGTGGAAGTGGGCCAGGTTCGCCGACGTTCAGGCTGTCGAAAAGGCCGCGCCCCAGTTTGACCAGGCTTGGGAGGCCGCACGCAAAATCACCCTCAAGCAGTTTGCCGAGGACAACAGTGCGAGCGTCCAGGCTACCATGTACAAGATGTGCGAGAACATCCTCGAGGCCGTGCCTGGCGTCAACCACGTCGAGTACTCGCTGCCCAACAAGCACTACTTTGAACTAGGTCGGTCCCCCCCTTCCCCCCCTTGTGCTTGTGCGTACATGTATTGATGTGATTGCTGACTCACACGGACAGACTTGAGCTGGCACAAGGGGATCAAGAACACAGGCAAGGACGCCGAGGTCTATGTGCCGCAATCGGGACCCAACGGTCTGATCAAGTGTGAGGTGTCGCGAGGGTAGGTGTGTCGTCCTGGCCATTCAGGCTCAACAAGCTGACTTGAACTAGTGAGAAGGACGCCAAGCCCAAGCTATAAGAGGTGACAGGGAGCTTTGACAAAACCTTTTTTTTTTTTTTTTTTTTTTTTGGAAGCCTAGTTGAAATACTCCGGAGTACGGTGTCTCTCTTATATAGCAATACAATTATCATGACCGCTGCTACCGTTGAAACCCAGAATCAAGCCATGCCATGTCCGCAGTACGATGCCGCCCTCTTCGTACGTATAATACAAATGATACATATCCACCCGCATCAGTCTTCCGAGGCATTATTATAACCTCTTCTTGTCCGTCTCGCGTATCGACTCGACCATGGCGTCCCATCCCTGTGTCCCCACGACCTTGCCTCCGAACCGGACCAAATTGGGCTTGTACGGGTGCGCGTCACCCTCAAAGACCTTGAGTCGTGCGAGCCGCTTGTCCCTCAACCTGTTCTTGGGCAGCATGCCGCTCACCGCCCGCCGCAAGACCTCGCTGCCGCCCTGCTTCCCCATGAGCTCGTCCATTGTCAGCGACTTGAGCTGGCCGGGCTTCGTGCTGTGCCTGTAGTACTTCTTCTGCCAGTACTTGCGGCCCGTGATGTGGAGGCGGGCGCAGTTGGTCACGACGACGTAGTCGCCGCAGTCAGTCGAGGGGTCCCAGATCGGCTTGTGCTTGCCCATGAGGATCATCGCGATGCGGGAGGCGAGGCGGCCCATGGACGGGGGCGTGATCTCAGCCGGGGCGACCTTGGTAGACAGCGTCGGATGGGGAGCGATAGCTGAGATGTGATGCCATACTCGCGAGTAGGCGAGGCGGGTCTAGAGGGATGGCAGTTAGCTTTGGGGCGCTCGCCAGAGGGGTTAGGGGGTTGGACGCACCAAGCCCAGGTTCTGTGACATGGCGGCGACCTGTCGACCACTCTCAGGTGATCAGCGACAGAATCTTTGCGGGCGCGACGTGCTGTCAATGGGCAATGTGGAGTGGGTTGACCGTCCGCTCTGATGGTGAGGCCGAGCGCGATGGATTTCGAGATTCGCGGCCGGCTCAGGAAAGTTTGGAGGCTGAGTCATCCATATTGGCGGCGCACTGGAAATGTCACATGACTTTACGGAACTCCGAGGGCGACCCGGCGATTTCAAAGCAACATGCCATACATACATGTAATGATCTCATCTTGATTTCCTTTGTCATTGATGGCTCCGAGATTGAATGCGCTATCATTGACCTCAGGACTGGTTGCCGGATTCACGGCATATCGCTATTTCAACCGACCACTGGCCCCCTCAGCAAGCGCTACAGACCCGAGCTCATTCAACGTGAACGAGTCAAAGACGACATCGACCGGCAGGATGACCGTTAACCATACATTCCAAGTGCGTTTCCCTCACAGAATCTCTGGTCATTTTCTGACTCAGAGTCCAGACCCAGTTTGCCGTGCCGTTGTCGTGTGAGGGTTGTGTCAAATCAGTTTCGGACGCGCTCCACAAGCTTGGCGGTATCACCAGGGTGGAAGGCAATGTCCAAGAGCAACTGGTCACCATTGAGGGGTCGGCTGCCCCGTCCGCGATAGTGGAAGCTATCCAGGAGACCGGCCGAGATGCCATCTTGCGTGGCACCGGTGCATCGAACAGTACGGCGCCCTCGGCGACAGGACGGTGCGGATACTGACGAGGGACAGGCGCAGCAGTGAGCATTTTAGAGACATTTGTGGATAAGCGCCAGACGCAGCACGAGGGCACAGACCGCGAGGTTCGAGGTCTGGCGCGCATGGTCGAGGTCGGCTCCGGACGAACACTGGTCGATCTGACCGTCCGGGGCGTCTCGCCAGGAACATACCGCGCCACGATCCGAGAGTACGGCAGCCTGGCCGAAGGCGCTGCGTCCACCGGACCGGTATGGAAGGACAAGGGTGAGCTCGGCGCTGTGGAGGTGGACAAGTCAGGACGCGGCTCAGCCTTTGTCGATCACGGTTTCCAGATCTGGGAGGCCATCGGGCACGCCATGGTCCTCACCCGCCAGGAGGAGTCGGACGGAGGCTTGCAGAACGACGAGGACACTGTCGTCGGCGTCATCGCTCGGAGTGCGGGCGTCTGGGATAACGACAAGACGGTCTGCTCATGCACGGGCAAGACGCTGTGGGACGAGCGAAAGGAGGAGGTGGCCAAGGGCATGCTGTGAGGTGAGGGTATGTTGTCAGTCGCACGCCTAGGTAATGATCGAAATGATTGATGAGAATGATGATGCGTCTCTTGCATTTCTGCATGATGGAATGTACGTTCCGTCTAATGATTACTACCTGGTGAGGTTACAGAGTGCTCTCATGAAGCGTTGGCGCGGCCGTCGATCAAACGGCCTGCCGGTAGTCCGGATGAAGGACCCGCGTCCGGCAAGCTGAGACGTTCACCAGGCCGCCTTTTCGTCTCAAACATTCCAAAAGTTTGACCCTGTGAGGGACGTCTGTAGGAATGGAGCTGTCTGGCATTAAGCTTTTGTCGGTCCGCTGCAGGTGCAGGCCAGCATCAGGAGACATGAGTTGATCAATGGTCGAGCAATGTACCTACCTCATGCACTGTGGTTCTCTGCTAAAGGATCCGTCATTGATGTACATGTACATGCAGTGCCGATCGCCATTGATCTTCTTGAACAGGCTTACTTGACCTGCAAAGCTCAAGACATCAACAACATTGTTTGATAATGTCTTCGTTCCAGCTATCGGGTGCCTTGTCATGAAATAATTGCTAGTGCTAAGTTAATACGTACGCGCCTGTCAAAGACGCCCCGCCAAGACAATCACCATGTGACCTCTGACTAGAACCGCGTCAGGTCTCTCCACTGTGATGCCGAATCGTCCTTCTTCACAACCTCCAGTCCCTCAATTGCTCCACGTCAACGACTTATCAGTCGCTCGACAAGGTGCACGAGGCCTTTGTGAAGCACCGTCCAAACCACCATATCTGGCAAGGCTGGCAGCGGTCACTTAGACGGCATGCGCTAGCCACGCACAAGCGTAGGCACTCGGCGCTTAACGACGGGACGTCATGGGTGCTTCCAGCTGCACGAAAAATGCACGATGTCGGCCACGCGAGTTCTTTTCCCCAAGTGACACCTCTTTGCAGCGGTGGCTTCATTGCTTAATCTTGCTCGAGGTGACAATATCTGCGTACGCCACCCTTCTGACCCCTGTCCAGAACCCTAGGCGTGGTGTGGTGGTCACTGTCACTCACAGGGCAGTCGAGGCGTCTCCACGACGACTGACCTCAGTGACCTGCATATGCAACAACCAGTGTCTCAACTGATCATGCACAGGAGCCGCTCAATCACTCACCTTTGGCCTCGAGACCGCTGCAAATACGGGTTCCATTGATTGTCTTGTTGTCCCACGATGACGACAGCATCCGGGCACAGCACGATTCACATGGATACTAGCCGGCTCGGAGTGCAGGACGTGGTATCCTGAGCATCTCCCGGCTGCACCGTTGCGTTTGCCGTAGCGTTTGACCTTGAGCCACGCGAAACTAATTGATCGTGAACCCGACTGAGACTGGTAGCTACAAGTATCAATCCGTACTCAAGATCGGCCACACCTCCTTTCAGGAGCTTCTAGTCCATTCCGGGGATGTTGAAACCCCCTGCAACACAGCTACCGGACAAGTGTTTGGGATAGTCAGAGAGCTTGCCGTGAGCCCTGGTGAGATCCAAGCTCCCGCTTGCCATGGATTCGCATCAGATCGATGCCGTGTCTGTGACAGTTGATTGATATACCAACTCGCCCGTTTCTAGCCTCCTCCTGGGACTGCTTTCCTGCTGCTCGAGTAGAGCTGGTTTCTCTCTCAGCGTCCCTCCTTTCTGCTAATCACCGACACTGGCTGTCATCCACTCGCTTACTGGTTCACTCACGATATAGCTGCACACGACAAGCTAATTACGCTCACTTGGCTTCGATAGTCTGTGTGTGATTCCGTCCCGTCCCCGTCCCCGTTCCCGTTCCCTGCGCGCCACGCGCGGTGAGGCTGCCGTCTTCACCACTCTGTTGCTCTGCTGCACCAAAAATAGCCAGGGCCGTCAACAACCGATTCGATCACCGACACCAGCACAGGAGAGCACGATCACAACCAGAGAGGCCAGGACCGAGGCGAAGCATCTGGCGTCGAGCTCGGAAGTGATTCATTCTCGAACGATTCATCATTCTCGACTGGAGCTCAGCTTGCGCGAGTGACTGACAACGTGCTTGACTCGAGTGACCAACCATTCCGTCGGTCCACTGACCAAGCTTCTGGAGCCGCCGGCCGATCCAGTCCAGGTAGCGCCAAGTCCCCCAAGATCCATCGAGCGCTACCCGCCACTCGAACCAATTGACCACGCTGAAGCGGGGGACATTCACTCAGCCATCCCGGTCAACATTTCCTTAAGGACCACAAGCGCCCAAGTCCCCGGGAATCGTACCTACTCCTGCATATACTCTGCGCTGCGAGAAAGGAAAACTCTGCTGTCCTTGCTATTCAACAAGACGTCCATTCGAGCGCTGTCCGTCGCGTCCAGTCGCTGGTCCTTGTTGCACTGCGCACGCGGGAGCAACCATGTCTTTGAAGCAGGTCAGTGACAGTCCCGAGGGACCCTCGCATGCTCGATCAAGGGGCTCACCATGAGTATAGGAAATCGAGACGTGGGTTGCCGCCCTTGCGCGGTACGACAACAATGAATTCGACGACGCCCTGAACGAGTTCGACAAGATTGGCGACACAAGCAAGATCCTCTTCAACATGGGCGTGATCCACGCTACTCTCGGCGAGCATGAGAAGGCCGTAAGTGAAACCGTGCCAATTGACTCTGTCGCAGTGTTTAACGTGGGCTCCAGGTGGAATGCTACCAGAGGGCTGTCCGGTTAGATCAATACCTCGCCGTGGCCTACTTCCAACAGGGCGTGTCGAATTTCCTGCTCGGCGACTTTGAGGAGGCATTGGCCAACTTCAACGACACGCTCCTCTACCTTCGCGGCAACACGATGATTGACTATGCGCAGCTCGGCCTCCTCTTCAAGCTCTACTCGTGCGAAGTGCTCTTCAATCGCGGCCTGTGCTACATCTATTTGCAGCAAAAGGAGCCAGGCATGCAAGACCTGACGTATGCGGTGAAAGAAAAGGTGGTGGAGGATCACAACGTGATTGATGAGGCGATCCAGGACGAGGCAGATGTAAGTTGGCAGACGCAGCTCATGTTCCATCGACTGACGCCAGACAAAGGGATACACAGTCTTCTCGATACCCGTCGGCGTCGTATACCGACCGAACGAGGCCAAGGTTCGCAACCTCAAAACCAAAGACTACCTCGGCAAAGCCCGTCTCGTGGCGGCATCGGATCGCACCAATGCTTTCACCGGCTTCGCTGGCTCCGAGATCAAGAATGTGAGCGACAGATCCATGCCCATAGAGCGCCCGTGTCATCCACCACTAACACAGCCAGTCCGCACGCGCTGAATCACGGGACGACCGCCCGCCCGACAACATCTCCTTCGCCGCCTCGAATCTCGTCAGGCCCGGCCTGCAATCGCGCCGACAACAGTCGGAGCCTCCTGGCAATCGTAATATGTTCCCGCCAACACCACCTCCCGAGGCTGAAGCCCGCTTACCCTCCCGAGGCGCCTCCGTCCGCAACGGCACCAAGCCGCAGCTCGCCAAGCTCAACATTGCCCCCGTCTCGTCCAAGGGGTACGAGAAGGCCGCGTCTCCGCCAGACGCCCGGCCACCCCCGTCGTCGTCCTCGCGCGCCCCGGCGCGGAACATGTCACAGCGCGGTCAAGCACCCGCAGCGCAGCAGTGGAAACAGACGCAGGCTAATATTGCCGAGGAGCAATACCCGGGCGAGGTATACGACATGTACCGGCCTCCCCAGGGCCCCTCCCGCCGGGGCAGCAATCGACAGCCGTCCGCGCCACCGTCTCGGTACACAAACGACGATGACCCGGCCTCGGATTACGACGACGCCTCGGTCAATGAAGATGACTTTGAAATGCTCCCCGTTCGAAGGGCGGCAACGGGTGCGTCGTCGACCACATCCTCCAGCACGCGCTCTCGTCGTGGTCCCGACGTGAAGAAGATTCGAGTCAAAGCGCATGCCGCAGACGACGTGCGGTACATCATGGTCGGCATCGCCGTGGAGTACCCCGACTTTCTCGACCGAGTGCGTGACAAGTTTGGACTCGAGGGACGACGGTTCAAGATCAAGATTAAGGACGAGGACATGCCCGATGGTGATATGATCACCATGGGCGACCAAGATGATCTGGACATGGCCATGTCGAGTGCGAGATCCCACGCCAGGAAGGCGAGGCAGGAAATAGGAAAGCTGGACGTGAGTGAAATGGCGGTCCCCCTTTATTTGTGACTGTCGTTGCTAACAATGTGTGTTTCCGCAGATTTGGATCTTTGAAATGTAGACAGTCAGAAAAGAAGGACAGACGGATATACCCATTAAGCGACCGAACGAAACCCCCCTTTTGTTTTCCTCCCTCACACATCGCATCACGAGCATCTTTTACGACGTTATGGACTCGCATATCTTATCACATCTGGAGTTTTGGGTAATCAGCATGGGGACGGACAGACGGATGGTGTCGTGAGCACCATTCAAATATAGATAGGGAGCTACTCAGGGACTGCAAGGGCCCTTGAAAAGTATAATTTGCGCTCACCACGCGTTCTTCTTACAGTGATGTTAACATATGTATGTACAAGGTGATACAGTTGCCGTCTGTCGTATCACGCAGAGCTACATCCCGCCCATAGTGTCCCGCACAGACTTGACACGATGCAACCACTCATGCCTCCCCAACGCCTGGAACAGCTCCTCGGATGAATGGCTTGCTCTGTCTGGATTGCCCGTCGCCAGCGTCCTCTGCTCCTTGTAAGCGGTGAATTTGGCACCATCCCCATCCATAATCTCGGCAACAGCCTTGCTGACGGTGCTGCTGGGTGTCGCTGCCTTTGGCGTCAAAGGGTCAACCCAAAACTCTGGTTGTTGGCAGACTTTCTCAATGGCGCTGAGAAGCGCCTCAGGTACTGGGTGAGCGGCCAGACTCTCTGTGAGCAGGGCCACGGGCGGTCGCCAGAAGTAGTGAGGGTGGTCGAGCACCAACCTCTGCGCATCTCCCCTGTTCTTCAGTCGGGAATGGAGAGTTCGGAGGAGGTGGCTGATGACCTTGGCGTCGTCTTGCGCCAGGAAATGGGTTCGCTCTTTGGGGCCGTCCCAAGCGCGACCAGCGCGCTCCGCAAATGAGGGAAGGGAGTTGCTGTCGAGTGACTGTACAGCTTTGAGAATGGGGATCTGAATATTCTGAAGAAAAATTTGCTGCTCCTCGGGTGTCGGGTTGGGAAGGATGCTGTAGAAATAACTAGAGTCAAAGTTGATCAGGCGCTCCTGGTTGATCTTAATCCCGCCCTTTGTGAATTTATAGGAGAGCTAAATGAGCGAGTCAGCTGAATCGATGAAACGAACACTTGCTGCGTGGTACTACTTACGTCGGATGCCAAAGCAGCAATGGTCCGTGGGATAGGGCCGCCTTGTGACTTTCGGGACGAACCTAGTGACGCGAGCCACGTCTGGAAGGCCATGGGCGCGAAAAAATTGTCCTTGTACGAGGTTATGCTCGCACTGGCGTTCCTCTTGCTGAGCTTGCTCCCGTCATCGTTGATCAACAGGCCCAGGTGTGCAAATGTCGGTGGTTTCCAGCCAAAGGCCTTATAGAGCGCGAGGTGTTTAGGCGTAGAGATCAGCCATTCCTCGCCTCGGATGACATGCGTGATACTCATGAGATGGTCATCCACCACGTTGGCGAGGTGATACGTTGGATAGCCGTCTGTTTTGAAGATGACGAAATCTTCCTCCTTTTCCTTCTTCTGGAACGACCCGTAGACAGCGTCCTTGAAGCCGAGGATTCCGAATGCGTCGCCCTTGAAGCGGACAACATGTGGCTCTTGGGCTGCGGCGCGCTGATCGGACTCACGAGGTGTGAGTGAGCGGCATGTTCCTGGATAGACCGTTGCCATGCCGGTCTCGTGGGCTTCGCGTTTCTGTCGTTCCAGATCCTCGGATGAACAGAAGCAGCGGTAGGCATGGCCGTTGGCGATGAGTTCGTCGACATGCTTCTTGTAAATGCCGAGACGCTCCGACTGGGACAATGTCAGTGAAGCTGCCTCAAGCGGCATGGGTTGGACCTACCTGTCGGTATGGGCCGTGAGGCCCCCCAACGTCAGGGCCTTCTGTCCAGACAAGACCCAGCCACCTCAGGTCCTGAATCATCTGCTTTTCTGCATCCTTGTTCAATCGGCGCTACAGTTTGTCAGGCTAATGGCTCATGTATGGAAGTCTTCGATATGAAAACCAACCTGATCGGTGTCCTCGACGCGGAGGATAAAGGCTCCCTCTGAGGATGCGAGGGCTACAAGGTTGTTGAATAGAGCAGTTCGCACAGAGCCCAGGTGAAGTTGACCTGTTGGCGAAGGAGCAAACCGAGCCCGTATTGGTTGGTCCGTCTTCTGGCCCAGTATCCTTGGAGGGCGTTTTACCTGTCTCGACAGATCTTGAAACCTCGACAGTGCAGGCGTCGTAGCCTCAGCCACCAAATTGCCATGGCGATGTGTGTCGTCATGATTTGAGACGGCCTTTACTTCGCCTGTGAGAGTCTGTCTTTGTTGACTAGGGGGACAAGCCAGTCTTGGCGAAATGTGAAGTGAGCGGCGGTTGTAAGGCAATGGGCGACAACATTGAGGGCACCGGAGCCTTCTCACGAGCCTGGAAGCCTGAAACGTGGTTGCCATGCCCTCTCGTAGCTTCTCGAGCCAAAACAGGCCCACGATCTAGGAACAGGTTCTCCAGATATGGCGTCAAGACCAAACAACCGAATGGGAGGGTCGATGAAGCTGCTCCAACGCGACGCGATTCACTAACTTATCGATAAGCTTTTTGAGGATTCTTTATCTTATCTTATCTTGACTTTGAAGATGGACAACCGGTGAATGCGATGGTCGCAACTACCAGATGGAATAAGCCAACGGAAAAGCGCATGATCACGAATATCAGTAGGAGAACATTGGACTCATGTAAACAACCTATCATCTTGTCACTATCATTCGACAGACGCCCAGGAAAACTTGTCAAAGTGTTGTGGTTCGTAGCTGACTACCCCACTAATACCGATCCTCGCCTGCGCCGAAATTCTTTTCTACCATCCTTACCTGTCGGAAACTTGACCTTGCTCATTTTTCCTACGCTTTCATTCTCCTGGACGTTCACAATGGAGGGCGCAGGATTCGCAGAAGAGGTCGACCTCTACGGTAAGGGAGCATTTTGTTCATGGGTCTAGCCGGTCGAGACGCTGACAACAGTGGCTGCAGAGCTTCTCTCCATCGAAAAGACGGCCTCGGGCGACGAGATAAAGAAGGCATACCGCAAGGCGGCCTTGAAGTACCATCCCGACAAGGTTCCCGAAGAGCAACGCGCCGAGTCGGAAATCAAGTTCAAGGAGGTCACGCAAGCCTACGACATCCTCGGCGACGATGACAAACGCCACCTCTACGACACCCACGGCATGGCCGCCTTTGACAAGTCCCGCGGCGGGCCCGGCGCAGGCGGCGAGGAGGTGGACCTGAACGATATCCTGTCGCAAATGTTCGGCTTCAACATGGGTGCTGGCGGCCCTGGTGGCATGCCCGGTGGCGGTGGTCCTAGGAGGCCACGCAAGGGGCCCAACGAGGAGCAGGAGTACAAGGTCACGCTCGAGGAGCTCTATCGGGGCAAGACGGTCAAGTTCGCTGCCAACAAGCAGATTCTGTGCGGATCTTGCAAGGGCTCTGGAGGCCGGGAGAAGGCCAAGTCGGCGACCTGCGATCGTTGCAAGGGCCAGGGCATGCAGGATGCGATCCGCCAGATCGGCCCCGGCATGATGCGCCGAGAGACCGTCCTCTGCGACCACTGCGCGGGATCGGGCCAGGTCTACAAGGAGAAGGACAGGTGCAAAAAGTGCAAGGGCAAGCGCACGGTGCAGGAGAAGAAGGCGCTCGAGATCTACATTCCACGCGGCTCGATGCACGGCGAGCGCATTGTGCTCGAGGGCGAGGCTGACCAGAACCCGGATCAGATCCCGGGAGACATCATCTTCACCTTGGTGGAGGAACCACACGATGACTTCACCCGCCTCGGCTACGACTTGTCGGCGGAGCTCAAGATTACCCTCGGCGAGGCGCTCGGCGGGTTCTCACGAACAGTGCTGAAGCATCTCGATGGCCGTGGTATCGCGCTGGAGCGCCCGAGAGGGTCCATCTTGAGGCCAGGTGACTGCCTCAAGATCGAAGGCGAAGGTATGCCCATGAAGAAGGGCGATGCCAAGGGTGACCTGTATCTCCTTGTGGACATTGAGTTCCCCGAGGACGGCTGGCTCAAGGAGGACAAGGAGTACGACTCGTTACAGAAGATGCTGCCGCCGCCAAATCCCCCCATAGAGGCAAAAGAGGTGGATGAGGTGGAGTACGAGGAAGACGCAGACATTGAGCAGGTGAGACACGCCCTGGAGCTGATAAGTAGGCTGAGAGCGACCGCTGACCGTTGTAGATGGGGGCCAACTCAGGCGACCCGCGCTTTGCGACCGAGTGGGAGGACGAGGATGACATGGATGATGGTCAGGCGCAATGCCAGACACAGTAGCTTGCTGGGGATACATAGCAGCGCGAAGGATAACGACGTGACGACGGCTGGTGAAATCTTGATAGACAGCATAGGGGCTGTTGGTGCGCATGGATATCACCGCTCAACAAGGTGGCCCTCTGCGATAGCGCATGCCGGCGCTTGGCGCAAACTTAACGAAATAAAATATTATTTTCAGCAAGAACATTTGATCAAAAAATTTCGTCGTATTTACCCATGAATACAATATCCGCGCTGTAGATGTAGACCTCGCTGTTGAGAGCACACGGTGATCAATGCCAATCAACCCCACCATCGTCATCAGCATTCCCTCACTCACCACCACATCATGCTGTCCTCTTCCATCGAACATTGGACATACCACAGGACGCCTCAACTCGGGTGAAGATAGACCATGTCACGCAAGGGCGTCGGAATCGGGGCGTTCGACCGCTCGCGGCTCACCTCTCGCCAATTCGCCTCGCACGGCTCCTCCCTGCGCGCCTCCAACACCGAAGCCCTCACCACGCAACTCACTGTCTTCCGATCCCTCCTCCAGCAGTTTGCCCAGACACACGCCAAGGACATCCGCTCCGACCCTGCCTTCCGAGCACAGTTTGCGCGCATGTGCACGGCGATCGGCGTCGACCCGCTTGCCTCGTCATCCTCGTCATCCTCCTCCGGGGCCGGTGGTGGATTGTGGGCGCAGCTGCTGGGCGGCAGTGTCAACGACTTTTACTTTGAACTGGCGGTGCGCGTTGTGGAGGTCTGCAGTCGGACAAGGGGGGAGAATGGCGGCCTGATAGGGTTGAAGGAACTCACGGAGAGGGTATCACAGGGGAGAATGGAGGGCAGCACCGAGATCTCGCCCGACGACGTGAAGAGGGCGGTCGAGACGCTCAAGCCCCTCGGTGGGAGCTATGCGGTCATCAGCGTCGGGCACAAGGAGTATGTGAGGAGTGTCCCAAGAGAGCTCAGCAACGACCAGGCCTCGGTGGTGGAAGCGGCGCAGGTGCTGGGATACGTCAGTGTCAGCATGTTGCGGGACAATCTTGGCTGGGAAAAGGCTCGATGTCAAACAGTGATAGACGACCTCATGTCGGAAGGCATGCTGTGGGTGGACAAACAGACCAGAGGCGAGTGGGAGTACTGGAGCCCGACTTCGATGGTGGACACGGAGGGCGTGATGGAGCCTGCCCTAGACGGAGGATAGGTGACGTTAACATGATTAAAAAAGCAAGTATATATCCAATCGGTCGGAACGACACAGCACCCTAAATATCGACCGCGCCGCATACATAAAACATAACGTGACGTTCAGGTGGAAGTTTGTACAAAGAGCCTCTCAACATCATCAACAGCAACCTTCTCTGTCGTACTCGACACCACTCGCTATCAGAGTCCTTTTCTTCATCGACCACATCCTTTGTATGTCCTCGACACGAGTTCCAGGTCCCAGTCCTCCACAAACTCACACACATCCTCACCCCACCAAGACTCCGGGAGCCTAGTAGGGTGGGTTGGGGCCCATTCCACCGTTGTACTCATCGGAGCGGCCCATGCCGCTGTTGCGGTTGTCACCAAAGTGCTTCTTGCGGAGGGCTGCGAGGCGCTTCTTCTTGGTGACGGTGTTGATGTAGGTACCGATAATGAACGACACAATGTTGAAAAAGGGGACCCAGAGCTGGTCGGGCAGGAACTTCTGCGCAAAGGCAAGGCAGATGGGCGAGGTAATCCACGAGACGCGCATCACCTTCCAGAAGCCGACCTTGACGGTGGCGCGCACCTGGTGGTACGTCCTGGCGCCAGCAATCAGGGCCATGGCGACCAGATAGATGCTGTTTTGGATCGGCGCAATCTGAGGGGGAGCACAGAGTCAGTCCAAGCGGCCCACGAAGAGACAAGAAATAGAAGAGTGAACCTACAATCAAGTTGCTGACTACGATCTGCATGATCTTGGCCTTGAGGCTGGTGCGTCCGCGGAAGGTCAGCTGGAGCAGCCAGATGAGAAAGTGGCCCAGAGGCGCGCTGATGAGCGCACCGTAGGCCGCCATCTTGGGCACGCGCGAGGTGAAGTAGTTGCCGTGCTTGTTGCGGTCCTTGGCCAAGAAGGACGCAATCAGCTCCTGCGCACCGGCCAGGGTGCCGGCCGTCAGCATTTTGGTCCGCAGCGGGTTCTCCTCAATCTGCTTGATGTACGCCGCGAGATAGCCCTTTACGCCCGCCATCTCCTTGCCGCCGGTCAAAGCAGTGCCGATCGCAGCAGCGACGGGGTGCTTGCCGCTGGTGCCCGGCAGGTGACCGCCCTCGGCTCCCGACATGACATTCTGCGCGGCCTTGACCGTCTCCTCCGTCGTTTTCTCGAACTTGACCGACATGGTCGCTGGCTGTTTCGTTGTCGTCGCGCGGTCTCAGCTGCGGGCAGGATAGGCGGTCTGAAGCAGGTGTGTTAGTGGCACAATTACATCCACTGCAACGGGTGAGAGATGGCAAGCAGTCCCATGGTATCGACCAATGGGTTCGTGGGTCTAGAGAGGCCAATGCCAGCCCAAGGCAGTTTCACCCTCTTGCTCGCATTGCGTGTATTGTTGTCCGCGATTGGGCCGCCATTTTCGCCTGGTGATTTCGGGTGACGACAGAGGGGCTACTCACATGAGTCGACCGTATAATCGTCCGTTCCAGGTCGTGAAAATCGCCGTTGCGCTGTGACAAAGGGCCGCTGGGGGGGGTTGGTGACGATGATGTCTGACACTGGAATGGAGGGACCAAGACCTGGGTCTGGGTGGATGGGGATGGGCTTGGGACCAGACGTGACGAGGCGGGTCGGACTCCATGTCGCGACTGGAGTCCTGGACTCAGGCCTAGGCCAGGAAAGGTGCTGCACACTGTTTGATTGGCTGCCGGCTCAGGACAGGCCGAGGTACGATGGGTCTTTGTTTTCCCAGCAACCGCCAGCCACGGTACCGACGCCACACGCGCGCATGGCCTTTATTGACATCCACGACAAGTTCTCCGTACTACCCCTGTGGCGTCCTTAAGGACTCCTAGGTTTCCAAGATGAAGGTTTTGTGCCCTCTCACAATCATATCAAATTGCATCCATTCAGAGGTCGGTATTTAACTGTTACATTCGATCAAGTCTTTGAGCCATTGCAAACGAGATCTCTCAACCCTCTACGCAACGCTGTCCGAAAGTGCTGATGGATGCTTCCACAGAGCCTCATTGACCGTACCCGTGTACGGTGATAAAAGCCAATGGTAATGCCAATTAATTCGATTAAGCTTTGACGAACGTGAGCTTTCTTTACTGCAGTCCGCTCGTTCTTCATCATCATCGCCGGTGCTTCCATCGGGCATGAACCTGTTCATAAGTTTATGACACAGCCTACTGAACTCATAAGTCCTCGCTATGAATGGGCTGTTGAAGTGATGGGAAGTTGACTACGGCGAGGAATCAAGTTAGAGAACCTGAAAAACCTTAGTGTTCGCCTATATCTAAGTTCTACGACGGGAGTCTTCATCGTCGCTGTCTACCATGGTGGAAGGTCAGATGAAATTCGCCATCTTAAGTATCAGAGCCCACGGCACTTCCTCCTCACATCTACTTCAGACTTTTGTAGGCCGACTAGTCTCAGATTCTATCGTTTCACTCTCATTGCTACCACTACTTGGAATCTCACACCTTCAAGCCAGAACCAGTTCCTATCGAATAACACACCGGACTTGTTTCTGTCTCGCATCCCTCGCTCAGCTTGCTTGTCACTCCCTCTTCTGTGACCAGCTGCGCAGAACTCTCAATCAATGAAGGGGCTCTCGGCGAATTGGACGCACTAATTGTACGTGCTCTGTGGGCGCACTATTCACCTGGGCCATGCCAAACCCGACACATGCCTCTCCAGGCATACCCTCGCGGCCGAGACATAAGCCGCAATGCACACATATCACCATGGTTAGGCTTTATGGGGAGCACCTTTGCAAATGTTGCCTAAAGCCCGGTGAGTTTGGTTGGGTCTATCGCTGCACTCAGGATCGTGAGGACATGATCGAGTTCGACGCAGCAACTGGGCATCAAGTATATCAGGTCTCCTGAAAAGAAGTTTGTCCTGAAACTAATCAAGCCAGGTGGCATACGACCAGCTGGGCAGGTCGTTCGCGTCCCAGATGAGCATCAGGGAGAGAAGTGCTGCGGCGAGGCGAGATCGGCTCAGTTTCCTCGAGGAGCTGGACCCGAAGCAACTCTCACAGTACAGACCAGATCAGATTGTCACTATTCTCAGACAACGCGAAGAGGTAGAAATACCAATACTTTCCCAATGACAGAGCCTGAATACTAAGATTCCAAGGTGCACCACGCTATCGCGCGTGATGTATTCCGAGACCAGGCCGACATACTCAGCCAGATCCTGGATTCCAAGTCCCGTGTTCCTCGCGCTCAGGGGCGCAGCAAGCACCCTTGGGTCACCGACTTGGATACTGAATGCCAATACATGGTGTGCCCGACATGTCGACCTGGATGCATTGACCGTGCATATCTCAGCCTGATCGGTGTCAGCAAGGGAGAGACTCCGCCCACCGCAGCTGTGGGATTCGGCTTTCATGGCAATGGGGAAAGGCCAGTTGTACAAGCCGAGAGGCTGAAGACGATTGGATATCGTGTTGTGCCTCTGGTAAGTCGGCTCTGAGCTGGGCTAGTTTCGTGCTAACATGTTCTTTAGGTGTACCCCAGAAGTTCGTTTGACTCCTCTTCCAGCTCGGCAATGAGCATGCTTGAGCTCCTTGACCAGCAACTTGGCCAAGGACGATTGCTGCCTCCTTCCATTGGACCGGCGCCGAATGGTAAACCCAATGGTACGCATGTCGATCCGCAGTCCACTGTGCAACCCGAGCCTGCGGGTCACTTGAAGCCTTCACCAGGGTGTGAGAACCTAAGAGCCTTCACCAAGGACGCCGATCATGGTGAATCGAATGACGAGGCATCCGGTGCTCGTCCACCATGGACGCCTCCACCATCGCCTAGCCTTTACGGAAAGATGAGCGCAACAAAATTGCACAAGTTGGGGTGGGCCAAGGAAGAAAGCATCTCCAACGGTAGAAGCTCCATATCCATCAAGACGAATCACAGCATTCGATGCCAGTTATTGACCTCGATTCCATCGACAAACGCGCTCCAAATTCTGGCGCAATCTGGGAGCTACTTCACAGACAATTTCCCCGCACCAATGGATGAGGACGAGTATGATGTCGGCCTCACATTGCCCTTCCGCGAGCGTTCGTTCAGCAAGGCGTGCGAGACACCGCTGGAACAAGTCACTATTGGCCCAGGTGGAGATAAGGAGGGTATACAAGTGGCTACTACGATCGTCGAACACGAAGGAGAGGCCTTTACCCCTGCGCCTCTCCAAGTTGAACGGGGTGTGGCCGTGCTGGAAGAAAGTGTCGAGCTCAGGGTGCCGGATGTGATCACACAGATATAAATACTGCCCAGCATGGTGGCAAAAAGCGACAGTGGATGTCACCGATGTTAGATTCACTATATGTAGGATACAGTGTGGCGAGGCCAATGTACTGCAACGTTCATCAGGTTCTAGGAGGCAATAGTTCATTACTCGTGCATCATCGTGATTTCCCAGCTCACTGTGTCTTATCCTTGACGCCTTCCATGATTTGCTTCATCATCTGGTTACCAATTGTCTTGGCCTCTTCAAAACGCGGCTTGAAGAACTCTTGGGTACTCAAGAAGCGCTTCTCATACGTCTCAAAGTGTCCAATCGCAACGCACTCCGCCCATGCCCTGGCTGCAAAGGTGAACTCGAGGTCGTCGCTCCGGTATGTTAGGTCGCTGACGGCAGTCCTCAGGGTTTCTTCGAGCATCGCCTCATCGCCGAACAGGTGCTCTGTGACACCCAGCCGCAGGCGGAAAAGGGGCGTGCTGCAGATCATATGGTCATAGGGCACGGTGCCCAAATTCGCCCAGCAGTCTACCATAGCAAGAAGGCTGAGGTGGTTGTTGGGTCGCGGCGTGGAATCTGGAGAAGGCGTCCCCAAAGAAAATGAGGAGAGCACACCGGGTTGTAGCAGAGGCCCCGACGCTTCAGAACCCCATTTCGAATTGGCACCGAACACCTTGTCTCTGGCAGCAAACATGCGCTGTCGCAGTGCGGGTAAGTCACCCTCGAGCATGATCTTGTACAGGTCTGTGACGCTGCGCGCATACTCTGCGATCTGTTTCTTGGCCTCGGGATTGAGAATCGCAAGACCGGCGTAGACGTGCCATTTTTGCGAGTAGATTCTCAGCATGGTGTTGATTTTGACATTCTCTATCCCGCCGACGTAGCGAGCCAGTTCCCAGGGGAACTGCGTATTTGCGTGCCATGCCTTTCCCATGGAGAGGAAGGCTGCGTGCGTGACGGCCTGGGTGTCGGCTGTGATCCGGTCATGTTCCTTCGCGGAGAGATAGACGTAGCGTGATCGTAGGCAAGCGAGGACGGCCTCGACCTTGTGGAGCGCGGCATCGGGAGCGCGGTGCTGGACGAGTACAAGTGGCTGGCCCGCCGGCTCGACTGTAGGTCCGTGAAGTGAGTGGATGGATACGATGGACACATCGGCGGGGAGATGTGCTTCAAAGGCAGCGATCTCGGGGGATTTGCAGGATGTTTGGCCGCCGACAATGGCGCGGAGCTTTGTCGCTATACTGTGTTACTAACAGCGGTCCTTCCAAAGAGCGGGAGCAAAAAGCATAAAAATCACAGGGAGCAAGGCATACATGGTCCAAACTGGGCGATTACACGGTCAATGACAGCAGCCTCGACGCTGTAGATGATGTAGTCGCTTGCGCGGGAGACATAGTGGCCGTTGGGACATATTTCTATTCTGGGCTATAGATTTGACGAGACGCTTCAGCTATCATGGCATACGAGAGGACATGAAGGGACTGGCCGTACGTTGCTGGCATATTCTTGCGTCAAGCTCTCGTACTTGTCTTCCCTGTCGCAGGCCATGATGCTACCGAAATTGGTCAGACCGACTCGCCCGAGTTGCTCAATCTGCTTGAAGCTTGTTAGCTATAATTCTTGACGAGGTGTGAAACAAGACAAGAGATGTGTTGATTTTCTCAGACAGTAGTTATAGTAAGGTAGCTAGCGTTTACATCAGTGACAACCCAGGGCGGACACCAGCGGCCGGAACGGAAACCAGATAGCCCCAGGTCATACTCGAGCCAAATGCGCTCTAGTCATCATCGAAGGGGAGAGAGAGTGGGATCGTAGTAATCAATGACTTACCAATTGAAATAGGCTGGAGGCCAGGTCAACCAGAGCCGACGAGGCAAGAACTTACCGCCAGCCAGCGGCAGATAGCCGCTCGGCATACATCTTGCCCATGTCGCCCATACCAATGAGACCGACAACAAAGTTCTCCATGCCCGGCTGGGCGTAGTCACTCGGTGCTGCCGACTCCATTGTGTGCGGTTCGGATGGTAGAGAACAATGCCAAAGAAGCCTTTCACATGCTGGTGCACTTGCAACCGTCACTGGGTCTGCCGTTGCGTGGTTTGCGAACAACGATGACCTTGTCGAGGTTTGTGAGGAAGGATGCTTTGGGAGTTGAGAAATTTCGTGCAGTGGGTTTAGCTCTACGGGAAATATGAGGTGCGGTTATGTGCATATGGCACGTGCGTATTCTCAAGTAAGCTATATGCTACTAAGCGGGGTGTCATCTAACTGCATATGGGTCGACAGCCTTTGCACCAAGGTCCCTGAACGACATCACACTGCCCATGAGCATGATAAAATGAACGCTGTTTTTTCCATCGGATCCAATGGCTCAGGCCAGCTCGGCATAGGGCACAAGGAGGATGTGTCGGTACCGAAGCCGGTCCTGTTCCATCCTCCACAACCAGACTCATCTATTGTCAAAATCGCGGCGGGAGGAAACCACACACTCATCCTAACCAAAGAAGGAGCTGTGTACTGGAGTGGTGATGGCACAAGCGGAGCTTGTGGAATCGGGCCTCGAACAAACCTACCTGCTTTCTTGGGGATTAAGCTGGTCAGGGATGGCGAGCCGGGCATTGGCAAGATCTCACTGATTGCTACTACATGGGAAGCTTCTATCTTCGTCGCTAGAGATGCAGAAGGCAAGAATACGGCAGTCTTCACATGCGGCGTCGGTCCGAAAGGGGAGCTTGGTGCTGGCGAGATGATGGTACGGACCCCAACCGCCACACGTTTGGCAGGGTTTCCACCACCCAACGCAGAAATCATCGATCTGCATGCTTGCATGGGCCACGTTGTCGCTGTTTTGGACAATGGAGATGCATACGGCTGGGGCAACTGCCGCAAGGGTCAGGCTGGACAGCCTGCAGCCGTTCTATACGCCCCTCGCAAGATCGAAGACGTAGGATTCCCAGTACGCAGAGCCGTGTGCTGCAAGGAAGCAACCTGTCTTTTTGGCGAACCTGCCAAAGGGGATTTCAAGGTGATAGGTTCAGACAAGTGGTTGTTGCAGTCGTCCGCGCCCGTCACCGCTCCGGATTGGACCGACGTAGGCGCGAGCTGGGGAAACATCTACATTCTCACCAAACAAGGCAAGCTCGAAGCGTGGGGCCGTGATGATCACGGTCAGTTACCTCCGCCGGACCTACCAAGGCTCGCACAGATAGCTGTCGGCAGCGAGCATGTCGTTGCCCTCGCTGACACTGGCGACGTCCTTTCTTGGGGATGGGGCGAGCACGGTAATTGCGGTCCCAAGGTGGAGGATAACATTGTCAAGGGACGCTTCAATGTCATTGCGTCGTCAAGGTTCATACCTAACGGCTCCGCGGTGGAGGCCGTTGGGGCAGGATGTGCAACTAGCTGGGTATATATCGCGGAGGCGGGCAATCCCACTTAACAACACTTCTCATCCGGTATTCCAGCATCATGATCTCATTAGTCGGGAAACAAAGCCAAGTTCTGGACCTCCGACATGTTTTGGGTCGGCTCAAGGGCCTGCGACTCGAGGTTTGCGCTTGCAGCGTCTTCGGTATTCGCGTCGGGGGCTGGCTGCGCGGTTTGATGCATCATACTCTTCATTCGCAACTCGGCGGGGTTCTGACAAGTTAGCGAGAGGCACTGAGGTTGAAAGACGACTCACCGTTTCAGCACTGTGATCCCATTCCAACCTGGCGTTATCTTCCTCTTCTTCCTCGTCCCTCATTGGCTCCCAGCTTTCTTCATCTACGAAGAGGCTTTCCGAGTTGTGCGTCGCTGGTGGAGGTGCTTGTTGCGTCGGGCGGAGATCGAACGCACCGAGTCGAGAAGCACTTGCACGAGGAGCTGACATCTGAGGTGTCAAATTCGGCGGTCTCCTTGAAGCCGGTGGTGGAGGTGGCATCTGCTGGGCGTCCTGGCCTGGCGCCTCCGAGGGGGCTACACTGGTCCTACGAGAAGCAGCTTCAAGACGGGGAGCATTGCTCTGTGTTTGGTTTTTGCGTCCCTTTTTCGTTTTGTGCGAGGGATTGATGCCACGCTCACCGACAGTCATGACCAGAAATTCACAACTGATAGCCTCGCTGCCATAGGAGAACTGGATCGGGCGGGCTGGGAGTGAGTAGCGGGCTGAGATGACGTTTCCGGTAATTCCAGCATGCTGGATGATTGCTCTGAAGTCTTTGACGGAAATAACGATATGCAGTTTGTCTTCAACATCAATGTCGTCGAACTCGTCGGCCTCGACAGCAATGGATGTCTGCAGCGGCTTCTTGAGAACAGCTGCTTGGTCAGCGTAACCCTTGAAAATAGTGTAGAAAGCTTACCATCCTCTGAGACTGTCTTCTCGCTGAAGCACGTAAAATTTACATGGTCCCCATCTGTGTTAATGTCCAGCAAGTCTATGCCCGGTCCAAAGTGGTCCATGAGCTGGCGCAGTGTCCGTGAGGCAATGACCCAATGGTGCGGAGAGTCGCTCTTATTGAACTTTGCGTGCACCGGCACCGCGACCTCGAAGGGCAGGCGATGCGTGCTGGTGAGGCCATTCCTGAAGACGATTCGCGCAATGAAGCGACTGGAAATTCCTTCACCGTCCTCAACCGCCACGTCGCACTTTTCGATGACCGTGTGCCTCTCGACGTCGCGCTGCGTGTCTACACTGGTGCGACTTCGGAAGATGGAGATGAGAGACTATGGGGTCAGCTGAGCATTGGCAGCCACGACAGCTCACTCACCCTAATGAACAGTGTGCAGTAGAACTTCTCGCGGTACGGCCCCGTTCCTTGAAAAGAGTACCGCGAGAAAAATTTGCCGGGCCCGAACTTGAAGCTTGCATAGGCTGACTTGGTGACATTGAGCGTGGTCAACGTGAACTGATGCTGTCAGTCTTGTCGGATGTTCAGGATCTCTGCTCCTACCGAGTCCTTGCGAGCTTCGAGCGAAACATCGTCACTAAACTTGCTGAGGCAGATGAGGGCGTCCCGGAGAGCAGTGACGCCTTCCTCGCTCAGAGTGAAGTTCAAAATCGCCATGGCTCCATTTCTATTTCATTCTTGACAGTAAAGAACTTGCTGTTCCTGCTGTAATGCGCAGACGGCTCAGGTTGAAGTCGAACGCGTGGTGGGATGTGAAGTCGCGAATAGTGGAACCCCAATGGCGGGTGGGCGGCTGGAGTTGCTCGTGGCTCAATCACTCTTTACATTACCCTGGACGAACCTTCTCATCCATGAAGTCATCCAAGAGGTTATTTCTAGAAGGCTCGTGAGGCTAGCAACATTTGTTCATTAAAGCGCTATCATAAGAATCATTAAACATCATATCGCAAATGCCTTTTCGTTCCTTGGCCAGCGCGATGACATGTTCACCTGCAGTTCTCTTTCCCATCCATCCTCGATCAAGTTCAAGCCCACGTTGGATGTCTTGATGATCTCAACGTCTGAAGCAGTTGAACTTGCCAAGGGAGAACCGCCAGGCACCGCGATGAACACCGTGCCTATTGACGTGAACGCTGGTGCCGAAATGGCGACCGCCGATACCCTTAACCCATTGGAGACCCATGGCGACGATGTGGTTGTGGTGTGTTTGTGGTGTTTGTTGGAGGCGATGACGTAGTTCTTGAAGATTTGAACTGTTGAATACCATGTTAATCAAGGTTGGTGTCCAGAACTGGTCTGGTAATACTCACAATTAAAATGGGTTTTTTGTTTTTTTGTTTGTTTTTGAGACAAGGATTTGAGAAATATTGCTGCTCGAGAAGGGGGATGTAGCTACAGGGAGATTGATCATATTTATCATGTGTCCTGAGCTTTGTTGAGCAGCCGACATCCTGATTGCACCCACCTCAATGATGACGAAATGGCGTGGCTGTGGTACGCTAACTCAACTTCTAAAGTCCCCTGTTTCGACCCGAGGGCCACTCTTCGTTAAAGACCTGCAGAAAACACTGAGCCGATCTCCCACTTCCCGTTTAGCTCATGCACAGGCGACATTCCGCTTCCTTGGTTTTATGAGCTTCGCGCTCTCTCTGGCGCCGATGAGGCTATGCGATCCGAGTCCACGCCCGCGATCTCGAGCGGTCTCGAGCGGTCTCGCGCGGTCTCGCGCTTCCTCGTGGGAATCCTGACGCCTTGCACAGCCCCCCGTGCGCAACGATTCGTAAGGCGGGCAACCCACATGACGCTGTTGCGTGGCTGCGAGGGAGGGATCTCTCCGAAGAAGCCTGGTTTTGACCGCGAGGAAACTGAAAATTGTTCAGATAAGGTTACCGATCCGCACGGTTATTAAAACCTAATTTACTTGTTAAGCGCTGCCAAGCCGGCAGTGACCAGACTTTGACTGCCTTGCCTGTCGCCAACGCCAGTCCAATAAAAAAGACCACCGAGTTGTTGCGTCCTCACGTATCGCGCTTTCGCTGACACGGTAGCTGGCACATCAAACGTAACGAAACCTTTTCCGCCCTCCAAGTCAACATGTGACGCCGTTGCAGCATGATGGTCTATGTGGGCATCCAAGATCCAGCTCTCGGGCATATCAGAATACTCCATCTCCCCAGCGCTGTGGAATGAATGACCAGGGCCGCTGGCCTGAGGAAAATATTTGGCATACGCTGGCACGCCAAGTAGAATCTTCTCCCTTGGGAAGCCATTCGCAAGTAAATAGTCAACACCAGCGGCTCCTGACTTGCGAAGCGTTGAGCACGTGTTTTCCTGCGGAGCCAGTAACTGGGCCTGATGACCGCAAACGTCGGTCCAGGCTCCGGTGAAGTCGTATGCCATGAGGTTGAGGAAGTCAAGGAGGGCACCGGCCGTCCTCAGATCAACGTGCTTGAGGCAGTATTGACCGACGGGCAGGGCTGTACTAACGAGGTACGCAGGGGCCGGTAGAGTCCTGCGGACATCCCAAACCAGCTTGACATAATTCTCGCCTTCATCGCACTGGGTAGGATGCTCCCAGTCGACTTTTTTTGTTTAGTACCTGAAAGTTGCCCACGAACAATTGGTCCGACTTACTATCGACCCCGTCAAACTCGTACTTGTCACAGAAGTTGCGAGCTTCTCTCGCGAATCTTTCCCTCGCTGCAGGATTGGCAGCCATCGCAGGGAACTCGGCACTCCCTGAGCCACCGCCTATCGAGACGAGTGTCTTCAAGTGCGGGTTCTCTCGCTTCATCTTTGCAAAGGCGGCTAGGCACCCCTGCTCCCCATCGACCTGCTTCCGCAAATCACCAAAATCGTCCAGGAGCTATAGCGTTTCCGGTCAGCATTTCGGGCGAACATTCACGGATAACGCTTACCCGAAGTGTACCATTCTCGTTGACCCTGTCGTTCGTCAGAAGATTCCGTATATGACATTTTGTACGCACCTCACGAACGCATAGAATGCATGCGTGGCTACACGGATATTCAGCGACGACGGCGGCTTTCCTTTGTATACTTTCCAAGATGGATAGTATACAGCGTTGGCGAATGGAGACATGTTGTGCGAAGGCTGGTTTCCGATCAAGTGGTGAGAGAGAAGTTGGGATTCAGTCACGCGGCGCAGGCGGGCTGGTTGGACTCATATAGCGACGCTGTACACCGAGTGAGGTCATTCAGCCGCTCAGGCCCTTCATCGACTCGATCATTGGTCCGCTTGGGATTTGTTTGATCTTTTTGTATTGCACGGGACTCAGTCTGTGCTCGAGCTGTCGTGGGCAGCACATCGCTTTTTGTACTATCTGTACTCAGGGACTGTATCTCAGACTTCTCAGTATTACAGCTCTGTGTACCAATGGGCTCTTAAAATCGCTTCCACATTTTACATTTTTGAAATGTCTCCTTTCAACGAATCCAGATATTCAATGCGTATATCCAAAGAAATTACCTTGAGCCAGCCATCTGTGCTGAGGCAGGAGCACTGGACTTCACGGGCGGCAGCGGCACGTGATGGGTCGTGCCATCATCAAACAATTTCCCACGCCCACCAATCGAACCTGTGCCGCTAATCAACGACACCACATCTCAACATTGGTCCCCCGCAATTCATTCAATACTGTGAAGTCCATCTCGCGCTGCTTCAAAGCCACAATGACGAGGTCAAAGGTTTCGAGCCCCTCGACAGTCCACTCGCTGTCTGCAAGACGCGGAATATGCGGGATCGCGTCCTGATGGACGAGCGCGTCTGCCCAGATCACCTCTGCCTCCTGCGAGATGGCGAGGCTCTTCGCAAGATCCAAACCAGGGGAATTGCTCAACGATGTTTGCCCAGCTTTGAAAGCCATCCCTGCCACCAACACCCTGGGACTCGCGGACCGCTTAGGCAATCTTCGCAACAACTCGAGCGCCCTGTCTGCAATTTTCGCAGGCCGAGACCACATGGCGCTCGTCGCGGCCTCGAGAAGTGGGAAGCTATTGTTTGACAGCAGGTAGAACGGGTTAACCGGGATACAATGGCCGCCGACTCCCACCCCGGGTGCGTAGGGCATGTAGCCAAAGGGCTTCGTCGACGCTGCATTGCACACCTCGTAGGGGTCGATGTCGTGGGAAATACAGGCATCAGCCATCTCGTTGGCATAGGCGATGCACACCATTCTCTGGCAATTTTCGTACAACTTCATCATCTCGGCAACCTCAGGTTTGGAGACCGTGACCACATTGTCAAAGATGGTCCGATACACGCGATGGATGGCATCGAGAGACCCGGGCACCATGTCATCAAGGCCCGAGATGATCTTTGGTATGGCTTGGACGGGTGGGTCGACACGACCGGGATCGACACGCTGATTGTGGGTGGTTAGCAAACAGACACACTTGGTCATGAATATCAGGTGGAATCTTACCTCTGGAGACATTCCTGCGAAGAAACCGCTCGCCTGTGCCAGGGGACCAAGCAATTGCCGGGTCATGCCAACAGCAACAGAGCTCTCGACGACGACGGTTGAGCCACGGCGGGCAACCTGCCCTACGGACTTGATTGCTTCCCTAAGGTACGAAGAGTCAATCGTCCTGTCTGGACGAAGGAGCGTTGGTACCGAAATTAGGAAGTGTGTTGCCCTGGAGAGGTTGCGGGCATTGTCTGTGAACTCCATCTGCGCCTTGGCGGCATAGTCCTCTCGAAGCTGACGAACTCGGGCGTGCGAGACATCGAACCCGATCACGTCGTAACACTTGGAGAAGGACTCGACCAGATGGCTGCCAACATAGCCCACGCCCAGAACGGCAACAATGGGTTGGTCATCAGGTCTTACAGGCGACGGCGGCCGACTGATCTCTGTTTGGCAGTCGCTGACAGATGTTGGCGGAGTACTCGGGCATGTGTCTGCCGTCAAGTAGCTCCATGGATATTCGTCATGGTTGGCAGAAGCATCGACGAAGGATCTTGCTGGAACGTCTTGCACTCCAATGAGAACGCTGTGCTTGGTTTCGGCTGACAAGACTGTTGCCATTTTGAGGTTTGACACCGAACAGCAGGAGAGACGAGGGTGGAGAGCAAAGGAAATTCGAGGTGAATTTCAGCAGCGAAGTCAAGCCGCTTGCTATGCACCGAACAGGGTGGGCTCCCGATGGTGCCAAGGTGCAGGGACGGCGTGGTATTTCACTCCTTTGCGCTTGTGGGTATACGAAATGAAGTCATGAAGACCGAGGGGCGAAACATTGCAGAGCAGGTCGGGGCAAAGTGTCGATGGGTATGTATGTGCGCTCGCAGGTTGCACTCTGACAAGCAGGGGCGTGTGCAATAGCCCGACTGGCCGAGATCACCGACGACAAAGGAACTGTCAGCTAGGCACGAAACTAGACCGAGACCACCTCAAGGAAAATATGCATATCGATGCCTAGCAAGGCTGGGCACTGTCCATACAATTCTATGAGCGTACAGCAACAAGTGCTACCCGCGACGCAACGCCAGGTTCCGGCGCCACAGCTGCCGTCAATGTTGTTCAGACGTTGGGCTACCAGTCTCACAAAAGACATAGGCCTATCTTTGCGATTTTCAGCTCAGTCTAGGTGTTAAGTTCTGGCTGATCGGCATAGACCTAAGAACGTGCCCAGTCATGGTCGAATAACACGACAATGGCAACAGGAGCAGTGCCTGTGCCCTTCGCCTCGGACTACCCGGACATGTGAGACAGATCAACAGGTTCACGACAAATCAACCAATCGATCGACGGCTGTGCCTGGCTTGTACCTGGTACTGTCTCCTTCAGTCGGCGTACTCGACATGGCGGCGTGCCTGGAGACAAGGACGGACAGGCGTGGCATTGACGATCGGCGAGTCTAGCCTTGGCCCGGCCGGTGAGCTCGTCTTTGTTGAAAGTAACGTTGGCTGAACTGGCCATGCGCAGAACTTCAGAAGTCACACTTGTTCTAGAAAGCTGGGGGTCAGCCTTTGCGGTCCAAGCTATGGCATTGACGAAATGAAGTGACCATTGCGGTAAAGGAGTGCTTCCGCATGGTACGCCAAAGAGGAGGCTCCTGTCTTGCGGCAACCCCCCAATTGGCAGCCTCTTTGATCCTGTTGTATCATTGCCTGCCTTGCTTCGGCAAAGAGAAGGAACGCGCTTCCACGCGCTCCATTCCCAGAGGAGCAGCACCCAACACGGGCTGCTTGAACGCTGGGCTTTGATCGATGTGGCAGCGCGCAGGAAGCGACTTTGCGAGACCACCGACCCCACAAATCTTGGCTGGCGCTTCAGCAAGCTGGCCTTGAAATTAGCACCATGCTTCTAACCTGGGTGGTGCGAGCTATTCAGGGAGCCTGATGTGCCGGCCGCCAGGGTTAACTAAAGTTTAGCGCTGCTGATCTATCTGGCTACATTCTGCTCAATGCCTTTCGTGACGACGTCGAGGAGAATAGCACGCAGCATGTTTCCTCGCTCGCACCGCGCAGAGGCCCCAGCGTGGACAGAATGAATAGGATTGAGGAAGACGCCTTCCGAATGGTTCAAAAATGGAAACATGGAGTGCAGACTCTCCGTCTGGTTGAGGGGCCGATTGGCGCAGGCGAACGCCGCTATGGGATGCAGTACCTTTGGCTGAATCGTGGAACGTGCTGCGACGCCCGATCTTCAGCTATCCATCGATGCAGAAATGTCCGTCGCTGTGCGGTGCTGCACCTGGAGTCGCAGTAGCAGCCGCCTCTGTCCGTGCCGCGGTCAATTATTGCGGCAGCCGGACCTCAGCGACGCGCTGCATCCTCCGGCGATTGCTGATCTTACCATGCTCGGCCCTCGGTCAGCGCAGCCGTCGGCATGTTTGGCCACTTTTGGAGCCACTTTCAAAGTCTAGAATAGAAGCTGACTATGATCAGACTTTGTCGTCCCCCCACCCGTCGTGCTGCCGGCGGAGGACAAAAGGCTTCACCAACTTGAACACGAGGCACTGGCTGGCACAATACGGAGGGCAAGCAGCTGGTAGCTTTTGCTCGCTTTACGGCTGTCACTGCTGCTGCCGCTGCCACCATAGTCCCCGCCGGATAGTGGGATCACTGCAGGTTTTCTGTACCGGTATTATGTATGGGCTTTGTACAGCCAGTGAGGGACCACCTTGAATACAGTGCGCCATCCAACATGAGGCAAATGCTGCGCGGTACGAGAGGCTGTATCGCATACTCCTGGGTTTTGCCCCTTTCTTGGCAGCGGCTCGAGTCTAGTCTGACGGTTGCACTGCGTCACGGGCCCTGCACCCTGCCTTGGAAATCAAAGGCCGCGGTTGAGGACGCGGCGCATGGAGTCCACACTGAGTCGGCTGAAAGATGAAAAGTCAAACTACATCTCGAGATTCCACTTCGACTTCTCCACGCCTTGCCACCTCGATGCTCGTATTGCGTGCTGACGAGAGTACTGCCACAGTGGATGGCGAATGACAAGCTGCATCAGCATCTCGTTTCTTCTTCGTTCGCTCTGATCAGCCTAATGAAGTACAACGGCTTCTGCCTTGGATTGAGCCGATATCCCAGTTTGAGCTTCGTTCCACCAGGAATTGTACCATCAGATTAATCTTTGGCGCTGCGTCGTATCTTGCCCCTCGGCTGGCCGCGAAGCCCGCCCCGGTGTTGTGCTTCCCAAGGCTACGAATCGCTCACCTGGCTTTTATTTCACTCGTCTCACGCTGAGTGATCTTTTGCAGGTATGCCGGTGGCTGACGACGCAGCGCATCACGAAGCATGGGCACATCTCAGCTGCCCACCTGGAAGACTGCGCGATGTAGTTGAATGTAGCCCGTTTCCGAAGGAATATTGCTAGCTACGCATTTCACGAGAAGCAATGCGATGAGGCCACGAACGTACACATTGCACACTCGAGTACCTGAAACGGTGTCGTCTCGTACACAAGTGACTGCTCTAGGACAGTAGTTATTAGTTGCCCGAGGTGTGAGGGGCTTACCAGGCAACCCCAGACGCAGCCTACGGGGTCCGTACCGGAGCCGCACGAGACGGCAGCACAAACTTCCGTACTTGACTTGGGCATTTATTTCTTGATTCGACCATGGACTATCACTCGCTGATCCTATCATCTATGGAGAGCTGAGATCGATCCCCGGGCCGTGACCCTGCCGCTTGGACCGAGAGACCTGGACCTGGGCTGGGCTGAGCCAGCGGGCCCATTAGCAATTGGGTCGTATTCACCTGCCACCGGACGCAACAGCAGACAGGGTTGCGTTGCATTGCGTTGCATTGCGTTGCATTGCGTTGCGCTGGATCGAATCGCATCCATCAGTGATAGATGGACCTCAGCCAGGGCATGGACGCACTGCCATGCAGTCTTTTGTCCCACCGGCTTTATTACTTTGTTCCCCTCAGCCCTGAGCAAGTGATCGGCGCAACCGACCAGCGCCTGGATCATTCAGCCACCTCGGTCTGCGGGATCTCTAATACCAAGTTACTTTCGAACGTGCGCTGTCGTGAATGTGGACTAGAGATCCAGAGGGGGGCGTGCGATATCTTTGTCTGTTTACGATGCGCCGTTGGGGGTCTGCCCTTTTCCTTGCCTACGCTTCCCTCCTCATGCGTTGCAAACACACAAAAACACTAACGGACTAAACCCCAGCTTTCTCTTTAAAGACATTCACATCGCCATGTTTTCAGTGGTCTGTCGCTTTTGGGGGGTAAGGCTCTCCCCACGGATCACCACTGAGACCAGTCTAGGTCTGCTGCCAATACTCATTGTCATCACTCGTTTGGCTTTCCGTGTCTGTGTCTGAGTATCTGGGACAACAATGGGTTATGCTACAGATCGAAGATCCCAGAGCAGGCTCTCTGCGGCCATGGACCAAGATGGCCTTGTGCAAAACACCAAGGTACGTGGCAGATTTTCTGCAGACAGATAATCATGTTCGTGATCATTGACTTTATAGGACTCCCGCACGCAACCATTGGCACAAGACGACTTGCAACCACCTAGGTTCACCGCGAACCGCCAGTACATTGCTCCCGGTAGGCCAGCCAAGGCCTCGCAATGGGAGTGTGAGGAGTTGGATGCGAGCTCATCGCGGAGACAAGCCTCCGGCGGCAACCCCTTTGAAGATTATGAGGAGTCGTCAGAAGGGACGCAACCGTCCGCCACCGTGTCGACCAGGACATCCATCGGCCAGACGCCTGATACCGCCGATGTGTTCCAGGCGCATGCCGCCAGCAGCCACCGCGACTACTTCAAACCTCGGTCGCCTCCTGCAAGGGACGTCCAACGACCAGGTAGCTCAGCTAGCAATGCTCGACGCCTGGGGAGGGCATCGCGCTTCTCGGACGAGCGCAGCAGCAGCGTGTCTTCCCGACCGGAGTCGTCAGAAGCCGCGGTGGCGGCGGAGCCGGCAATTACTGCTCTGCCGCAGGCTCATCTTCAGTCATCTACCCAACCTACCCAGCAGACCGACGCTACATCAGGCCCATCGTCTGCAGCCGCCATCAAAGAAGCCAGTGACGTGCAGCGGGCGACCGACAAGATCATCCAGCGAGGCAAGCGCAAGATCACCTTCCAAAAGTATCTCTTCACGTTTGGTCTCATCTGCCTGAACACGCTCTTCATCTTCTCTTCCTGGTACTGGTCGCGTTACTACTATGTATACCTGCCGTTCATCATGTTCCCACTGGCGCTCAACTGCACCATGATTGTCTCTCTCATGGTGTTCAAGCTTCGCAACGTTGTTCGACCTGAACGCATCATCGAGCCTGACCACACGGAAGACCTGGTCTACATCATGCCCTGCTACAACGAGACGTTTGAAGAGTGCAGCCACTCGATCGACTCGCTCGTGGACCAGGTAGGCATTGAGCACCACAAGCGGGGCATTATGGTGGTTTGCGACGGGCGTGTGCGCGGGCCCGGGATGGAGAAGACGACCGGCGACTATCTGTTGGAAGATATCTTTGTCGACCGCACCCATCACGAGAGGATCCGCGGCGCATACCGGGGATGGAACGGCATGAGCATAGACATTGAGGTATCGCGCGGCCACTACAAGGGCGTGCCGTACTACTGTATCGTCAAGGAGCAGAACCAAGGCAAGCGTGACAGTCTGATCGTGATCCGCTCGTTCCTCCACAAGTTCAACCAGCGGCGAGACAGCCCGTCGCACATCTTCTCCCCGGAGTTCTTCCACTCCATGACCAGCTGGCTGACCGAGTCCGTCCAGGTCGACCAGGTGGATCATCTGGTGGGCATGGACGCCGACACCATCTTTGACAAGCACTGTGTGGCCCAGTTGCTCAAAGAGTCCAAGTATCCCAACACGGTGGGCGTCTGTGGCTTTGTGGCCGTCGACTTTTCAGGCGGCAACTGGAACATCTGGCGCCTCTACCAAAACGCCGAGTACACCATTGCGCAGTGCTTGCGGCGCCTTCACCAGTCCATGGTCACCAAGAAGGTCTCATGCCTGCCTGGCTGCTGCCAGCTGCTCAAGATCTGCGAGTACACGTGTGGCGACAAGGTCCTGGTGGAGCTGTTTGGATACCACCCTGCTCCCATGGATGGCATGCTCAAGCAGGTACGGGCGACGGCGTCTGAAGACCGTAATCATGTGAGTGACAGTACAAAGATGCCACTGGAAACAACAGTATACTAACAGCTACATTAAAGGTCTGTCTAATGCTCACGACCCATCCGGAGGCGCAGACCCGCCAGGCCCTCCGCGCGCACGCATACACGGACGTGCCCAAGACATGGAGCGTCTTCCTTTCGCAGCGTCGGCGCTGGACACTGGGCGCGACGAGCAACGACCTCTTGCTCCTGCTGTCACGCCACTGCCAATGGTTCGAGCGCATCCTGGCCCTCTGCAACGTCCTGGTTTGGTGCCTCTGCGCGTTCATTGTGGCGGCGATTGGCTGCATGATTGTTGCCTTCATGTCCCAGCCCTGGTGGATTATCATGGCCTTTGCGAGCGTCATGATCATCCCGCTCCTCTACTACATTATGATTGCCGTGTGGCACCCACGCACCATGCGCGAGCGGGTACAGTACCTCGCCGGGCTGGCCGTCTTTGTCATCTGCGGGCCTTTCCTCAACATTTTTGTCATGCTCTTTGCTGTCCGGAACATGGACAGCTTCGGGTGGGGCAAGACGCGTCTCGTCGTGGCCGAGGAGGTCAAGGAGAAGATGGCCGCGGACAGCAACGATACCCAAAACAGCCATCCTGGACCCAGGTCTTTGGGCGCCAGCACCGGAAATGCACTGAATGAAAAGAAGACGGCCCCTGCCGACGCACCGCAGCCTCTGCTGACCGACCGACCGCATGATGAAGAGGCTGCACTGGACACGCTCTTTGCAAGGCCACAAGCAGCGCATGCACCAGTCGCATCACCCGCATCCGTGGCCGCACGATGACACGAGACGGGGCATACGAGTTTTTGATATGCGGAAGAGCTCTTGGACGTATCACAATGGGGATGCGGGGGCGTTGTTTATGTTTGTGTTGGCGTTGCACAGCAAACGTATGGAAATAGTACGTATAGGCTTTTGCAAAGACCCGGGCATATAGAGCTCATGATTTACAGTCGCCTGCTGACGACCTTGTTGCGAGATTATTTTTCTTTCTTTTCTGTCTCCAGTCGGCGAAGCATCTGGGGAGAGTATCCGCGTCTTGTGATTCGTTGGATTCGCTGGCGGCCGCCCAAACGGGTAATTGAGTCAGCGTGCTGCTGCTACGGAGCGATACAATGGACATTCTCGTGGCGCCTGCTCACGACACGCGCGACAACGCGTTGCATTTCTCCCGACATGTCATTATGCGGGATGCAACGTATTGGCATGGCTTGAGCGTGCTTGAGCCTTGGACCTTGCGCAAGCGCAGGCACTCTATTCATGTCTGGGAGCGAGCCATCCAGAACCCCTCTCCAAGAAACCTTTACCCTTGCAACTGTTCTGTGAGAGGCAGGAAATTGACACAGGGTGGAGAAGATGGAGTTGGGGTGCGGCAGAGACAAAGAAAAACTCCGATCAGCTAACGATTTAGCGCAGCTTTCAATGAGTGTCACGAACAGGGGTCGAGGCTACAGCCCTCAAAGTCATTCAGATTCGCCATGTGCGTACTGCCCTCGGTTGGGTGTACAAAGAAAAGAGACTTTGATACCAATCTGCGCACGCCTGAACTTGGCCTGACGTAACTCGTAGTTGAGACCTCCTCCCACTTCCAATCACCGACACAGGCGACAGGTGGCACAGCGTCTGTTGTACTTGCTCAAGGACAGTTGATTCTTTTCCGTCTCGTGTTCACGTACCCGCTGGACGAGCCTTCGGGACACGCAGGTCCCGGCACGAGGCTGGGGCCTCTTGCGCACTCGATCGTTCCCTGTCTCGAAGGAATTGGCTGGGAAACCAGCGATGCTCCAGCGTGAGCATAGCTCCTCTCCCCTGGCTTGGATTGTACAGATATTCGTGCATAGTGATGCTACCGTATGCTAGTCACGACAAGAAGGCGGATCGACGCAGGCTTCGTCAATCACTCCAGGGGGTTGCCGTGGCGAAGGAGCACACAGGGGGTGTGCAGAGAAGATGTCGCTCTACGACTGCCTAGCTGCCATGCCTTGTAGACACATACCCGTGTGTGCGTGCCTATACGACCTGCATGCCTGCTTACTTGTCTTGACTTTTCTTTCCTCTCGGCAACGCACGGACTACGTAGTTATGGCCTGACCTGTAGGTCAGTGCATGATGGGGCAGACTATTCTTGGGCTACCAGGTATTTCTGACTTTCTTTCTCATGGCTCCTCGAGCCTATTGTCCACCACAAGGTGGCTTGTCCTTTGCTCGGCCGGCGGTGCAATTCATGGCGTTCATGCAGCGGCGTGGCGTCTTGGTTTCCTCCATTCATTCTCGGGTTATCAGTGCGAAACGAAATGTAGATCCCAGTAGATGCAGGACCAGCGCTGATCTCGGCCGCGGACTGCAGCCAATGGTTCATTTCCTAATGGTCAATCATCGGCGTGTCACGAGCTGAGTGACGGCGATGCATCAAAGCTGCCCATCCCCCTTCCCCTTCGTCCCCCGTCCTTCTTTCTTTCATCCACAACGGAAGCAGATGCGAGACACTCATTCTCCCTATTTCTTGTGTCATTGAGCTCTTGGTTCTGCTGTGTGATCACAAACCCCTTTCCAAAACGGTATCACCACACTCGTCGCCCTCGCTTGCTCGCCGATTAATTTTTACCAAGGTTCCTAAACATGCGGTACTCCATGATCGTCGTTGCAGCCTCGCTCGCCTCCAGTGTTCTTGGCGTTCCGAGGTTGCTCGCCAAGAGAGCAACCTGTGGCCAAGGCATTGGTGGTTGCGCTCCAGGTCAATGCTGCTCAGAGGGCGGCTACTGTGGTACGGCCACGGACTACTGCAAGAGCCCAGCCTGTCAGATTCCCTACAGCGATGGCAATTGCGACGCCGAGTGAGTCTGAACACACCAGATTACCTGGCTCAGGGGGCTCATATTGGGTCGCGCTGCTGACCATGGCTCTAGTGAGAAGCCTTGCGGTGCCTCAACTGAGGACTACCCGCGCATCAAGGCGGGATCAGCGCCTTATGGTATCTCATTCCAATACCATGAGCACTTTTCAATTTCAGGAGCACTTGAGCTGACCGCATTAGACACCATTATCAAGTCGTGCACAGAACCCAACGTCGTGGCTCTCACCTTTGACGACGGGCCCTACCTATTCACAACCAGCCTCCTCGACACGCTGCGCGAGCAGAATGTCAAGGCCACATTCTTCATCAACGGCAACAACAACGGCAAGGGCCGCATTGACGACCCAGCCAACCCGTGGGCCGCCATGATTCGGCGCATCTATGCAGAGGGCCACCAGATCGCCTCGCACACATGGTCACACCAGGATCTCGTCCTGGCCGACAGCGATCGCCGCACAAAGGAGATCATCTACAATGAAATGGCTCTCCGCAACATCCTCGGTTTCTTCCCTACCTACATGCGCCCGCCCGGTGGCAGCTGCACGCGCGCCTCTGGGAGTCTGGACCGTCTAACGGAACTGGGCTACCACGTGGTCAACTGGGACCTCGACACAAAGGACTACCTGAACGACAACCCTGCCGCCATCCAAAAAAGCAAGGAAATCTTTGACCAAGGCTTCAACGGCACTGCGTCGCGTATTGTGCTCACGCATGACACCCATGAGCAGACGGTCGTCGCGTTGGCCGCGTACATGATCAGCGCCGTCAAGGCCAAGGGCTTCAAGCTCGTGACCGTCGGCGAGTGCCTGGGTGACGACGAGGCCAACTGGTACACACAAGCGTCTGCCAGTGAGTGTCGCCTGTATTCTTGACAGTGCCTGTGAACATGGAGCGGCTGACTTTTGGTTTGAAGGCTCCGAGTGCTCCATTGCGGGAGAGGGTCCGGAGACACCCCCAGGTGACAATGGTGACAATGGCGACAACGACGACGACGACGGCGACCTAGTGCCCTCCAAGGATGGCACTTGCGGAGAGCGTAGCCAGGGCAATTATACTTGCAAGGGCTCCGACTACGGTGACTGCTGTTCCTACAATGGTTTTTGGTGAGATACACCCCTCACTCGCGCTGCGAGACGCGCACGGGTAGTCACGAATGCTCATATCCACGCAGCGGCGGGACGTCTGGATACTGTGACGGCGGCTGCCAGTCTGACTTTGGCAGCTGCAACAAACTTGAGTGCGGCGACGACCTCATCGTCTCGGAGAACGGCCTCTGTGGCGGCGACACCTTTCAAACCTGCTTGGGATCGGTATATGGCAACTGCTGCTCCGAGCATGGCTACTGGTATGTGAAAATTTGTCCTGACACTTCTCGTCGTGTATTGACTTGCTATAAGTGGCGAAACCGAGGTCTACTGTGCTTCCGACAATGGCTGTCAGGTGGAGTGGGGTCAATGTTCCTGAGAGGCGATGATGGGATCTACTCACACATGCCCCGATGGGGTCGTGAGAGGTCATATGAGTCTGCTTACTGTTCCTATAGATCACAATTTCCCACACCATGTCCGGCTTCAGCCCTGAACACTCTTGTCTGGCTCCCAAGAGCGACCTACACAACCCGTATTGATCCTCCTTGTCTACCATAGACCTCTGCTACCAACCTGCAAGATGGCAGGTGATTGTACCACTAGGGCGCTGCGTACTAGAATTCGAGTCAATGTCCCTCGTATCGAACGTTCCCAGGCTCCTAGCCTTTCAATTGCGCGATTTGTCTCTCCTTCTCCCCCTTCTCAGCCCTTTCGCGTCTCTTCCCATACCACCGGCCAATTTTGCCCCTGTAGCGCCATAGCGTCCACAGCCACGCTGTCGTGAACGTGATGGGGATGGCAAAGGCCCAGTAGATCCAGAACTGCCCCGACATCATCCATTCGTCGCCCTCATAGGAAAAAAAGGTGGTCGAGAATATGGCCGCCACAAACGTGGCGGGCAGGAACAGGAGCGTCACAAAGGCTACCATTTTCATGGCGTCGCTGTCCGCCTTGGTGACCTTGTGGAACTCGAGCTGGATCTGGTTGGTCAGCCGTTCCTTGTTGGCCGTCGCCCGGCCCAGGGTTGATTCGAAGAAGCTCTCGTAGAACCGGAGCCTTTCTTCGTTGTAGTAAAACGCAACGCGCCTGTCCGTGTCTGCGTTCTTCCCATCTGCCGGGGCCTGCGCGTGAGCTTGGGCGAATCGAGCACCAAGTGTCTCATGGCTGCTCATGATATTGTGTATCGTTTTGATCGACGTTTGCAAGGTCTCCATGCCGTGTGTCGCATGACGAAGAATATCATGGAGCGTGTCAAAATATGTGACAGAGGTGTTGAGACCCTCGCCCATGTCCTTCCTCTTCTCGGCATCCCGTGTTAGACCCCTGATCTGCCAGACGGAGGTGTCTTGTACAGAGATGAGATCTTCAAAGACTTGTCCATAGACCCAGAATGGGTCCTTGAGATGGCTCTTGTCTTTGGGCACGTTGATGAGCAACTTGGCCGCGATCTTCTCGCTGACTTGCGGTCTGGGGTCAAAGAGAACAATCTTGGTGGCGCCAGATGACTGCCAGTCAACAAGTATATTGATCTTATACCAATAGTACTCGTGTACAGCGTCTTGTACCTTGACCTGCAGACGAAGCCAGGAAACTGAAGCCAATGTTAGCACAGGTGACCCTGTTGTCGCGTTGTCATTTGCGCTGACCTACAGATGAGCCGCCCTCGCTTTCGATGCCACGACTCTCACAGCCAAAGTAGCCACTGGCATTCTTGTTATGCTCTGACCACCAGAACTGGGGCATGTTGTATCTTTCCGTGAGCGCCGTCTGGCATCGGCAATTTGAAAGATGACAGCGGCCCCATTTGTTGCTCATGGACAAGTCCGTCCGTGCTTGTGCTGCTTTGACTATACTTTTTCATTCTAAGCATGTTGTCTTGTGGCACCAAGGGGGAAAGGAGACATACACCAAGCTGACCGTCTCCTTTTCAATCACCTCCCACACGGGTTGTAGGCAGGCTTCCTGGTTTTGTGGCTTGCGGATATCGACATCTATATGCTCTTTCCAGCCAGGTCCATCTCCTAAATTCGCATCAGTCATCTGCGCGCGTGACATTGACTAGGGTAGCACACCTTCGCTCCAGGTATAGAAAGGTTTGTACACGCAGGTGTTGCCCTCCGCCAACTCGGTCTTGTGGTTCTGTGCCATGTTTGGCAGCTCGACAACCGTAGCAATTGACATTTGTACTTGGTACAGGGATACAAAAAGAAGAGGCCCAAAATCTGAAGGGGACTATGAAGAGGAAATCGTTCAACGCCATCTCCAGTCCCCGATAAATTCATTCAAAACCTCACAGTCCAAGATCGAGGCTGCGCCTTGCTGGCAACCACATGTGCACTTTGCTTCTCCTCAGCCCCGCCTATAAGCGCTGCCCTCAACCCCCAGCGGCTCGCTCGAGGCTCAAAGTGCAGATGCCCAACCATCGACTCGAGCCCCATCCTCGCCAGGACATATCGCTCCTCAGAAGACTCTAACACCTCACAATGGTCGATGCATTGCATATTTTCTGCACATTCGGATGCCTCTCGTGGACTGCGGTGGCTCTGGGGAGCAGGTATCCGTGCACTTTTGGGGGTTTCGTCCCAGGCACCGGTCGGTTGTCGCTCATGCAGCCGCTGATTGGCGTGTAGATGAAACCTGGGATCTCCTGGGCGGTTGGTGCGATCAGTCCATTGAATGGTGGAGTCGCAAGTGTTGGGCAGGACTGCCCTGCAGAGGCTCGAGTCCCAAGCTCTTTGTGTTGTCCGACATCGAACAAAGATCCGGACGCCAGACCATTGGCGTCGACGCAAGCCCAACTCGTCGGCTTTTGGAGTGCATGTTCGACAGATGCTGGTTAGAGCGTGTGTGTATATATTACGTATACACACATATGTCCGAAACTGCGGCTTATCGTCGCGCCCGGCTCGAGCAGCTCGAGCCTGGACACCGCCACCATGAAGGCAGATTGTGCTGGTGATGACTTGATTGCCCACCGTGACTGTGCGTTCAGCTGAGCCCCTCGCCGCTCCAGCCCTGAGCGTCCCTGGTCCGCGTCATCATGTGTCCAGAAGCACTGGCATTCGGCAGGGCTGATTCGTGAGTCGACACATGTGTTACGGAGTAGCAATCGCACATTCGAAGCCCATGGGGCTGTCTTTTCGTAGGTCAGGCTTTCGTAGGTCAGGTACGAAGGAGCGACTGTTGGTCAAAAGAAGGTAGAAAGAAAAGTATGTGGTAGTTCGAGTGAATTCTGTGACAACGCGTTAGCATTTACACTACTTGGCTCGGTCACACCACCAGTCAATCTGAGGAACGCGAGCAAACTTCACTATTGGTTGCAACGCATGGGCTCTTTGCAAAACGGCAGTCAGTGGGCAGTAAGCCCAAGCAGTGAAGAGAAATCTAGAAACGTGCCGTTGCACTATGAACAATCTCTCAGTCAGTATGAGCCAGGACCTCCCCACCTGATTCGTGACACAGAACCCCTATAACAAGACAAAGAAAGCAGTGCTAGCAGAAGATACACGCCTTCAAATCCATACCATGCCTGAACAAGAGTGAAAAAGCAAAAAAAAACCGAAGAGACAGTATAGCCATCCCCTGTAACGCCAAAGCAAAGTCCTCCGTAATCATTACCATCCGTTCGAGCAAAGTCGAAACAACAAATAGGGAATCCCTCTTCTGTAGCCTTGCTAGTAGCCCCTAGGCGAGCGTCGATGCCCTATTCATCAATTACCAGTTCCTCACTATCAGAAGTGAACGCATCCTCGGGCGAAGTGGGCATTGACAAAGGCAGGTGAGCGGGTGGCGCTCGTGGCTTGTGGCCATCCTACAGCACCTGCGAGGCCAGCAAGCGCTGCTCCACCACGTCGTCCATCGGCAAGCCATCCATGCGCGGGCCTTCTATTTGATGCATGCGTTGTTCCAGATTCTGGAAGCGCGGCTCGTAGCCTCCAGAGCGCGCCTCGAGGTGCTCCATGCGCTTCTCAATCATGTCCAGTCGCTGCTCGATCCGGCCCAGCCCATTCATCATGTCGTGGCTCAGGCGGTCAATCTTGTTTGTGAAGGAGCGGATGAACGTCGCGGTGGGCGCACTCTCTGTGGTCTGGGGCCCGTTGGGTTGGCGAGGCTCGTGGTTGTGACGGGCCTCTTGCAGCGCAAAACGCCATTGGTTACCGAGCTGCACCTCGCATACCGCTTTCGCGCGGAAAGGACAGTCGATCTTGCGTGTCGAGGGGTTGCGCTTCTTAGCCGTGCTGTTGTACTTGACGCCGCCGCGATCGCAGACGAGGTCGTATCGGGTAGGCTTGCCGTCGCGATAGTTGGAGGCGCGCAGCTTGACGATGCCGTAGCCCTGGTCCTTGGCGGCGTGCTGGACGGACGCCATGAGGTCTTCAAAGGTGCGGAAGATGCCTTCGGACGGGGGCGCGAGGGCGGCCGGCGGCGTGCCGGACATCTGGACTGGGTAAGACGTGCTGGCGGGTCTTCAAGGCTGGCCGCCTTGGATGGCACGACGGGGAAAAAGGGTTTGGTCGTTTCCGGGTGGGAAACCAGAAAGCCTGGCCTGCGAAACAGAGGCGAGGCCCTGTGGCGCTGCGGAAGTGTGCAGGAGCCCTGATAAAGGAAGCAAAATGGGAAGATTCGGGCTGGAGAGCAGACCGGGCTGCACGCGTTGGCAGTCGCGATGCGGCGGCAGGTGAATGGATCCGGTGAGGCTGGGCTGTGAGAGTTTTTCCAATCCGCACTGTTGAAGGAGTCAAGGATGCTCGTTTTGCTCGCGCTGGCACGAGCACGCTCACAGTGAAGGAAGGTAGCGCTCTTGATTGGTCAATACGTCATCAAATATGGGTCACCGGGTCCGGTCGACGCTGCCCAGCTGCAGACTGTATCGTCGCTGTGCAGCTACCGTAAACGTGAGCTAATGCGATGAAGCTCAGGCCTCTATCAAGGGGTAGAGTATGACGGTTGCTGCGAGGTCAAGTCAATAGATACTGAGCCAGAACGGCGAGCTGCATCAACATTGTGAAAGGACCCCCTGTGACCATTTAGCATGGTTGTTAAGGCATGACCAGCAGGGTACCTGATTGTCAAGAGCCTGTTGCGCCACGTGACATACTGTGTCCTGCAATCGCCAGGTGAGCGAGCCTCTGAAGTTGGAGACTCGAATAATCGGCCGTCTAATTCATCCCTGTTCACACCCAGTCACTGTCAGTATGTGTGAGACAGCAAATTGCTGAGAGGACTATGTGACCTTTTTGTTTGTGCGCAGACTCATTGAGCGCAAACACTTTGCACTGAATCCAAGAAATCGCACGCGCACGTACCCTGCCCGGCACTGACTTCTGGCCATCCTGATTCCTGTGGCGCTCTTGCAGCATTGCCCATCAACATTCATCATCCTACCATGAGGCAACAAGGGAATGGTACTCAGAATGGAGCGACTAGCGGTGGTTCCGAGTCTTGGGAAGAACCTCGTTTATTGGAAGGCATGCAACAGCTCAACATTCTTCATGCCAAGGTACACATGTCCCGTTATGAACTTGATACGATGACTGACCAGGTGTTCGTTCAAACAGGTCCGGGATATGCGGGAGACGATTCCAAAGATGCTGGAGCCACTGATGCATCAATACTCAACACGTAGGTCTACGCATTCTCATTCCGCGACAGCCTCAAGATTGACCTGTGACCACAGCGGAGGCCGCCTACCAAGCATTCATCAAGGCGGTCCAAGAGGCCCAGGCCGATCTTTCTGACTTTACGGGGCTCATGCGTCATGAGGACAGCAAGGCCGCGCTGGCCAAGGCGAAAGAAAGCCGTGAGCAAGATCCTGAAGGCATCAAGCAATGGGACTACACTGAACATCCAGATTGGTTCGACGGCAAGAAGACATGAAGACAGGGGCACTTGAAGGTTTTGATCGGACGGCACGGAAGGGCGCAACTGGTTATGGAGATTGGTTTCACGCATCTATTTGCATGCGATAGCACAGATACCCAACCCTTGGTTCGTTTCGCATCTACCGGTTCTTTGACTCTGCGTAGCTGTTTCGCTTAGTGAACACGATTCAGTAGCGTAGCGCAACATGCAATGCTCGGCCGGTCTCTTCAGTATGACAGCCAGGGTACCGAGTTACTGTCATATGGAATTGGTTTGACAAGAGAAATGGACATGAGGCTGCGCACTAAGTACTGCCCCGCCACCTTCACCGAGCTCTGACCGAGATCAGGGTCGGTCGTGTCACGTGCAGAGCAAGTCGGCCCCTCCCACGCCCTGTCATTCGCCAGATCCAGAGGGCAGCCCCAAATTCCGCCCACACAAGATTTTGCACCAAATCCTCGAAAACCCTCGTTCCCTTCTCGCGTGAAATCTCCCTTTGATTGCATTTGTCGTTCAACAGTCGCCAACCACACAACACCGACACGATGCCTTCCCTCCGCGTTACCTACCGCCGCCGCAACGGGTGAGTTTTACCGAACCGACACGATTTCCGACACTGGCGACCATTTCGCAATTGTTGCTGGTGGAGGGAATGGATGAGTTGGGGAAAGATGGAACATTTGGGCTGACTTGTGCTCGCACAGCTACAACACCCGGTCCAACAAGACCCGTGTCATCAAGACCCCCGGCGGCGACATCCGTCTGCTTCACATCAAGAAGCGCGGTACCGTCCCCAAGTGCGGTGACTGCGGCAACAAGCTCTCTGGTGTAAGTTGCCTCGACACGAACGAAGCCGGCATTCGACATGGATGAGGGCGAGGGCGCTATGATAATATGGAGCGGGATAGACACGAAGCACCTAGCGCCCTCCTCGCTCCGACCGTCGCCGCTTCGCAACGGTGCCTTCCTGGATCGCAATGCTGACCGTCACCACACAGATCCCCGCTCTCCGCCCCCGCGAGTACTCCCAGATCTCCAAGCCCAAGAAGACCGTCCAGCGTGCCTACGGTGGCTCGAGGTGCGGCAACTGCGTCCGTGACCGCATCGTTCGCGCTTTCTTGATCGAGGAGCAGAAGATTGTCAAGAAGGTCTTGAAGGAGCAGGAGGCTTCGCAGAAGAAGAAATAAATGATGACTACCGATTACATTGCCTACAACAGCGACTACACAACCCACACGGCAAATGTCTTATTTCGTCTCACGTTGATGATCCAAAACTGCGAAGGGAGGGGGAAGGAAGGACGGTAGAATCGAACTCTCAACGGATGGGACTTTTTTTTCTACGGGGTGAAGGTGTCTTCAGGTTTCATTGTGCTTCGGTGTTCACAGGGACAAAAGGGACTGCATGATACATCAGCCAGCCTGGATGGGATGGCGGACTTGCGCAATCTTTAGGGCTGCTACCACTTGGTGATTGGAATGAAAACAAACATCCAAGTTCCATGGGCCGTTCGTCTGATGGCGAGCAGCGTGAACCTTGCCATGTGACGATAAAGCAAATAACATGGACGCCATTTGTTAATGGAAAGTCAACCTTCGGCCCATTATTGACGGATTTTGAAGCGAGGTAGTCCTGGTATCTGAAGTTTATTAGGCGTACTGGCGTGATATGACCGCTACCAAGGCAATTGCGACCGTGATGACGTGCAACTTTCGAAATTTATCATAGACCGACTTCCCTACCCAACGATCTACCGCCACTTGCGACTCTCTGCAAACCGCCCTCCCCCAGCATGCACCACTGTCCATTATAACACCCATCTAAACCACACAATGCGCAGCCAAATACAACGTCAAGCTGCGCACGCACTGCGGTGCTCCAGACACATCCCCGCTGCACGCTTGCAGTCGTCGACAGCCCCCCTACAGCCCAGCCTACGATGCGCCGCTCTCCGCTCAATATCGACAACCGCGCGCCTCCGCACGGGCGAGGCGCCCCGGCCGGCCACAGACTTTGGCAGCCTTGACGTGCTGGGGAACACACCGGCGCCGTCCACGTCGGTGGACGTTTGCATGCACGACGGCTTCGGCCTGAACAGCAACGTCACCATCAGGGGAGGAGATGGTGCGCTACTGGTGTCGGGCGAGGCTTTCTCCTGGAGACCTTGGGCGGTACGCGGCGACGGTCAGATGACGATATTGAACAAGAAAGGGCAGGTCGAATTTTCGAAAGAAGCCTTTGGCGTCCTGGACCTGCTCTGGCCGCGGCCTGGTACGACACCCTCTCCTCGGCCATTTCTCCTGGCACGCATGCAAATGCAGTGGCTGACAGAAGCAACAGACCTCCTCATCATCGGCGTTGGCAAGGAGATTAGGCCGTTAAGCCCCGATACGAGCAAGATGCTGGCCTCGCTGGGTCTCCGGATAGACGTGATGGACACGAGGAACGCGGCGGCTCAGTTCAACATGCTAGCTACTGAGAGAGGTGTTTCTGATGTTGCTGCTGCGCTGATTCCCATGGGCTGGAAGGAGGGTGTGGGAGCTGCCCTGCCCGAGGACCATGCCAAGGAGCAGGATTAGGCGTGGTCAGGGGTGACTGTGTATGGTTCTGTATACTACGGTAGTGCAGTGTGTACTACTCAGGAGAAACAAGATGTTCGGATCGCCCTTTTGACTCTGATCAAGCCGTTTCTTTATCCATTGGAAATAACTCCATTGATCGCGCGCAAACATTAGCAACTTCTGTGGACGTCGTAGTTGCACCACGATCCAAAAACACAATTTGGCGGACCTGTCATTGAATAATATCAGTACCAAACCCGCGCTGAGAAATGTTTAAGCAATCGCATTCTCGCTTTCTTAGTGGCCCAGAATTGTGTCGCGTTCGAGTCATCATTTGTATATAGGGTAGTCAATAACAGTGATGCGCTCTTCCAATGATAGCATCAGGTGGCTGCATGATGACGAGCGATTCGTCGAGGCTCGACAAGCTTTTGGAATGATTTAGTATTCAGAAGGCCCTTTCACTAACCCAACCCAATGCCAACATCCGCAAAGCCAATTTGCACGTTGATTCCATTGTCGACGAACGGATTTATTGACTGATTCCCCGTGCTGCACGGTACTGGCAGACTGTGCGCCGTACATTCGCGTGCTTGAGCTTCTTCTGGCTGGCGATCCGGTCGGTCGGTCGGCCCCAGCGCAGGGTTTGACACCCTGCTGACTCCCATCATTCAACGCAACGGGGACTACTGTTACTCTATTACGATCGCCGCTCATTCTTCTATTCTTCGAGATACCCAATCTGTCTAGTCGCTTGCCTGCTTTCGTTCATTGATACCCAAAACATCCAATTGCCGTCATCCACTCTTTCGACTACCCTCAGTCTCACATCTCAGGCTCACCAGTCCTCCCATTACAAACAACAAGACGGATTGCTGCCATCTCGTCTCTCATGGATCCTCACGTCTTTGATCCTCACTTCACTGACCCAGATCTTCTCAAGAACCACTCCGAGTTCAGATCCTTCACCACCAGCCAGCACACATACCCCAAGATAAGAGTCTTTTACCGGCAACACGCGAAAGCAGAGGAACTCTACCGCTCCAATGGTCCCCTACCACTTCTCGTGCTTATCCCCGGCCTGGGAGGCTCGGTGGCCCAGTTTCACCCGTTGTTGACCAGCCTCGTGGACCTGGCACCGTGCCTGGCCATTGACTATCCTGGCTGTGGGCGCTCTGAGTTTGCCCCGACGGCATGGGACGCCTATACATCCGAAGCGCTGGGGGAGCTTCTGGAGGTCATTATTGACGAGTATCGCGATAAAGAGGCCGAACAGACTGTTGTGCTTGTCGGGCACAGCATGGGCACGTCCTATGCTGCGTGGCTGGCCAACCCAAAAGTCGCGCACAAGACCGAGGTCGCTGACTTTGTGGTCGGCCTTGTTGGTATCTGCCCGGTGCCCGGACCGCTTGACGAGGACAAGGCTCTGTGGGCACGGCGGTTGATGTGGCTTCCCGGATGGCTGATGGATCTCCTTCGCGCGTGGGACGGCATGGGCGGGCTGCAGAGCCCCAGTGTCACCCGCTTCGTGGGCGAAGAAGCAGACAACGAGCTGCGGCAGCTTCAGTGGCGGTTCAACAAACAAAGCCGCACTCCCGTGTGGAGGCGCATGTTCTACGGCTACCAGCCAGAGTACCGGGACGGAAAGCCAGTCAATAGTCTCGCCGGGCTGGACACATGGGCAGGTGTCAGATGCCCTGTTTACCTCATTGCCGGCGAGGCAGACCACATTGTGCCCGCGGCGGATATGCAGAACATTGCCAAGGCCCTCAAGGGGCACCCGTCACAATCCCCAACGGCTGGTGAGACCCTCGCGCCCGCGGCGGCAGCACCCGTAGATCTGGCTTTAGGCGTCGACGGCCATGGAGTTCATGTCCCCCAGACAATCGGCGACATTCGCGAGGAGGACTTTCACAAGGCCACACGAAACCCAGAATCCGACAGCAGCCAGGATGATCCCTATGACGATCCCTCCACGCCCCAGGAGTATCTAGCCGACGTCCCAGCGCAGTCGCGGCATCCACGCAAGTTCGTGCTGTCCACCGTCCTGCCAGCACCCGCCAACCACACCTGCCTATACATGCCAAGCCACTCACGTGTGATCGCAGGCCTCATTTCCGACTTTCTCGCCTGCCGGGTGACCGGTCGCCTGTCGCTGGCGTGGCAGCTCCAGTACCTCTCGCGGGAGGGCAAGTGGGACGTCAAGAACCTCAACAAGTGGAAGTCGGTGCAGCCCGTGTCGGAGCCCATTGGGCCCCCCGGCGGCCGCCCGGCCCTCTTCCGGGCGCTCAAAACGCTCCGCGAGGCCGACGAGGTGCACACGCCGCACAAATTCACGGGCACCTGGCCCGGCCAGATCACCGACGTGGTCGACATCTCCAAGGACCAGCCCGTCTACGACCCGCGGGGCCTGGAGCGCGGGGGCATCCAGTACCACAAGTTCCCGACCGTGTCCAAGGTCCCGCCGCAGCCCGAGGAGATTGACGCCTTTATCAAGCTGATTGACGGCATACGCGCGCGGCGCGCGGAAGAGGGCGCGACGGGGCTCATTGGGGTCCACTGTCATTACGGCTTCAACAGGACGGGGTACTTTATCGTGTGCTACTTGGTGGAGAGGTGCGGGATGACGGTCCATGAGAGCATAGAGACGTTTGCAAGGGCGCGACCTAACGGGATCAGACACTCGCACTTTCTGGACAGGCTGTACGTGCGGTACAATGTGGACGGCGCTGGGACGGGGCAACAATGAATTCACCGACTGGGAAACAAAAGGCGTTTATGTCAAAGCGTGGGAATGGGCTTGGGAGGCGTTTGGGGAATGGGACCATGATTGCTTTCAAGAAGAGCCCCCTTTTTATTCTTTTAGACACTTTTGCAACAGGCCACAGAGGCGTGCCAACATGATTCGATTCGTTGTTTACATTCGCCGCGCTGCTGCAAGTCTTGGTGTGTATATATCTGTATGCTATACGCTATTCTGGATGCAACCCCCCGTCCGTCAAACGCCGCGTAAACGATGCTTACAAGTCTTTACATGAAATAGTCATGCACCATGGACTCCACGTCCATGCTGCCCAAATCCATCTTCTCCTTGAGCTCCGCGGTGATGGCCTCGACGTCCACATCGAGGTACTCCCGCAAAAAGGTGCCGACATCCGTGTTCTCAATGTTGCCCCTGATCGCCTCGGTCCCAGGCCCACCAGAGGAGTAGACGTTGACGTCCACGGCGGTGTGACCGTGCGTACTCCAGCCGACATGGGCACGAAGGGAGATCATGGCCGAGAGAACGGTCAGTGCACCGGCTGGGTCCGCAGCGAGCACGTCGAGCTCCTCGTCGGATGAGTCGGTGATGCCGAGCCCCTTGACGATGATTTCGTTCTCGATCCAGTCCTTGAGCTTATCCTTGGACATGGCTGTGCCAAGGACATGCTGCTGCAGCTTGATGGCGAGGTGCTCACAGGACGCGGTAGCTTGCGCGAGCGCCTTGGGGTACCAGCCGTACACAGGCAGATGCCCAGGCTCCTGAAGCGCGGTGGCCAAACCACCCGTCTCGTGATCGCTGGTGGCGACCAGGACGGTCTCGGTGTCCGATCGCTCGATAAAGTCGAGAACGGCCTTGAAGGCGCGGTCGTACTCAATCACTTCGTGCACCTGCGCGGCAGGGTCGTTGATGTGGCCGGCGTGGTCGATGCGACTACCCTCGATCATGAGGAAGAAGCCCATGTCGGAGTCCTTGGTGGCTAGCTCGAGAGACCGCAGAGCCGTCTCGGTCATCTCGCTCAGCGAGGGGTAGACGTCGTTCATGCTGCGGCGGTCCAGCTCAAAGGGAATGTCCGCCCCCGCAAAGAGACCCATAAAGGGCAGGTTGACCTTGTCGCCGCCCTCGAGCTTGTCGAAAGCGGAGCGCGAGTCGGCGTAGGTCCAGTTGTACTTGTCCTGGGCCATCTTGGCCACGTCAACGTCGTCCATGCGGCAGCTACCCTCGGTCGTGTTGGGCAGGAAGTGGCAGCGGCCACCACCTAGCATGAGGTCGACGGTGCGCCCGAGGACGCCGTCTCCGACCTCTTGTAGGGCAATGTCGTCCTCCAAGGCGCGGAACAAGACGTGGCTGGCGAAGCAGGCGGGTGTTGCGTCGGTGATGTCGGTGGTGACCGTCAGTCCGGTCATGTAGCCAGCGCGCTTGGCCGCCTCCAGGACACTGCCGCATGGCTGGTAGTCGGGCGTCACCGAGATGGCGCCGTTGTAGCTTTTCTTGCCGCAGGAGAAGGCCGTCGCGCCGGCCGCGCTGTCGGTGACGAGCGAGCTGCTCGAGAGCGTGCGGCTCGAGCCCCAAAAGTGCCTGTCGAGAACGAGCGTGTCGTTGATGGGCAGGCCGTCAACGTGCTGTCGGAAGCTCCTCGTCAACGAGAGAGAGGCAGGACCCATGCCGTCCGACACCATAAACACGAGATTGCGCTTGGGCGCGCCATTGCTGTTGTCGCGATCCCGGTTGCCGCGGTCGGTCTGTTGGCTGTGCTGCACCCAGACGGCAAGGACGATGACAGCCGCTGTGGCGATGAGGGCCCAAATGAAGAGCCCGATCTCTCTCGCCCGCGAGGATCGTCTGGAGGTCTTATCGTCGGAGGCACCCGTCTGAGGGGGGGGGTCCTCGCTGGAGAGGAGGGGATCGTTCTCGGAAGGCTGCTGTATCAATTAGATTGCATTCAGCCAAAGTCGAGAACTTGCATCTTACCATGATGCTGCTTGTGCGACAATTTGCGCCGAAACGAACGGTGGAAAGACTGGATCCGGTCAAGAAGGAGAGGAAAAGACAGGCTAGGCCAGGGCAGCACTGGGTAATTAGCTGCGGTTACGTATCGGGTACGGGCAGATGATGTTGACGATGATGATGCTTTTATGCACGCTCAGCATGGTCCTATTTGGGATCTGCACAAAATGTGCACGTGGCTGGCTGGTAGCCCCACATCGGCAGTCATTTGACGTTGAAGGGTGCCTGAAGCTTTTCCATCTTGACGGTAGTTTCACGTATCAGAAGACTGGAATTACCTTGACACGACGGAGGATTATTCGAACAGGCTCGTGGCTGCAGCCTGCACACGCTCTTCCACCATGTGACGCCGGCTTCACCAACCATCCGTCACAGCGCCATGGCTGGCATCCCCCACCAACCTCGCATACTTGGCCAGCGCGCCTCTCCTGACGTGCGGCTGCGGCTCCTTCCACGCACTCCTCCTCCTGGCCATCTCCTCCTCGCTGATGGCCACGTCGATGCGGTTCGCGACGGCGTCAATGGTGATCTCGTCGCCGTCCTCCACCAGCGCAATCGGCCCACCCGCAGCGGCCTCGGGCACGACGTGACCGACAATGAAGCCGTGTGACGCACCCGAGTACCGCCCATCCGTGACCAGCGCCACGTTGGACAGGCCGGCCCCCATGATGGCCGCCGACGCGCGCAGCTGCTCGGGCATGCCTGGGCCGCCCTTGGGTCCCTCGTAGCGGACGATGAGGACGAGATTCCCGGCGTCCCGCTTAATGTCGCCCCTCGACAGCGCCTCGTTGAGTGCGTGCTCCTTATGGAACACGCGTGCCTTGCCGGTGAAGGAGGTGCCCTCCTTGCCGGTGATCTTGGCGACGGCGCCGCCCGGGGCAAAGTTGCCCTTGAGGATGCGGATGTGGCCCGAGTCCTTGTAGGGGTTCTCGAGGGGACGGATGATCTGCTGTCCCGGGTCGAGGCTCGGCCAGTCCGCCACGTTCTCGGCCAGGGTCTTGCCGGTCACGGTGGGGATGTCGCCGTGCAGTATGCCCTTGTGGATCAGCATCTTGATGACCGAGGGCGTGCCGCCAATCTTGTAGAGATCCTCCATGTAGTACTGTCCGCTGGGCGCCAGGTTGGCGAGGTACGGTGTGGTGTCGGAGGCGTGGGCGACGTCGTCCAGCGTCAGCGGCACGTCGGCCGTGTTGGCCATGGCGAGAAAGTGCAGCACACCGTTGGTCGAACCGCCCAGGATCATGGTCAGCCTCAGCGCGTTCTCAAATGACTTTTTGGTCATGAGGTCGCGGGGGCGGATGTCCTTCTCCATGCAGATCTTGATGGCCGCGGCCACCTTCTCGCACTCTCTACGCTTCTCCGGCGACACTGCGGGGTACGAGGATGATCCTGGGAGGGACATGCCCATGGCTTCCTGGCGTGCGGGTCAGTCAGGGCTCAGAATTAGGGGACGGCGCTTCACGAGGCCTGGACGTACAATTGCCGTGGCCATGGTATTTGCCGTGTACATGCCACCGCAGGCGCCGGCGCCAGGGCAGGCATGCCTCTCAATGTCTTCCATCACATCGCTTGGTGTCCGGCCCTCCTTGCCAGCACCGGTCTTGGCGTGGAGCTTGTCGTATGCATAGGCGCCGCTGGCCTCGTAACATGTCGAGATGTTGATCTCCTTCTCCAGAAGCGAGGACTGACCTTTGCGGATCGTGCCGCCGTAGATCATGATAAAGGGACGGTTGTGGCGAGCGGCAGCCATGACGACGCCAGGCATGTTCTTGTCACAGCCGGGGATAGAAATGTTGGCGTCATGGGATTGGCCACAGGTGACGGACTCGATGGAGTCTGCGATGATCTCTCGGGTCTGGAGAGAGAAGCGCATGCCTGTTGTTCATTTTTTAGAAGACGTGTGGAAGAGGGGGCGTGAGGGGTGAGTACTTTCACTGCCCATGGTGATCGCGTCCGAGACACCGACAGTGTTGTACTGCCATGCAATCATCTTCTGACGCTCGACGGCGTCCTTGACAATCTTGCCAAACTCAAGAACTGCAGCTGTCAGATCGTTTCTCTCCTCCGGTATAGACCAAGCCAAGGTAGCTACTCACGATGGGTGCTGCTCCGCGTTAGTCACACGCTTGAGCTTGGCCAGAGGTAGTATACCTACTTGCAAGGATTTCCCTCCCACCAGACAGAGGCAATGCCGACCTGGGCGGCATTCTTCATCATGTCACGGTCCGGCACACCGGCAGCGTACAGCATGGCCTCGTGACTGTCAGCCAGGAGTCCCCAGTTCATGAGCTACTCACACCCTGTCGGGCGACAAAGGGTGACTGACCTGTGCTCCCGGGAATTCATGCCCGCGAGTAAGGTTCTGCGACCATCGGTTCAGGTGAGCGCCGGGGGGCATGCACTTGAACTGGATGTAGTCAGGCGACGACTTGGGGTCGTCCTGGGCCTCGGGGAGCTGGCGATCCTGAGAAGACATGGCTGCCGCAGCGTCAGTTCAAATTTCTCAAAGAGTAGAAAAGTGCTCAATGATGATCATTTGTTGATCGGACAGGAGACTGAATGTGCAAAGTGTAGCGTTCGAACCCGGAGGTGGCTGCGGGAGGGTGTCATCCGGGTTGGGTGCCGGGGCTGCGGGAGCGGCATCGGCCTGGGACTGGAGCCGGGGAAAGCTGCATAGGACAGTCAGTCACCCACCTGATCAATGCTTATTGCAAACACCACGACGTGGCAAGATTATGGAACAATGGACTGTCGATGAGCAGGGCTACAACAATGTCTGATTCGGCTTTAGCTCAGCTCATTGCTACGGAGGTGCTCCGTAGAATCCAGAGCCAGCTACCCCTCCCCCTCATCGCAACGGATCCCTCCACTCGCGATTCGGCTTCGTAGGAGCCCACGATGGAACCTCAGAGCAAAGTAACGGAGAGCAGGCAATCAGAAGTTCTCGTCGCACAAGGCGTATCACCTCGGCCAATGTCCAGTCCGACACTGTCCCATCTGCATGTGGTGACTGCTGTCAAATGCAATGACCACAGGCCAAACGGCCATTCGAATACCTGAGCCGTGATTGGTCAATAGCTGGCCTAGCCTGTTTGCTGTCTACATACGTAAGCTGCTTAAGCGCCTGACCGTAGACGGGTACGTATGCAAATATACATGACATGCGTATAGACGAATGCGCTTCGCCTTCACCCCAGGAGGGTCACCAGCGAGTCAAACACCCCTGACATTGCACGTCTCAGGCCTGCGTCGAACATGCACCGGCAGTTGCTAGATACGCCACGAACAGCCCAAGTTTCTGAACAACATTTCTATAGGTTTACGATTCATTACAAACACTACCTGCTATCCACCTGCTCCATTTGGCGCCATGATTGTGTCACATTTCCCGCTTGCCCAGGCCAGGCCCTCAACCCCAAGTTAGGCCGCCCCGAATCGCTTTAGACAGAAGATCAAAAAACACAAGTGGGGGGGAGGCATCAGCTGCAGTCCATCCGCCGGATCATGTCCCTGTCCCAGGCGCACCGCTCCGACATGGTGGAAAAGGTATCCCTCGCCTCACTGACGGGGCTCGCGTTGGGCGTCATCATCGGGCTCGCGCCCTGGTGGTGGGCGCTGCTCTTGGGGCAGCAGCGACCCGTCCGCCAGGCCGTCTCGAGGCTGGCGGGTGACGCGTTGGCGCCGTACTCGTGGGCAATGGCGGCCCAAAAGGTGTTCCTGTGCGCGGCGTAGATGGCGTGCAGACGCGTGAGGTCGACGTGCGACGCGGCGTGGGACGGCGCCGCCGTCACCGAGGGCAAGTTGGTATTGAGCTTGAAAAGGCTCTGGCTGCTGGACGACATGTTGGGGTGCTCAAAGGCCGGGAGCATGCGCTGCCCGGTCGGGTAGCCCATGAGGAGAGACGCGTCGTTGTTGCTGGTTGGCTTGGGCAGCAGCGACGGGAGCTTCTCCTGGTCCACGATGCTGGGGAGGCGGACGGACCCGGACGAGCTGGCGCTCGCGGGGCTCATCCTGGACACGGGCTCCGAGGAGCTCTCGCGCAAGAGGTGTGAGTAGTCGGTGTGCACCGACGAGGTAGACAGGTTGCGCTTCCGGCGGTTGGTCCCGTGGCAGATCTGGTGGTAGTGCAGCCGGCAGGCCAGCTCTGTCTTGTTGAGGTGGGCGGCAATGTGCTTATACGGCATCTTTTGACTGCGCGTCTGGAGCAGATACGACTCCTGCAAGCTTGTCAGTGAGGTGCTCTGCATTTTGGTTGGCCGTGCTGGGGATGGAATGGGCGGGCTAACCTCGCTATCGCTCCAGGCCCGACCGCCGCCCGTGGAGAGGGACTTGCGATGCTTGCCCGACGAGGGCCGGGTGCTGCCCATTGATGCCACGGGCGTGTACATGACTTGTGCAAGCTCGACGTGTGTTTGTGACATTGCGGCTGTTGACAACGACCGGCGTTGCGAGTTGTTTGGTATTAGGGAGTGCCAGTCCAGACAGACAAAGTACGTGAAACAGGGAAAAGGTGCTGTAACCGGCAATGCTCGTTCTTCTTTCTTGGGTATCAAGGCCGTGATGATGTCGTGAGTCCAAGGGGTGTGTATTAATGGTCGAGTATAGGAGGGAGCAGCCAGCTGCTGATGCGCACAACGAAAGACAGTCGTGGAAGAGGAAAAGCGAAAGGGGTATTAGTTTGATAGAAGACCAAGAACCAAAGGCAAACGAGGAAAAACAAAAGCGTTGCCAATGGCCATAGATATAAGTTTTGAAATCTCCTTCTCCGAAGGGTCTCCTCCACAGGGCCACAGACAGGGGCTTGTGTTGTGTGGACCTTTAGAAACGTGCGCGTCTCAACAAACGCCATCTAGACACACTTGCCTGCACGAGATGTCCAGGTGTGTCAAAGCGGCAGCCTGGAACAAACAAGTCCCGAGGCTGGGCAAAACAGAGAAAACGGAACGAGACGCCGGATGCGAGGTATCCGTGTCGGGGAATTGGGAGACCACTGGCATCAGCATGGACCCTAGAGCTTCTCTGCCTCACAATGGGCACGATGCTGTTTGAGATGGACAGTCGGACCCAGCATGCAGTTATATGCCAGGTCTTAATGGCCGGCCATGGTGCACGCGCTGGGCATTAACTCCGTCGCCTACTCACCAGGGGGGGGGCAGGACGCCTGGTTAATAGCATGGCAAGTTGGCGTCGCTGTGATTTCCTGCCCCAGATGTTACTATCTGGCAACTAAGGAGGACGGTGATTACGCACAGAAGGGACGAAGCTATACGATACACTTGACCGGGGTTGAGCCATAATTACTACTTGGCGATCAGAGTTGGAGAATGGTGATCGTGGGCGGTTTTAACCTCTGCGGGTCTACCTACCCCTGTTCCACGGCCAGTTTCGCTGTTCCCACTCACTGTGACTCGACGAGGTATACTCCGTACTGGGAGAGTGACACAGATCTGAGATACGACTGCATGCATATAGAGCCTCTTCATCCTAGCTGTCAAACAGGCGAGGCATATGCAGGAGGTGAGGTTTTGCGGCGGTGGGCAGGGGTTTACATGCAGGCACGTAGACTAGCTGCTAAACTGACGCAGAGCCCCTGCTTCTTAATGGCAGGGCCCAACCAGGGCTATAAGTGATGACTGATGGGGACTTGTTTGAACTCCACGGGATGGCACTGTACGTAAACACAAGCCCATCGACAGCCGGCGGCGCAAAAGAGCCAGCCTCGTCTCAAATCCAGGCTAGACTAACAAGTCATAACCCGCGCCTGTCCCCGTCGTAGACTAGAACTTGCCGTCGTATGAGTAACCCATAACGACCGGGGGCGGCAGCGTCTCAAGTCTCAACTACCCCTGAAACCCGCCAAGTCGGCGGTTCGATTTCATCTCGGTCTCAGCCACGTCAAAGAGTACGGGGAGCCGCCAGCCCCGGACACACTAGACTTGTAGACCGCAATGGGCCGTATCTTCTCGACTTTTGCATCGCAGAGCATTCTGTTCCTAGGGAGAGAAGGGGCGGCCGCGGGGTGGCGACGCATGAATGATGGCCAGAACATGTTCGTCGCTTCTTTCATGCAGCGTCCGGATCTGGCGCTACCCGCAACTCCGCCCGTCATGAAGAATCGGCTACCCGGTACTCCGTAATCCGGGAGGCTAGTGTTTGGCAGCTGGCTGGTCAGCGTCGGCCTACCCTATTCGTCGTGCTGGGCGCCTCGATGCACACAGGTTTGGAAACCATCAAGTTTGGGATTAGTTGATTCCAGCACTGTCCAGTCTTGCGGGCGAGTTGAGCAGAAGTTCGTTCAACACTACTTTCATCGCAATCTGGGCGCGGATCCTTTTATGTACATTCTAAGACACTGCTGTTTGGCCGACTGCGCACTTGCTTTGTCCACGTGCCGACGAGGCTTGGCGGAAATAGTCGCCAAATCGGGACTAGCTCGATTTCTCACTTCAAGCTTCAGGCCGCCATCCGAGCATCGGTCATCCTACGTACGTACATTCTCAGGGATCTCACTGCCACCACCTCACTCCCGTACGTCGTTCCATCCCCACGAATATGCCCAGCCCGTTGCTGCAACCGAATGGACCGGGTTTTGTTGCCCAAAACATCACTTGAGAAACACCGTCAATGAAGATCCGACAGCTCACAACGTGCCACACCTGCAGGGCACGCAAACTCGCCGTAGGTCCAACTCCACCGTCCATCGGGGATGTTCGCTCGCTTGGACACCTGCTAAAGGAATTGAAATCCAGTGCGACGGCAAGAAGCCCGCGTGTACGCAATGCGAGGTCCGCAAACGAGACTGCGCTGGTTATCAGCATGATCTCATCTTCCGACCGCCCCTAGTCGGCGGGCCCCCTGGACGTACCAGCACCGTCACCAAGGCCAGGTCCAATCCCAGCAAGAAGACACCATCCCCTCCGAAAGTAGCAGCAGCACAAATTGCTCGCTCGCGGGAGCCTGTTTCCCACCACCTAGCTGCGCCAGGGCCGATATCGAGATCGCTGAGCTGGCCGTTTCTGGACATCATCTCGCTCGTCGTGCAGAACTTTAGCCCCGACAGCGCCCCGGCATGCAAAGGGCTGATCTCGGCCGAGACCATCTGCGGCGCCTGGGTCCAGGTCATGCCCGATCTTGCGCGCTGTCCGGCTGCCGAGACGTATCTGCTCCCCGCCATCAAGGCACTCGGCGTCTCCATCGCGTCTCGCGGTGCCGCTGGGAGGGCGCCCGTTGGCCAGGCACTGGAGGCCCAGAGCGAGGCTGTGTGTGCTCTCAACCGTGGACTCGGCCAGATGCGCGCAGACGAGTTCGACGTGATCTTGGCATCCGTCATGTGTCTTCTCATCTCCGAGGTAGGAGAGCCAAAGTGCATGTATCCATCCCGTTGACGAGGCTGACCCTCTTTCAGATGGTGCTTCCAACGTCAGAATACGGTGCAATCATCCATCTCCGTGGTGCTCGCGATCTCTTATTTCATCAAGAGCCTGGTTATTACGTCCAAGGACTTCCTCACGCTTTGTACATTGGCTTCAGGCCTGCCTTGGTACACCTTCCAAAACTTGCCCCCCTCTGGGCATCCATCACTGACCGCCCCAGATGACCGCGGCGCTCCAGTTCAGACAGTACTTTGTCATCGCGGAGGAACCCTGGATCACCGTTCCGTTCACGGTCACCGGACCCACCCACATTCAGATGATCATGAACAGCGCATTTGGCCTTCCCTGCCTGTTGCGCCAGGTCGATGAGCTCACTCCCCAGGCAGCGCGCCAAGACGCATCAGCGGTCACCCGCATGCTCGAGCAGCTATCAGAGCACATTGGCCGCCTAGCCTCGCTCGAAGAAAAGGCTAGAAAGGACGAGGATGTCTCGGAGTGGCTCCGGATCACCAGCACACTGGACGTGTCCACGCCATTCGCATTCCCCAGCCTCACCGTCGCCAATCTCTTCGTCCTCATCTGGACGTTTCGTCTCCTTGCCCTGCAAGGCTTACGGCATCTTCTCGCCAAGGTGCCCTTGCTCCTGAGCAGTTTCGTGCTGCACAAAGCCCTTGCCGAGAGCAATGGCGGCGAAACGGACCGGCTTGCCACGTGGATCCTGAGGAGCATAGAGTATATTGTCTCTGAGCGCTTCCGACTCTTTGGCGCGGCGTCTGCTGCCATGCCCTTGCAGGCGGTCACCTCGTACTTCGCAGAGGGCGTGGGGCACGACGAGGAGCTGGGTTTCTGGTATGCGCGCGTGAGAGACTTCATCTGTGCACAAGGATTTGATGGCCTCAAGGTCATTGTTCGGCATGACAAATGACGAAATGGTAGCCTAGCTCTGATTACAAGCCCGCAATGATAGATCTCCGTACATAGATCACATGAAAGTATGGCAGTTGAGTCTCCACCCACACTAGTATGGACTTATCCGTGGATTCCGTACACGCACCAACCTCGCCCGGTGTTCCCACATCTCTCATCATCATCATCACAAGTCGCATCTGTCGACTTGATTTCTCCGCTCGCAAGCTTCAATTCCTTGCCTCTCTCCGTCTTCCGCAGACCAGCCCATCTCCCATTCACCATCTCGTGACGTAGCCGTCGCCCCCCCACCTGCAATGACGTTCCGCGAATTCCTCGCCCAGCTCCTCTTCCCATGGATGATCATGTCCATCTCCCTCTACTACGGCGTCGTCACCGTCGCCAAGCTCCTGCTCGCACTTGATCTGACCACCCTCACCAGCTGGGACAAGTTCAACGAGGCCTGGTTCGGCAACTTTTGGGTGTACATGGGGCCTGTGGCCAAGGAGGGCGCGCAGGCGTGGGTCATGCCTCTGCTCGAGGGCCGCGTCCGCGAGGGCGAAATCTGCCAGACCGTCCAGAATCCCGTCGAGGGGACGGTGCTCGAGATTGGTGCCGGTAGCGGCATGTGGATGGACGTCCTCGCCAAAGTCACCGCCTCCTCGGCCAGGGCGACAAAAGTCTACGGCGTCGAGCCGAATCCCGTCTCGGCCGCGGCCCTGCGACGGAGGATCGACGAGCTGGGGATGCAGGGTCGCTACGAGGTTCTGCCGTACGGCATCGAGGATCTACAGGCCAAGGCGGACATACAGCCCGGGAGCGTGGACTGCATCATGACGGTCCAGTGCCTGTGCAGCATCCCCGAGCCGGACAAGAACATACGCCTGCTGTATGAGTATCTCAAGCCCGGTGGCCGGTGGTACGTGTTCGAGCACGTCAAAGCGGAGGAGGGCCTCTTGATACCGGCGTACCAGCGTAAGGACATCCCCTCTTGAGTTGCATTACAAGTCCACTACACAGCAACCAAGGACCGCAGCTGACACGCGCAGGCTTCTCCAACTTCTTCTGGTCATTCTTCTTGGGATCTTGCACATTGTGTCGCTCCACACGCTCCTCTATCCTCAACGTGGGCAACTGGCGCGCCGTGGACCTCGAGAGACCCGTGGACGAAGGCCCCCTGTCCGTCGTCCCGCACACCATGGGCACGTTGCAGAAGGCGTGAGCCCACACGCAAAGCAAAGCAAAAGGATCAATGACGTAGGCGCTATTCAATTGAAATATGTACCGCTTGCGATATGTAGATGAATCATCGTCTCCCTCTCTCGGGCTCCGCAAACCGAATCCGCGTGTTCTGTGCAGCGCTGGCCCCTTCTTCATCACTGTCGTCCTCCGTTGTACCAAGGGCAGCCTGTCGCCGCCTCCTTTCGGCCGGTGTTTCCCCGTACTCGTCATCGTCTTCATCGTCCCCTTGCGAGGCGAGCACCGCGAGCCGCCTTCTCCTTTCCGCTGCCGTCTCAACATTGTCATCGGATGGCGTCACCTTATTCGCCATCGATGAGGAGGAGGAACCTCGCGGTTGCTCCTCGTCGCTAGGCTGATGTTCGAGAATCGGTGGAACGAGCGCCGGATCTTGTCTGGCCATGGCCTTGAGCTTGCGAGATGCGTTTGAATCCTCGACAACCTGCTTCCGTGTGCTAGCATCGAGCTTCTGTACCTCGCGAATGAAGTCTTCCTTGGTCATGCGTCGGCCCTCGCCACCAATTGTAAATCGGATCTTCTTGTCGTCGTCCATGGGATTGCCTGGCTCCTCAGCTGCAGGCGTCTTGCCCCTGCCTAAGAAGCTGGTCCACCCACGAGCGGCCGGCCGACCCTGTGCGGCTGTAGTGCTCTCGCCCGCATCAGCGTCTGTCGCAGCAGACGCCGGTTGCTGTCTCGAGGCTAAGCCACCGAGCCCAACATATTTAAGACTGGCATTGAGCCGGTCAGACTGCCCTTCGTCCTTCTCGGCGGGGATCTGGTAGGTCTTGACGACTTCGCCATCTTCATCCTCGACGATGATCTGTGGGGGTTAGTGATTGCACCACAACGCGCTCATGCCCCACATACCGTATTGCCGAATTGGTAGGCCCGTGCAGGCTCGTGGCGCCTGGCCGAAGCCTCCTTGCTCTTGCGCTTTTCCATTTCCGTGGTATAGAACGTGCTGACGTTTCGCCTGATGTTGCCTAGAGTCCATGGCCGGGATGGTGTCTGCGTTACCGGTGCAGGCAGCTCGTCGTCGTCGTGCTCCTGGTCTTCATCACGGCCGCTCGGCTGCACGTCAAGGACTTCGCCGTCTTGATCCTCAAACACCATCTCATGCCCTTCCTCATACACCTCAATTTGTCTAGGTCGCTGTCTGTGCTGAGAAGCTTCATGGCCGTCTTCAGGCATACGCGCACCCTGCTCCTTGAGCCTATCAATGGCCGTCACATCGCTGAAGTCATTGCCTCCCGTGCGTGTCTCGGCATCAGGTGACAGGGCTCTTTCGGGGCTCGCGGGGCTCATCATTCCCGAGCCTTCACGACTGGGGTAAATAGCAGATTGCGAGATGGGGCCACCCGCGTCGCTTTTCCTCGATTTTCGCCTTCTCGACGCCAAAGAAGATGCACGGCTCCCACGCCTTGAATCATCATCCTCTTTCCGACGTCGCAGAAAACCGCCAGGGGGCGCCAAAGTGTCGGCAGGGAACTCCGGCTCCTTCTCCATGGACCCTTCGGACATTTTGGCTTGTGAGCGAGAGGTTGAAGATATCCGAGGAAGACGGTTCATCCATGAGGGACCATCGTCCGGGGCGGCGGTATAGGACATCGTCAAAGACAGGGTATTGATGCGTTTGCCCAATGTAAAGACAGCGATCGAGGAACCGTGCACAATGATCGAAGTTATGACGATAAAAGTGACGATTGGCCATACAAGGTAGATCAGTTTGAACTCAGGGGCGGAAGAGTTCGGCAAAGCAGCCAGTGGCACTGGTTCGCCATGCTCCAACTCAGCTCGTGCGAGGATCGCGACGAAGATAGCCCCAACTCCAATGGGGCCAAAGTGTCCTGCGAAGAGTGCCTCTCTCCAGGTTCTGATGTCCGGTATGAATGGTTTCAACGCCAACATGACCGGTATCCGTCTGAAGAATATGACAAAGATGGCGATGACCACCAGGCGCCAGACGTACAGGCCCTCGACACCGCTGTTGTACTGCTCCCAGGGGATAATGGTGCCAAGGTACACAAAGTATGTCAAGTTGAGCAAAAGATCAATGACGTTGGACACGTGCGACTCCTCGGTCTTCTCCAGAAACCACCCGTCGTTGGAGAAGCCGACACCAGCTGCGAAACCCACCAACAAGTCGTCCAATCCAAGGATGCTGCCCGTGCCAGCGCAGAAGAGCGCCACGACAAAGTAGAAGACAAGAAAACTCTCGCGATCAATCATGTCGTGCCTTTCGGCGTATCTGATACCATGACGGGCAATGTAGCCAATGACGAAGCCATACACCGCGCCAAACACGCACTCGTACAAGATGACATATACAACGAAACGAAAGCTGACATCGGAAGCATTCCTGTTGAACTGAATCAAGTACAGAGAGAGGTACACAAACGGGAATGCCATGCCGTCGTTGCAGCCAGATTCGGCAGACAAAAGATCTCTCAAATGCTTGGGCACGCGCTTGGCGAACTTGCCCTTGCCAACAACGGAGGAAGCCAGTACTGGATCGGTGGCAGTGACGCAGGCCGCAACGACCAGACTGTCGAGCCAATTGAATGGGACTATCATCCACCAGATGAAGAGGCTGGTGATCAGCCAGCCAGAGGTCATGACTGGCACGAGCAGGTACACCACGGATCGCCAATGCTTCTCCATGTAGTACTTTGGCAACTCGACACCGACGGCGAAACATTGCACCACGAGAACGATTCGCGAGAATTCAATGGTCACGATGTCGGTGGATCCCCAGCTGTTGGGGTCGATAAGGTTGGCGCAATACGGGCCAAAGATGACACCAGCGAGGGTGGCCACGGTAGCCTCACCAATGTACATGCGCTCCTTGATGAAGGAGGAGCAAAGCATGAACAAGGTGGTGAATCCACCCAAAAGGGCGTAGACCAGGTGAGAGTCCGTGATGTTGAGGTGATGCCAAGCCATGATTGCGGGAGTACGTCGAGCGGCTGCGGGGGGAGGGGCCTCAGTCGAGGGCGGATTGCGGGGTGACGAGTCGTCCCGAAGGCATATATGAAGGTTATCTGTGAAGTAGAAGTCGAGAAAACGGAAGCGGACGGCTGTGCGTGTGTCGAATCGAGGATGGGCGTTGGTGACGAGGCGCGAGAACGAGCCTTGGACACCTCCGCAGTCGGCGCTACATATACGGATGAACAAGCCTTGGGGTAAAAGCAAGTAAGAATTTTCCTCTTTTTTTTTAAGGCGGCCAATTCATCGAGCTGCAGAAATGAGTGGCTGCAAAACGATACAGAATGCCCTCGTTCTTCTCGCGGCTGGACAAGTAGCGATCAAGCGAGTGGTGAAGATGGGAGAAATACTGAAAGTCCAGTCCGCCCCAGGAAGAAAAACATCACAGAAGGTTTCGGGCCACTCGTCATCGGGTGCAAAAGCGGCAAGCAGCGCTCGAGACTTCGTGCCTTCTCGCGCTGCCGGAAGTTGAAGACTGGGAGGGATGTGGGTGCGAGATGCCGTGTGAGCCGGGCATTTGTGGGGCTCTTCGAGAGCCGCTTTAACGTAGACGACGCTACTGGAGTTGAGGACGCTCAGTGGACAGACCGTGACAAGAAAGATAGAATTTCTGCTATGGTGTTTTCCTGTCCGTTCATCTGATGCAATGGCTACAGTTCCCATGTGCGAGAATACGAGACTCTGCCGCACGCCTCGTGTCGTACGTCGGTCACCAGTGACCATAATTTTGGGTTGCAAAATAAGGCTCACCCTATGGATAACTTTAAGCCTGATCTCCTCGGCTTCGACAATATTGCCCGATTGCCTGCACTGACGCCTCTTTCCACAACAGACGTTTCCTCGAAAGGCTTCAAGCGATAGCATGCGCTTTTCCGGGCCAAAAGCAGCGAGTCGCGAACCGGTGACACTGGCAAGATCGCACGGCCAGGGTGGGACTGGAGTTCTCGACATTGCCGGGTCATGGGCAATGTTTCCTCCCTCGCATTGCCCTCATCACACTTTCACGTCTGTCGAAAATATCAACACTGAGTCCAGAGCGACTCACATGTGATGTGTAAACGTCGTTTACACCCCGATGTTTCATGCGCTTCGGAACCGATTTTTCGACAGATCTTCTCCACATCGACATGGCTCACTGCCAAGGCTTCAGTCTCCCGTTGCGGAAAGCTGCCAAGCCAGGGTTTAGATCTCGCGCCAAGCTTCATGTTATTGTGCCTGTATAGCTAAATGAGCTCCAGAAAGATGCACATCAGATCGAGCTGATGGAACCGGCACATAGACACACTGGGCTCGGGTGCTCTGTGCGCAGCTTTCGGGTTGAAATTGATTGTCGCTTGTCGAGCAACGGAGAGAATCACGTGAAAAGGCTGAGGGATGATCAGCTTCAATATATCATCACATCGCCATGGCCATGTTGGAGTGTCGTATAAACTGAACAACCACTGTATTGTACGTGGAAGTGCTACAATAAAATCCTTTCACCATGTGAGATATCTGATCGTCACACAGGCTTATGGAGACGGGACTGGGGAGCTATAATGAGGCAATCAATGGTGGCACAGTAACTGAGCTTGCCTGTTGGCCGACTATGGTCTAGTAGCCTATGCTCCTGCAGCCGGGCTCACGAGAGACGGATGTTCTTTTTTTCTTTCTTTTTTGGACCCCGTCTGCTGTCGTTTAAGGTACATGTCTGCGCCTCCGAGAAGCGATTCAACAATGATCCATCAAGCCTTTTCATCTCTGATCAGATTTCTCTCGCATATGGTTGCCTGTACGAGTCACATTATTCAGGTACGGTCTCGCCCATGGCGCTCATTCACGTTGAGAGCGAGCCCTCCTCCATATCCATCGCTTCCAGCATGTCCGGTTCAGGGAGCATCACTGCATCGGGCGTAATGCCCGAGACAGACTGATGCTTGTCATGCCGGGCTCGGTGGTACTCTTCTGCAGCGGTCCACCGCTTTGTACTCGTGATCACCTATAATAAAAAAGTACAACATAGCCAGCAAGGAGCATGTCTTCAGCAATGGTCCAGCCTCAATCACGAACAGTGATGGGTACGTTTTTGACAATCTGATCACTTCTGACCGCATCTCTGTTGAGCACTGCGTCTTCACGGGACTCTGCTCAACCAGCTCACTGATGCCTTGGATAAACAGACGCGGCAAATTCCAAAACAACTTTCAAAAATATGCAAAGTATCCAAAGCGCTCAAGTGCAGATTCATAAGGTCATGATCACACAAAATTCATCAAGGCAGCTCCAAGCCCCAATGCGCCCATGATAACACAATCAACCGTGCCCATCAGTGCGCCATCATCATCATCCTCACCCTCGACGACTTCGTCCTCAAATTCGCCCTCCACATTTCCCCTAGGCCAATACTCACACGCAACGTACCAGCCAGTAATATCCGCCCCCTCGTCATCCTCAGTGCATAATTTCCGCCCGCAGCCCACACTGTCAGTGTCCTTCCAAACGAGTTGCGTAAAGTGACCGGTGGACTTGTCGAACTCTCCGTCTTCGAAATCGTATTCTTCTCGCTCGTCGCCCCAGGCTTCTACGGCTGCTGTGGCGTTGCTATAGCCGATGGCCAAGTTCTCTCCGTAAGGGCCGCCAGAATGCTCCATCTTGCACGAGCTGTCATCGAGATAGTCTTCTGCAAAGTCTTGCAACGTGTCGTTCCATGAGAGGGCGGACGCATTGTGCTGCGCCCGGTAGTGATTGGTGGAATTGAGGATTGCCGATGTGAATGTGTCAAAGTCCTTATATGATGGCTCGTCGGATGGGATTGACGGTGCCACTGTCACGACTGTCACATCTTCGTTGTCTGGTATGGTCAATCCGAGGGAGACCAGCGACAGGAAGAAGACGAGGTTCATGATGTTGACTTCAGGGGCTTGGCAAGCTAGTGTAGCTGGTGTCCGGGCGATTCGAGACGTTGTGCGGTAGCAATCCTCAATGGCACCACGCAGGCCACGGTGAACGAGCTTGAAAGATAAAAGTGGTAAGCTCTGGAACGTAAAGGCAAGAGCCCAAGATCAAGGCCTTTTCGACAGCAATCATGAGGCCATTCACGGCGGCACAAGACTTGGTTTCCTCGTCATTGCCAAGCGTCCCTTGCCAATGACGTCGTTGGCCAGGGTTGTCTCTGCAGACACGTGCGTCTTTTCCATGCCATGCTCAACTATGTCGTCAATCAATTGGGCTGTGAGACAGCCTTCTCCATGCCTGAATTCTCACCGTCAAGTGAATTATGTTTGAAATTAAGATATGGAGAGAGAGAGATGGAGCGCACATCCCGACAAGCTCGAGCGACTACGTCATATACGGAGCAATGGACCTACCCTGTAGACACAGAGCTGCCTCTCGAAAAAGACCTAATGGCTTGATATGCGTAATAATGTGGGAGATTAAAAAAAGCTTACAATTTGGTACGGAAAATTCGGCATCATTACGCGGCTGGTACTCTAGCCATTGTCTTTGGTGACGTGGTCAGTCTGTTATGGCAGCAAACGCCTTCCCGAGTTTTGATGCATGGCAAGCAACGTCATTCCAATCTGCTATTCTATTGCCATGGTACACCTAAACACTCAGGCTCTTCGCCCCATGACACCATTGAGGCGATTTGTGCCTGTTGGCGTTGGCAAAGGCGTTTGATGAGATTGGTAACCCAAGCCTCGACGTGTGCGTGGCGTCGGCGCACACACATCTCGTGAGCATTGTGCCGCAAACGGCGTCGTGGCTCTGCATAGCACCAATCTGAGTGACGGAGTGTGTTGAACTACGTAGCTGACTGCTCTGTCTTCCTTCAAGCTTCGATTACAATTTGCTGTACATACTTGGAAAGAATAGGATGAATGTTACTGATCGATTAGTTATCAGCTGAGTACTCCGTACGGATAGTGACACTGAGTGTTGGATGGGCCACTTTCTCATTGCCGAAGCTCTCAACGTCACCGCCAAGCTCGGACTTTTTGTGCGTATTTCAAACCCGACCTCCCTCCAAGGCTCCAACCACCCTCCCTAACAGCGCAAGCCCCCCGTTAACGCCAGGCGCGGCTGGCTGCATCTCCAGCGGTCTGATTTCTGGCGTCCCTCGTGACCACTGACCACGCGGCATTCCGTACCAGCCATTGGCAGACCGCTCAGGGGTTGAACATCCACGTTGTTTGATCGGTCATTTGCAGAGCGCGCTTTCACAAACTGCCGACAGTGGAATCCGATGATTGCCTCGGCAACGTAGAGTCTTACCCAACCTGGGGTAAGCAAATTAGATCTGGGGAAAGTCCGGGGGAAGGGTAGTGATGGTGTTAAGCCGTTGCACACGGTCCCACGGACCTCCTTGTCAGCATGACCGGGACCCTGGCCAAGCGCCCGTATCCTTGCAGCAGTAATTAGCCTGGTGTTGGACTGCTGTGCTTTTCCCAAATTGGGACGCTGCCTTGTTAATAAGAAGGACATAATGATACGTGAGGTGATGAATAATGATCAAATACCGCGCATCGCCTTTTTCTCAGGCGTTGCACCAGCCTTGCTTGAAGCGCCATGATCAGGCGCGAACGTTGCGCACGTGCAAGAGAGCAAAGGCGAGGCGAGCCTATGTACGACCTGCGGCCACTTGAGGGCGACTATGTTGTCAGTGATAAGACTGGAGAACCTACCAATCCCAATACACAAGAGAAACGGCACGATGATTTCGTCGGAGCTACGTCGCACGGCAGCGCGACACACCAATGTTAAGATATCGAGTCCATGCCACCCCATCATTTTTTTATTCGTGTATCAGCACAACGGCGACAAACGCTCCGATGGCGATGGTCGCAACGCACTCTGGGCCTTCTGTCTGGTGTCTAGAGCACCATTGAGCGGTTGGATTGGTGGTTCGGATAGAATGCTTGCTGAAGATGGCTGCGAGACCTCGCGAGCAGTCAAGGAACCATAGGGACCTATGGGCGGACCGACAAGTCCTCAGCTCCAGACGGCGATGCTTTGTCGGCCACAGTCCGAGCCCCTATTGCTCCATTATGCAACATGTTAGATTCATTAACATATAGTCAATGTGCCAATGTGCCTGGTTTCGTCAGTTTGCAGGCTCAATAATTACCCTTCACAAGCGGCTGTGTACTGGTAGGACTAGGTCGCAAGCGGCTAGTCACCCAACAGAAACGTTGGCCATAATCGTAATGACCAAGCCATTATAAATCGACCGCGACGATAGAATGGAACATGTCACGTATTAATTAGTATCTGCTATGCACGTCGACGTGATCCGTTCAATACCGGATTTGTGCTCCAGAGACGGGAGCGCACTGCGCCTCATTGTCCTAACAATGGTTAATTATTAGTTTGCCGGTTGAAATACAGGGTCGCTAGGCGCATGATGAGCCTATGAGCCAGCCGGAGTCGGAACGTAGCCGGGTTGCGGCCGATGAGCAACAAGGCTCTGATAATATCTGCATGATTATTGACCACTTGAACAAGCCGTTGCAGTTTCATCTTTCCGGAGTTTTGAGAGGGCGCATTTGGCGCTTCCCCAATCATATCATGAGCCTCGGACTCGTTTCCTGTCCTTCAACGCTCGCAGAAGAATCAAGAACCCCTTTTCTGGCGACTGAATACTTAGCCGAGGGTTGCTGCTGACCCGCAGACGTCAGTCAACGCGTGTTTTCCGAGCACACCGTGCGCACTAGTGACAATAATCATGGACCGCAGTTCGCCAGCCGCCAGCAAGAACTCGAGGGGCATGCCGCATTAACTCATGTCCGCATCGGAGCTCGGGCAGGACGGCGTGGCGAGAGGTCCTGTGACCAGTGGGTACCACCGGCTCAGCCAATTGCAGCGGCGTGTTGCTGCGCAGTGTGTTGCCAGCCAGGGGTGCCGCCTATCCCCGTTGTTATGCCGCAGACGCTCCATTCATGCACAGCCAGCAACAGCATCAGGGTGGACTCTGGTGGGTGCTGCTGTACTGCTGTGCTGTTTCGCTCGGCTTGGCTCAGAAGGTACAAAGCCAGCATCACCTGCAGTCGCAATTCGCCGGCGTTGCTGAACGATGGCGCAAGGAAAGGGCTTGTTCCATCAGGGTGGCATTTGGCTTGAGCAGTCTCAATCCAAGGAGCGGTGAGCGGTGTGGACGTGAAACGAGATCCGCTACGGGCGCCAGGGAGTCGCACTTCACCAACATGTCCAACGACATTCCTCAGCTCGCCCACAGACAGACAGGGCCGGACGAGCATTTGGCGCTAAGTGTTCCAGAAGCCGTCGGCCTGGGCATGTGTCCAAGGGGACGTCCTGCAGCATGATTTGCCCTCGGTGGTATGGGGCCACTGCCTACATATAGCCTGGGCCCTGGGCTGGCGCCATTATCGATCTTCCTTATCGGCTGCCTTGCCTTGCCTGGCTCGGCTTGCCAGCTGTGCAGGCAAGCAGGGTCACAGAGGCGCGGGAGAACTTCGTCGTTGGCTGTGGCATGATGCAGAGGATGCCCGTGATGGCGAATGGTTGGTCAATGAAGGTGCTCGGTGCCAGTCAGACCAGCCAGGGAAGCTAGGGTTAGCTAGAGGCGACAAGGGCCTAAGGCATCTCTTGCAGCACAGGCGCAGGAAGGAAGGTCCAGTCGGTGTGGGACAGTGCCAGCGATCTAGGCGCACAGTCCCCGCGGTGGATTCAGGATCTTTGTTCGTGGTGCAGGGTCGAGCCAGTGTGCCCCTCCATCGCGACAATCAGTGCAAGACATGGAGCCTCAATAATTGAGCGAGTGACGACTGGAGCGTTCCTGTCGGTAGAGCCGACGCACAATCAATCTCGCAAGGCGAATATTCACGGGTATCGACTCACTTGCTGGTGCTAATGCCATGCGACTCGCTGGAAAATGGCGACGGCCGGGTGCGGAACTTCCCAAGTTCACAACGTCGCATCCGCGACAAGCCGCCAGACGGCCAGCAAGCCGCTGGGATTTTCACGTCCAGCCGCAGGCTGCTTACTCCTGTTGAGTCACATTATGCAGGCTGCAGCGCTCCAAACAGGAAACACTTGTCGGTTGGTGACCTTTTACTCCGATAGCCCGCGGGTCCCTGGTGCTGGCCAGATCAACCATCAGGCGACCGCGCGCTGCCAGCCAAGAGTGTCTTTATGTTGTGACGTGAACATCTCTTCGATACAGCCCGGGGCCCTGCATCTTGAACAAGCATTGGAAACAGCCCAACATGCATATGCTACCAATTGTTGAGCTCTTCACCGGGCTGAATGCACCAGCGTTGCCGTTTTGGTGCCAGGTATCGATCAGCCGCGCTCACGCTCTGACGGCGCGCGCAGCTGCTGCATGGATCTGTGCAGGGCTCGATAACCTTTTAGCCGAATGGGTCTGGTCATGATTGCTTGCATACATAGTTGAGGCTTTTATTTAACAACGTACTTCTGAATCCGTTGGCTTGCTGTGTTGATCATGATGCTGGAGAACTTGACGACATGCAAGCTACTGCACTGTGCAACGTCACGGTGGCACCACTTGCCTGACGATGGTGATGTTGGCCGACAGGATATTACATCGCTCCGGAGTGCAAGTCACCTAATTAGATGAGGAAATATCTTGACATGTCTGTGTGGCATGTTGATCGTCCAGGAGAAATGGTTTTGGATATCTCCGTCGAGTGAAGTGAGATTGGTGAATGTATTGGCGATTGCGTCGAAGCTTTCGGCTGTACGAAATAACCGCAACATCAGATTAGCTTCGAGTAATTATGCAGGCCTCGTGGCAAATGACAAAAACCCTACGCCTATCAGGATCAGTTGTAATTTTGTTTTAAATTTTTTTTAGCTCCGAAGCTTCATGTTTCTCCTCAATTTTGCACGCTGCACTGGCAATCAATCCTCTCGGTAATTA